CAGTCTCCACTTTTCCAAAAACACTTTTTACGTTACTCGAGTGTGTCTGTATTCCCTTGAGACTTTTTTTTTGGCTTTCTTTCTTTCACTCGACGCAGGCGCACTGGCTCTGAAATATTTTTGGCAATGGCTGAATGATTGAATGACCAAATGACAGAGTGTCAGATTGACAGACTGACTGGCAACAAGTTTGGCCGCCGTCCTCCCCATCAATTAATACCAATTTGCAGCCCAGAGATAGAGAACCGAAATGAAGAAATCAAACCAGATTCCATTAGTCTGAAATATCTTAAGCTTTATGGGCACTCTAATCAGCCAAAAACCCAGGGAATACAATAATAAACAATTAGCCTTAAAATTAGCAAAACTAAAAATAGAAAAATTCATTTAAACATTTTCCTAGAAACTATAAACAATGAATACTATAAGTAGTGTAAGTTTAGTTAAAATTAGAAATGCTAAATAGATTACATATTTAATTGAGTTTGATCTATTAACCACAAAGTTGTGGAATTTATTAAAAGTAATAGTAATCTCAATTATCTCAGCTCCCTGCTGATTTTGTAAACAATTATTTGATTTTAATTTTTGTTTACCCCTTTCTGCCTTCTAATTTGTTAATAACGTTTCTTCAATAAAATTCCAGTTTATGGCTCTGATAATACAATTATGTGCAACTGCCAGAAAACCTATACATATCAGATACACAAAAATAAACACTATAGTACACATTTTTTTAAATCCTACATATAAGTTTTATTTTCTTAAAGTTAATTTCGGATTTAATTTATTTCTTTGTCCTCAGCCTAGCTGGCCTCTCAATGTTTTTTTTTTTTTTTTTTTTTTTTTATAAATAAACAAAAAACATTAAAGAGAAATTCTCTAGATAAAATATGTGTCTGATTTTTTTAGGAATACATATTCTTTATGACTAATTTTATGTGTATTTGCTGTACGTGTGTGCTTGTCGGGACTAATTAGTTATAGCCATTAGTCATAGGGAATTAGCAGGGAATTCGTGATCGGAAAGATAGAGAGATACTTTTAGAGATATTTGGAGTGCAACTTATGCAAAGTCACTTTCCATGAATTCGCATAAAGTTATTCATTTTCACTTAACTTGAGTTCATTTTGGCCCAGTTAGTACCGCCCCCTCAAGGCGACGGTTCATCCAATTAACAGTAAATTCAGTGAAATAATTGCATATATGTATATTTGAATGTATAGTATTGCCTCGTAAAGTTATGGCCACAAAAAAATTAAAAAAAAAAAAAGGTTTCCGAATGCACTCGCCGGGAAAGTTTCATAAAGGCGGTTGGCTGGCTTAGCTTTTTAGTTTCTGGGTGGGTGGTGACGGTGATGATGGTGTCACTTTGTGTGCCCAGCCAGTTGGAAAATGAATTCAAAACTCAAACTGACTCGACTGCATTTGAAAATGGGTCCAGAACGGCTGTTAGCAATTGATTCTCACAGGAAACCCGAGAGAATGCGCTGATGTTGGCCAATATCTGAGGCAAACAATGCCCCCCAGTACGTAATTAACTCAAATTGTTGATCAGATACAGCAAGGTACACGTTAGGTATTTGTAATAAATAGTAATAAAATAACAATTAAATAAATACAAGTCTTTGAAAAAGCCTGAGTTAGTTTTTAGATAGATTTTTAGTTACTTTTTCCATATTTTTGTAAGTTTTTCTAACTTTTTCCTTAATTTTTGCAAGTGCATTGCCATTCTGATTGTGTGATGCAACCAAAAATTGCAATATAGCTTAAATGAAGCCTAATAATTATCCAACTAGCTGAACTCGAAGCTCTGGGAGGAGAGTTGTTCGACATGTGCCACACGCGCCACATGAGCTGCCTCGGATATGCCCCTCTGGAAATAGAGGAAGCTGGTGGCCGTAATCGTCTAAACACTAGTCACGTTAGTGGCCACAAATAAATCAATTTTGTGAGTGGCTCTCACACACAGAGTTCGACTCCCTGGTGTCTCTGCGAAACTTTGCGCTCTATTTAAAAGTTCGCAATTCTCAACTTGAGCTGATGAATAGACTTTTAATTAACGCGTGCCAGTGTCCAACCTCTGTCAGCAGTTGCAACAGCCCCCCTGCCACCGAGTGGCCTGCCCTCGGAATGTGTTTACACAGTTGCCAGCACTTTGCGGGATACTACAACTCGGTATATATACTACATATTTCATAAATATATTTAGTGGCATATGTCCGCCGGCTGGTTCGCTTTGGGACTCGGTATTCGTTGGGGCCAACAACGCTCGATTTATTGTAATTTTAAGTCTGCCCATCCGAAATATATAGTTTCATGATTAATATAGAATTAAATTCTCATAAATGCCGAGATAAATTATGCGAGTCGCATGAAATGCCAAGAAATTCTTTTGAATAAATGTCTTTTCTAGGGATTAGTTTTCTATGAATACATTTTCTTATTTCCCTATCAGTGGGATTAGATTCCCTTGGTTCAAAGACCTCATAAACCACTGACCTCCATGGAATCCTTGTCATCTCTGCCGTAGCATCTCATAAAACGTATTTTCAACTTATTTTCCAATTACCAGGTCCAATTGCTCGCCACCTTTCTGCTGGCCCAGCAGAAATGGCAACAAAGACCAGCTCAGCTCAGGCCAAGCCAGGCCACAATCGGATGGATATAATGGCTTAAAGGGATGGGGGCAACCTAATTGGTAAGACGGGGGACTGTAGCTTTCTCCTTTTTGAAGACCAGCCAGAAAAACAATCCAAACAGGCAGTCCAGAGTTCAATTAGGAATTAAGAGACTAAATTAATTTTATTTTATCTGGAAACCCAGTAGGTTACCTACAAAATATGATCTGCAAAGCCACCATGAGAAATTCAATTACACCTGCCTGGCCTGTCTGCAACTCTTGCATCAAATTTAAGCCGAATTTCCGCAAACTATTCATCGCATTTCCCCAACATAATTCCCACTCCCATGGGGCCCAGACCAGGCCGGGCCCCATCTATTTATAGGGAAAAGTCCCCCTTTGAAGTCGCTGCCGCATAAAGCCCGTTCCGCTGTTCAGTTGGCCATGCTGGGAATTATTATTTCCAGTCTCTGGCCAGCACAAAGGAAAATTCCCTTGCCCCAGGCCAAAAAAAAATTCATACATACATACATACACACACAAATCATAAAGCTGCTTAACTGTCCTTTCGTGCATGTCCTGACCAACTTAAGGACAAACTTGTCGAAAGGAGCAACTGCGCCGGCAGAAGGAGCCAAAGAGGCTAATGTGAGCGTGGCCGAAAAAGTGTTGCTATAAATAACCTTAGACATGCGGAGCCTTCCACGGTTTTTCCTTCACAGTCACCTCCCCACCACCCAAAGAGGAGCCACCTCATCTGGAATATAAATATGCATATAGAGAGGGTGCGAGAGTGTTTTTGGTTTATATGGCATGTATACACGCCAACTTGTGTCTGCAAGCCCCAAAGTCTGAAATCAAGGAAACGAAATAAAAGCACTTTTTTGTTCGTTTTTATTTCCCATGTAATATCAAAGGCAAAAAGCCAACGGCAAGTGTGTCAAAGGTGTACGTTGCTAAAAAAAAAAAGAAACCCAACAAACCAAAAAATTATGCAAAACTTTTTTTTTTTTGGGAAGTCCGCAGTACTTTTTCTTGAATTTCTTGTTTCCTTTGTTGGTTGTTGGTTCGGGACTTAGTTTTTGTTTTCTAAACTTTTGAAATACGGAACAAGCAGACAAACTTAAATTGATACCGAGACAAGTGGCAGGAGTTTGTGGAAGTTTTTGAATATTTAACAGATATAGTTTTAATGCTTAGAGTATATTCTTGAAGGATGTCCTTAAAGGAGTCTTTTCAGACTCAGTTTTTGTGTAATCTATTCAATCTTATAAAAGTTTCTTAAAAAGACTGATAATATTCTAAAATTTTAATTTGAATAATCAGAATCTTAAATTCCTTAAAAGATATACTTTTAATAAAATTCATTTTTTAAAAACAAGCTATTTAAGGATTGCCTTAATCCTATTGGTTTTAAATTTCAATGAATATACATAAGTTCCATCTATCTAGTTCCATCTAGAAGATACAAAACATAGAAAATACTCAATATATTCTAAAACATAAATTATACTTACTTTCAATTCTTCTAAATCTTAAAGAAGTCCCTTAAGCACGCACTTTTAATACAATCCATTCTTAAAAGAGTTGTTTCAAAAGGACTCTTTATAAGAATTTTTAAATACTTACCCTCAGTTCCCTGAATCTGAAATCCCTCTAACCTAAATTCAAAAAATTGTTTATATATTTTTTAAGGATTTCAAATTCATTTTATTGGTTTTTTTTGTTTGTTTGTTTCTTTTCCTTTGTGTTTTTCTTGTTCTCCTCTCCTCCTTATACCATCGATTTACTTAATAATTCTTTTTTACTTTTTCTCAAATTTGTTTTTTATTGTATGTTTGTTTGTATGTGTTTGTTTTGGTTGTTTTTGTTTTTTTTTTATTAAAGATTTATCATCTTAATTGTTGGTTTTTAAATATATATATTTATATATATGCACTTGCTATATAAACTTAAATGTATAAACTAAATTAAATAACTTGAATTTTGCTTTCTCATCTTGCGTTATTGATCATTTTCTCATGTATATATCATATTTAATTGGTATATATTATATGTATATATATGGTATATATTATTTAATTTAATATATACCTCGATTTTTGCACGCACACATATAAAAACAATAACGAAAAGTTATTCCGAAACAAATTTTTGACTGAGGGGGTAAGGCATTGCTAAGCTTTAAAAGTGAAATCAATAGAATTATAATATATATGGTAATATGTATATTAATCAAAATTAGTGCAAGCTGCATTTAATACGAGAACATAAAGCATACAAATGTTAGTCAGATAGTAAAGCTCAAGTTGGGCTCCTCAGATACTGTATCTGTATAAAAAAAAAACAAAAAGATTGCACAAAGTTAGTTTTTGACTTCCTCCGACTTGCTCCGATCTCCTGCACATACGAATCGAATATATATAATCGTACGTGATTAGTTATATATATTCCACATTAAAGTGTTACGCTCAGACTACCGTAGACTATGCATATGCTTAGGTGTGTGTGTGTGTGTGTGTGTAGATTGGGGAGTAGGACGAAAATCAAAAGGACCAAGGACCCAGAGGCCTTGGCGCAAACTAGAAGGACAAACACATACATATATTTTTCCAGCGGGAGACATTTTGGATGTGATGTGAACATTTCGTGGCTACAAACATCATCGTCTTCTTAGTCGATGAATTTTCAATTTTTTTTTGTTGATTTTTTTTTCATTTACGTTTATTTATTATTAAATTAGATGCTTAATTAATGCCTATTTATGACTTTTGTCTCGCAACTAGTTGAACAAATAATCATAGAAAACATAAAAAGTATTTATAAATTAATTTTAATTGTTACGATCCCGAGTGGCTCTAGCTCTGTATATATATATATCTCTCTTCTCACAACAACAACATAATTTAAAAGTCTTGACTTTTAAAAATAAATAATAACAGGGAAAGGAATACGGAGAAGTGTCATTCAAATAATTAAAAAAAAAAATTATAATCAAATCATTCAAATCTTTTTCTCAGCCTAATTAAAATGATTTCCACTCCTCTCCTCACATAACGAAACAATAAATATATATATTCCGATCGATATCTTCTTGAATATAATCGTAACTGCTAAAGTTGCCTTTTCTCTTCTTAAATCTTCTCTCTTCTTGTTTATAAATTTGTTGTTTAAGTTTTTTTTTGTTTTTCAAATTATTATACTTAGTTGGCTTGCTGATATTCTCTTTGTTCTGCTCTTGGTAAGTATAATGCTTCAATCTTTGTGTATATATAGTTTTTTCATCTTCAACTCCTCCGACATCGTCTTCTTCAGTTTTTTTTTTTTAATGCTAAGTTCTATACGTTTTATACACACAAATTTAGTTGATTTTTTTTTTCAATTTTTCTTTTTTGTTTTATGTGGCTTAATTTTAAACATTTAGACTTTTTTGTTTTTGTATTTTATTTTTTTACTTTATATATTTCTTGCTGCGTTTCAAATGTTTCTTTTACTTGCTTTAATGTTTAATATTTTAGAGTTTTCATCTTCATTATCTGAGTAGCGAGTAATGGGAGTCGTAATGGATGGATGGATGGATGGGTGAGAGCATAATGTGTTGCGATTCTGGTTCTGGTTCCCAATTATCTATATCTGGTTCTAGTACACCTTGAGTTCTGGTCGGGGGCGGGCGGTTGGCGGTTTATTGTTGCACGTCGTCGCTCTGATTGTACAACAATTATACACGTGTATATAATATATAAATATCTAGAGACATGTCTACGGTAAGGACGCCTAACATCGCGAAGCTACTGGATCGCAAGCTCGCTTAGCGGGCGGGAGGACCTGGCCCATGGATCTCTCACTGGCCAACACGCACAAGTGTCCTCGATTGGGATTTTTGGGAGTGGGGGCTTTTAACTCGTTTCTTCTCATTACACACTTTATTCATCGTAAGATCTGCCAGCTTCTTTGTTTACTTAACTCGTTTAAGTTTTTGTTTTTTTTTTTTCAAGCACACTGTGTGCGCCATAATTTTTTGTTTGTTTTAAATTTAACCTTTTGTATTTAATTTAAAAATTATTAAAGCGTTTTTATTCTCTCAAGTTGTGGCTGCAGCTGACTGAGTGACCGTTCCGACTGGGGACCGATCGAAATGAAATAAAAATTCCTTAGCCCTGGCTTTAGATGACAATGTCTCCTGGATATCCTCTTGTGTTCTTCACTTGCTCCGTATCGGCCGGCCTCACTTTCTCCTGACGGAGACGGATCTTCTCTTCTGTTTTCTTGATTCTTCAGTTAAGACTAAGCTACGTTACAACTAAATATCTGTAGTCTCGAGGTTATATACGCTATATGTTATGGATGAATATTAATGTGTGTGTGTGTGGTAAGTCATTATTATTTTCTCGCAATATTCCAAATCTGGTCTCTAAATCCTGGGATGAAAGGGCGACATCGAACTGTTCCGCTTGAAGACCCAGACGGAGGCAGATGCTGCAAAGAAACGAGGAAAACAGAGTTAGTTTCAAGTCTGCAGACTCAATCAAGTGGCCATTTGCATAATTCACAATTTATTCGATCGGCTTTGTCTTCTTCCGATCCGGTCTGGCCACCCAACCTTGACTGGGGCCACCAGCAATACTTCCTACTCGGGTTTTTTCACCTCTATGGCATATCGTATCAAGTTCAAACATAGATGATAAACTAGAGACACGGGGACTTGAGTTTAATCGATTCTATTTTAGTTTGTTTGATTATTTCTTGCTAATCTTTGTCTAGGGTCGCAGCTGGGTCAAGGTTGTGCTAAAAAATTATTTAAAAATAAATAGTAAGGTGGTTGAAAAGCTAAAAACTCCCTCTAAAGAGACATATTGACATGTTTAAGTTTATACACTTTTTCCCGCTTATCAGCTCCACACATGCTCCACTGGCCCGGCCCTCCTACCACAGAATGGGTTCTGCTCTGGCATCTCTGTCAGTGGGGCTTATGACGTAAGCGAGAGCCACAGCAGCGTGCTATATTAAATCCCTTACAACAAAAAAAGTCACACACTCAAATGAATGAAAAAAACACGATGATAAAACAAATGAAAACAACAAAAAGCCTTCTCTTGACTGTATTTTCTGGCGGCGTTTTATCGCCGAAACTCACAAAAAGCGTCACTGCACCCACGCCAGAATGTACATACTAGCTGCCGTGTAGATATATCACACCACTGATATACACGTACGGGTATCCGAAATTCGAAATCTGAAATCGGAGAGGTGGCAGCCAAGGCATTACAGAGATACTCAGGTATCGTTTGTGTTAATGGAGTTTGGCATTGAATTTACAAGAGATCTTTTGTCTGGCATTGTCTCGAATTACATAAAGGTTTATGAGGGAAGCACTTTCACCCGCCCGGCCAGCGATCGAAGTTGGCCTTGAATACACACCCCCCTCCCAAACATTTATATAATCTGTTTGTTGCATAAAACATCTAAGGATTACTACAGAAGCCAGAAACTTTTCCAAGAACTCTGCTTCACTAGAGAGGGCCAAGAATATGCATAAGCTGGCAGGTGGAATCTTGGCAACATATTTGACCTACAAGCAATGTCAAAAATGTACCCAAAGAACAATAAAAATATGCTTTGGCGCTACAGAGTGCCAACCGAAAAAAACGGATACTTAAATCATATGAAAAATAAATTAAATAAAATACGAAAAATAAACCGCAATCCAAACACACCAGAAAAAAAAACATTTCAATAAATCAGCCAAAAACCCTGATACTCGACTGAAAATATCTGTAGATACACAGATATACGCCAGCCTATACAGTCTATAAATGAATACGATTCTTCAGATACAGATACACATATAGCCAGAGAGAAATATTACGAAAATGAGCTGTGCAGCAGCTGTTGTGGATGTCGCAGGCTGCAGCTTTTAATTTGCAAAGCACTTTCATTACAAAACAAAACGAGTTCCCCCCCATAACAGCATTATTTAAATGTGAAGCAAAAAAAAAAGCTTAAATTTTGTATGCAAGTTTCGAACTCCCACGAGATAGCCCACTTCTATTACATAATTTTCGTAACTTTTAAATAAATAAGTAAGCCACCCACATGCAAGAGGTGTATAAATAAAAGCCACTCACGATTTTTCACCTTACTTGTATAGTATATTATAGTACCTCGTCCCGTCCATTCAGCTCAGCCACCCACTCAGTCACTCCTCGAAACCAAAACCCAAACCGACAGACCCACAAACAAGCTCGTCAGTTGCCGAGTTTCCCTTGTCAGTAATTACGCATTTTTTAAATGCAGTCTCTCTGCTTTCGGGTCATCAAATATTCAAGAGGTCGCAGACGGCTGGCCTTTTCTAAAATGCACAAAACACTGAGCACATATACAGGTGGAGTCGGCATTCCATACGTCAGCCCCAAACAGCCAGCCCCAAAAATTTCAGTCCCTGAGCTATGGTGCTTTAGATAAGACAAGGGCTCCAAGGCGCCTGTCAGGATGGCTCTTAATTAAGACCATTCCCATCAACTCTAATTTCTAGTCACAGTTTTATTGATTGAAAAAGTCACTGTAGATACTCCTTTCAATCAGTCTCTTGACCCCCAGAAGCCTGCTTCCTTTTCGGACCTCTTCAGTGTCCAATCAATGAGACGTTTCTCTGAACTGACGCCGGGTTCAATAAACGCGCGGAAGATCTGCAATTTGCAATTCACTTTCGGCGCTTTTGTTGTTTTCTTGTGGCATTCTTTGGCTGCTCACATCCCAGACACTTGCTCTTTGAACCCTCAACTTTGTTTAATAACAAAACAAATGCAAGCCAGAGCCAAATAGTCGAAAAGTAAAAAGAAAGAACATTGAATTGGAATGCGAGTGCCAGTGCGAGTGCGAACGGGGATCGGCATGCCAATTATCGAGGCGAAGTATCTTGGATACTGCTCGTAAATCAAAGTGTGGAAAAGTTTTTCGGCCCGATGGGAGGGAAAATAAAAAAGAAATAAATTGATAGAGGCCCGCCGTATCTAATGTCAATAAACTTTTCGAATTTGGCTTTGGCTTTGGCTTTGAAATCAAACCGATTCTCATGCAAGGGAAAGCAGCAATCGATGCAGGCCCTCAAGACAAATCAATTAAAAGGAAACTTTCTTTGTATATTATTTTCTTTTGAATTTCGTATTTCAAAGAAAAAGAAAAATGAAAATGTCATGACGGAAACATGAAAAACTGAAAGAAGAGCTCCCAGGCGTGGGAGGAATGGCATGAGAAAACACAGAGCTCAAATTAAAAGCAAATTTCAATTTTTGCAATGACATTGTCGCCGTTTGTTGTAACAAAATTAACTACGAAAGTAATTAAAGGACAGGATGGCCAGCAGGTTGAAGGAGGTACCGAGGAGGGACTCTACTAGACTTGCGCGCGCAGAGCTACCCTTTAGTAACCCTAAAATCAATCGCTTTTATAGACCCACAGAACACCCCAATAATGGGTGGAACAAGTAGATCACTTAGTATATCCCCTTAAAATTTAATCGCACTTTAATCCGCCCACGTCTGGCCGAGGAAGCCACTAAGGAGACTGCCAGGAGGAGAAGGAACATCAAATACCAGGCTTACACGCAACAGTGCCGCCGGGGACATGGCGCTGCAATAAAATGAAATTAAAAATTGAAACAACCACTGCTACGAGGCAGTGGGTCTGTGGAGGGCTGAACTCAAGCATCGTCATCATTTTTTTATTTTTTTAGGTAATTATGATAAGGCTGTAATTATATTTATCTGCTGCTGGCAGCCATCGACAGCAACGGCTAAGGGTAATGCCAGTGACAACAGTGCGTATGTGTAATATTTATGCAGGCGCGTTGCGTATACGCCATGTGGTGCCAGTGTCCAAGGTAAGTGCATAGAATTAGCTAAATTATCAGCTGGCGGCCTTGACGTACTAACTGCTGCGACTAACGCAGCATGAAATTACCAGAGGGGAGGGCTACTATTATATATAGGGCAAAGGTCAGGGGCGCTCCACAACCGATTAAAAAATGGGCTCTGGAATTTAAACAAGCCCTGACGTCACTGGCTAAGGAATCTCCATGCGCAATAACCCAATTAAGTAGAGCACATCGGTTAAAACCAAAGGCCGCCTGCTGGGTAAGGTAAGTGTTTTTGTCACCCGAGAGATTGATGATTCAATTAATGCAAAAAAAAAAAAGAGAAGGGAGGAAAAGCCAAAGAGAGGTTCAAGTGCAGACCTCCTAGCCCCGTAACCGAGTTGGCCAGTGTAGTTCCAAGAAAAAAATGCCACAAAACCCACACAAATAATTAATCAATAATTACGCTTTGCGTGAGAGTGGACTGGGGGCTGGGGCTGGGGCGTGGAGGAGAAAAAAATTCATTTATTTGCTGCCGCCTAGCACCTGGCCCCTAGCCCCCAGCCCAGTCCAGCCGCCCTCTTTCAATGTCAGGCCCTGCCAACAGCAACAACAATTATTATTGATTACATGTCAATTATATTGGATTTGGAGGAAAGGGGCTGGCACCTACCTATCCATGTGCTATCCATGCCGTTCCCTCTAATTGTATTCCACTGTCTCCTATTTTTTTTTATCAAAATTCAATTAGACGCACGACTATAACTGGTAATGGTGTGCTGGCCAAGTCGGAGATGGTGATGTAAGTCACAGAAACTGTGCCAACCGAGGAAAGGGTGCATACTCTTAACCCATTTCCGCACAGACAGAAAACCAAACAAAACAAATTAAAAAAGTGTCGTGCGAAGAAACTAAAACGAACAATGACTGGGAATAGGGAGCTAGAACTGAGAACTGAGAACTGAGGAGACCTCCTCCTCCCTGCATAAATATGAATCTAATAACTGCCTTTGTTTGCTCTATCTCGAGTTGGTCTTCTTATCGCTACCGCTCTCGGTCTCGCCAGCTGTTGTTTGGTTTTAGTTTTATTTCCAACTTTTGTTTTAGTTTTCAAGCCCATTGCCAGCGGCAACCTCCTCCTCCTCCTCATCGTATGACAACTGCCGATAAGCCTCCTTCATGGGGTATACCTTCCCATTCCTTATCAACTGCCTGAATTATATACACTTTTTTTTTCATCAGATTATATTAAATCAATGAATTTCAATTTGCAAATATTTATCTCTATATGTTGTCATTTATTTTTCGCGAGACTCTGTAACTTGGAATGAAGTCATTCCTCTCCGAATGTAAATATATATGTATGTATATATATAACAACACCTGTCCATAAATAACACGCGGCACAACACAGCCCAGGGAATGAAATAAAAACGAAAACTAAAACAGAGAATTTCAATTTTCATTGTGCAGCGCTTTCCATGTTCAATTCTATTTTATTTGCCCATAAATTCTGAATGAAAATTGCGAGGGACGCCAGGACGCTGAGCGTTTATCTCACAGATACACGGCGAACAAGTAAGAGACAAGTGAACAGATACAGCGACCATTAGATGCGCTTTAAAAAAAAGGGGGTAGTATTGTAATGAAACTTTCGAATATTATGTATTATAGAGTCTTATAACTGAATATTGCCTAAAAAATATCTTAGAGCTTTATTAGGAGAGTATATCCATATTTAAGAGTCTCTAGTGTATCAGAATAGATCCATAACTCAAGACAATAGTAATGAAACTTGCAAATATTGTGTATTATAGTCTTCTAACTGAATACTGCTTTTAAAGACTCTCTAAGAGCTTAATAGGGACAGTATATCGACTTTCAGGAGTCTCTAGAGTCTAGATTATCAGAATAGATCCATAGCTCAGACAATGGTGATGAAACTTGCAAATATTATGTATTATAGAGTCTTCTAACTGGATAATGCTAATAGACAAGCTCTTAGAACTTTATAGAGTACATCCACTTTTAAGAGCCTCTACTTCATCAGAATATATCCATAACTAAAGAAAGAGTAACTAAAACAGCCATTGAAAGCAAAAACGACTAAAATAATTGCACAAATGAAACAGAGAACTGGCAAAAAAAATGACGAAATGAAACCAAAAATTAAAACGAGTACACAACTGGCTACAGCTACGTGTGCGTTATTTAAATGATTTCGCCAGCTCGCCTCGCTCGCCACTGCCTCAACTGACGACTGTCTCAATTTAAATGTTTTTTATAGCCTGCATTCGGCGACTGCCACTCCTAACATTTTCAGGCCAAACACACACATCAAAAATTAACAAAAAACCTGTTTGCAAAAATACAAAATCAACAAACACAATAAAAACGAAGGCAGAAATCGTTTAATTTATTCTCGATGCGTACAAGAAAATGAAAATAAAATGCGAGCTCTGTTTTGTTGCTCATACGCAGCGTTGACTCAGCCAGACTCAGACTCCAGTTTCGGGGGAAATGGGATTTTTCTGAGAGAGATGGATGTGGAATAGAATCATTTATCTTATCGGAAAAACTCTGTCAGCCCCTCTGTAATTGTTTTTCTTTTCTTGACGAGCATTGTCTCTCCGATTCTCTCGCTTATTATTATAGTCGTTATCGCCATTTACTTGGCAGCGCGTGCGTGATGGCGAGCTTGATTTTGAGGGCACTGTTACAAGGCTGCCCGGCCCGATCTGCCGCCTCCACCATTACAACACCAAGACCGAGCTTTAAGCCCGAAATTGGCCAGACAAGAGACCAGTTGGCGGTTGGCGGTTGGCAGTTGCATTCCCAACAGCACTCTGCCAGCTAAATTTGGCCCGCTCTAGGTGCTTATTGGAGCAAGACGAATGCGTATCTGTGAGATTGTGTCTCGGTATCTGCAGCATGAGAACCAGTTTTCTGCCAAGACTGCCATCCCACTGTGAGCTGAACTCTGGCCCCGGATAGCTTGCTCCAAATTACAGAAATGCCAGCGCAGTAACAGTACAAGTCGAGTGCTTTAATTAACACCTCTATAAACAGACCACAAAATATGCCAGCAATGATAATTATTTAAATAAATTATAAAAAAAGGGGGGTATTTTTCTAGTTTCCAGTGGGCTTGTGGGCTTGTAAGGCGGGCCCCCTGACTGATAACCCTTTGACTTCCCCCTCCTCGATTGGCAAACAATCAGAAAATCCGTAAAGCACGGCTGGCGGTTAATGTAAACAAGCGAACCTAATGCCCCCAGACACTTAGTACCCATGACTACGGCCAGAGTCTAATTGACTTGGCCCAAAACCGAAGACGAAGTCGAAGCCGAATGATTGATGGCCTTCTCGAAGCAGCAACAAAATGATTATAATTGGTGCCAATAAAAATGTAGACGACACATGTCGCATGGAAATACACGGCAGGAGAGCCACCACCAGATAGACAACTCTTTCGGGGCTTGGCTAGCTAGCCCGAGTGCTAAAGGTCAGCCAAGGTCATGGTCGACGATTACCGCATTTTTTGGAATACATTTTCCACATATTTTTTTAAGGAGTATGTACATCTACAATTTCTAAACTTTATGCCGCATTCTCACGCAGTTTTTGTTTTTATTTTGCTCTTAAAATGTTTGGACATAAAACTTATTGTAATTTATTAATTACCAGCAGCGGTTTCGCTGTGATAAAGAAAACAATTTCATTAATGGCCGAATGGCACGCAATAAGCTGGGAAACGAAGCGAGCTAAAATGAAAGATTTATTTCTTCAACTACTTTTTTGCTTTGACATTATTCATGTTTTTCCTGGCTTTCTCTCTTGTGTTTTTGGCCCTTCTTGGCCACTTTCATGGGCCGGCAAATGGTCAAGAGTAAATGGGTATATTTATTTGGAAGAAACTGTGGGAGTTTTTTCAAAATTAAGATCAGAAAACTCTGGTTATAGGTTGCATTAAGGGGTGAAAGGGTTAACTTAGCTCTTTTAATGACGACTCTATAAAAATCATATTATTTTATTAAATTATTGAATTTCTTATATAAAATTTTGCATAATTATACCCAAGCCTCTTCTAAGATCTCTCTCTAGAGTAGTAATAGCAATAAAAATCCCTAGCAGCTAGTATTGCATACCTTGCTAGTTAGTGTTAGTTTGAAAATTATGCTATCATCTAAAATAAAATAAACAAATAAATAAATATAATTGATAATGTGATAAATATGTATCGTTAAGTTTTTAAGTTTTATAGCATATTCTTTGCCATTTTCATAAAGAAATATAAAAAAATACTTCAACCTCTGCCATTATTGGCAGTGTTTTCCTTTGAGAAAAACACGGAAATAGGTGGTCTGGTGCCTATTATAACTCAGAAAGGGATAATTTTAAATCCAAAAATTAAAGATATATCGATAGAATGTCAACTGCCTAAGATAAGTCTGAATGGGTTGGGTTATAGGATTAGAAATATATAACCCTATAATCGAAATGTATCAAAATATAATTTTAATAAAATTATTTTATTCATTTGTAAGAACTCTTTTCAGTAAATAATACGTTTTTTCTCACTAGGTTAATAATAAAAAAAATATATATAATTAAAAATTTTAAAATCATTTCAGAATATAATGCAGAAACTGTGCTTTAAATTTCAAAACGAACGGTAGAGTAATTCTTGAGTTATGATGAGCTATGTATAATGATGAGCTTTTCGACTATAAAAACATGAGTTATGGGAACAGTTCTACAAATTCTTGAACTCATACTATAGGAACTTTAAAAACGCTGACAAAACTAGTCACAAAATAGAGAGTTTTGCTTTAATTTACTGGCTCTTTAGACACAAAATACTCCTTAGACAATAATTATTTGTAAAAATCATTTAAAACCATAAAATAATGCCATCCCCCCCTATCTGACACTCAAGTCTTGTTTAGAAATGTCACATTTCAGAGTAAACAGTCCCCTAGCCAGTCTAGCCAGAGTTGAAATACTGTAGGAACTGAACGCTAAGCATTCCTTTGAAAGTAATTTGTTTGCATTGCCAGGCCAGTATCAGTTATCGAGCACTTTAAAGAGATTAGACTGCTCTTCGCGGTGACTTATGGCCGGTTGTGACAGTTGGCATTTATGGCCGCATTCTGACGTTTGCCAGCCCAGTTAATGGTTTCGATGTTTACGGGAATTCTGCCCTCTAGAGGGGGTCTGAGTAAGCGGTAGTGCTCGGCTTTCTTGCTATTTGGTTTGAAACATCACGTAGGGAGGAGCATCGGAGTCATCAACGGAGCCTCCAGTTCGAGGGAAAAACTAATTAAAAGAATTTCATGTACTAGTCTGGCTGGCAATCGAGCTGCCTGGCAATTGTCTCATAATCAGCAAGCAAAAAACATTCCACTCCAAGCAATCAATCAATCAATCAAGCCACTCCGTCCATCAATCTCGAGCTAATGTCAAAACAAAGCAAAGGGATAGCTTCCTCGGCCGAAATACCCTACGTAGGGAGAGTATAGTCCATAGATAAGTATCTCATCCGGCAATACTGATTGATATATTGCATAATAAATAAGGAAGCTGACAACTCTACCCATGTAACTGCCCTATAGGTGTTGCAAGGCCCCCGACATGATAATATTACCAAACAGATTATATATTTATAATGGACTACAGTTCTAGATATTTGTACAGAATCTTACAAGTGAAGGGAGTGTAGATCCCCGACTATATTAGACTTATAGACTATATATCTTTATTAAAATCTATATCTATATATCAACCCATCTCTCTCTTCATACTTACATTCCTGCTAGTTATGGGGTGTAGGAAGTAGCTGCTGCTGCTGTTGAAGATATAGACATGGACATGCCCAGTTAGGATGGTAGGATGGTGTGGTTGTGGTGTGGTTGGATGACTGTTACAGTTGTTGTAGTTGCAAGTAGTAGACATATAGACAAGACGACGACAACGACGACGACGACGATGAGGACGAGGTCCGGGGATGCCGCGACAAGTTGCGATTTGCTTTTGTTGCAGTTGCAGATGCGAAGGATGCGGCAAAGGTTTTCTTCTAGAATTCAGCAAACTCCTTGGCGCACTTCTCTGTGCTGGAGATCCGAAGCGCCTCCTCCTCGTAGTCATCAAAGTTGCTGGTGTCGCCGGGGCCCTTACACCGGGGAATGAACGGCGCCTCGATTTTCTTTTGGAAGATCGCAATCCAGTCGGTGGAGGCGAACCACTTCTGGTTCTTAATATCATTGACGCCCGCCTTCAGATTGCCGTAGCGCTTGGTCAGGTCGACCTGCAGCAGGTTGCGCAGCAGGTCCTTCAGATCGGACCCGAAGTGCGACGGGAAGCGCACCTTGCCGGACACGATCTTCTCGTAGATCTGGATCGGTTGGTCCGCAAAGAACGGCGGATACCCGGCGGCCATTTCATAGACCAGCACGCCCAGCGCCCACCAGTCGACGGCCTTGTTGTAACCCTTCGAGAGGATGATCTCGGGCGCCAGGTATTCCGGTGTGCCGCATAGCGTCCAGGTGCGTCCCTTCACCCGCTTGGCGAATCCAAAGTCCGTCACCTTAAGGTAGCCCTGCGAGTCGATCAGCAGGTTCTCCGGCTTCAGATCGCGGTAGATGAGGTCCAGGTAGTGCAGGTACTCGAAGGCCAGCACGATCTGCGCCGCATAGAAGCGCGAGTGGGGCTCCGAGAAGCGGCCCACCTTGCGCAGGTGGGAGAACATCTCACCGCCGGGCACATACTCCAGCACCATGTAGAGGTTGGAGTTGTCCTTGAAGTGGTAGCGCAGCGAGACTAGGAAGGGGAACTGGATGGCCTGCAGGATGCGCTTCTCGTTCAGCGTGTGCTCCACCTGCTTCAGCTTCACCACCTTCTGCTTGTCGAGAATCTTCATGGCGTAGTAGTCTTTCGTGGGCTTATGCTGGACGATCATCACCCGACCAAAGGACCCGGTGCCCAGTGTCTTGATCCGCTCGAAGTCGTCGAGGGCGGCGGTGTTGGTCGGATTGCGGCGCCACTTGTCCTCGAACTCCTCCTTGGCCTGTTCGAGGAACTCCTTCACCGTTTCGGCGGCATCGACCTTCTTGTTCGAGGTGGTAGCGTTGTTGCCCATCTTGGAGATTGTGCCCGTTAACGAGGATAGACGGAACGTGGCGCTGGTCGAGACCTGAGCTTGCTGATCGGACTCGGATGCTCCTCCTCCTCCTCCTCCACCTACTCCAGCTGCTCCTCCGCTAGCTTCCGCTGCCGAAGTGGACGTGCTCGTGGCTGCGGGGGGCGTGCTCTTCTGGCTGGCGGCGGCGGTGGCTGCTGCCGATGGGCCGCTGCTGCTGCTGCTAGCCTGGTCCGCTGCCGCTCCCGCTCCTGCCGCTCCGCCCTCCTCCTCACAACTGGACTGCGCCTGTAGCTTGCCCTCGCCGGATGCCGAACTATGATGGGACTTTTTCTTTTTTAAGAACTGCAAAATGGACTTAGCTATTTTGCCGAGTTACTAGTACTGGTCGCGACTGAAATGGTTGGCTCCTGGCTCCTGGGAGAGCTTCTCCTCGATAGCTCTCTCTCTCTTAAGCGTGAGTGTGTATGTGTGTGTTTGGTTTAGACGCGTTTTTTTTTTTGATAGCAAGATCGCTGGGATGACACGTTTGCGCTTTTTTTTTGGCTTACACTAGTTATACACTTTAGGCTTATACTAACATTTGGTTTAACACTTTAGGTATCCTACTTGGTTTTGAGAAGCTGCAAAGAGACGAACGAGAAAGAGAAGAGAGAGAGAAGAGAGAAACACACAGATTAGCAACGCATCACAAGAGCTATAAATAAAGAGTCCAGATAATTATCATTTCTTTCAGTATCTCATTCGCACAGGTGTGTAGTGGGGGTGGGGTGGGGTGGGGTGAGTTCTCAAATTAATTAATTTTTTTTTTCTTCACTTTGGCCAGTTTGTTTTGCTCTTCCGCCGCTACGTTGGCACTTTTCGCAGCCGAGAGCTTTTTTTTTTTATAATCACTGAATAAATAAAACCATACAAAATCACAGATAAACAGGGGGGGAGGCGGAAGAGAACGCAGAAGAGTTCGGAGAGAGGAAGCGACTTTCGATCGTGTCAAGTGTCAAACAGCTGATGGCCGCCTATACTGCTGGCCCGCTCACTCTCACTCCCGCACACGCACAATGGCTGGCTGGTTGCCTCCTCCTCTTCACTCCACCAAGATCACTCTCTGTCTATTTAAATTTTAAATTATTAAATACTTTTGGCACCGTTTTTTTGCCGTTTTCTTTTCAGTTGATTTTTGCTTTTTCTTTTTGCTTTGTCTTCGCACTTTGGGGTTTTTTTTTATAGGCTTATGTTTGTGTGTGTGTTTGTTCTGGGGCGACACTTTTGCGCTCTCGTTTTGGCCTCTCTCCTCTGTCACTATATGTTTCGCACACTTTTTTTTTAAATTAGTTAAATTGGCCTTTATTGCACATTGTGCTAAATTTCTTTACTCGGTCGGTTGGGGCATAAAAACGGCCCGTGGTTTAAACGCATACACACACACCGATCTCCGTCCTTCTCGCTCGCACCCACACACACTGCCGTACACAGATTGGATAATCGATTTTTTTTTTACACATTCATTTCGTTAACTAACTGCCTTTTTTTTTGCATATATCCCGAGAATTACCTTTTGCAATTAACTACTAAGTTGACAGCGCCCAGAAACACTTTTATTGCATTCGACTTTCCGATTCCGCACTGTATCTTTAGGTGTATGGCTTAGATTAGAAATACCCGCATAACCGCCGACCGTACCAACACGTATAGCTAGGGTTGTTGATTATTTGCAGCGTGACCGCACCCAAAACGACCCAAAATACCTTCCGCCGAAACAAGAAATCCCAAAAAATACCAAATCCAGAGTGCAGTGTTGGAAACCAACAAAAGAAACCGGTTCTGTAAAACAAAAAAGTAGAATTTTTTTTCGGTATTTAAATCGCAAAATTCCCATACGATTAATCTATCGATTATTTTATCAAAATTTGAAAAAAAAGATTAATAAATATTAAAGTATTTAATATATATCTGATGAAAAAACATATTTGAAGAAAAAATTATTCAAATAAATTTTTAATAAAACTTAATATTTTTAATAATCCATTTCGTGATGAGATCCCTTGAAAATGGGGTTTCCCCTATAGGGTCCACAGGGATGGCTATATCTTCTCCAATTCTTATCCGATTCTCAAGAAGAGTACCTTAATCGATTTCTGGATCGATTTGCCACCATTCTGCATCAAAATCCTGAGACAAAATATTTTTTAGATTTTTTGTCCATTTTTCCTGATGAGATCCCTTGAAAATGGGGTTTTCCCCTATAGGGTCCACAGGGATGGCTATATCTTCCCCAATTCTTATCCGATTCTCAAGCGGAGTACCTTAATCGATTTCTGGATCGATTTGCCACCATTCTGCATCAAAATCCTGAGACAAAATATTTTTTAGAATTTTTGTTTTCCCCTCCATGGCCCCTTTAATCCTCTTGATAATCCTTTATCTGTATACATCATTTTCTGTATTTTATTGTCCATATGTTTTGTTTTAATTTATAAAGTTAAATTTATATTACCTTCTTGCATGTTAGAATATTAAAATAATAGTTTTTAAAAAATACCATTAATGAAATAAGTTTTTAAAAACAGTATTTCTCAATAGCCGTTAGTATGACCATCAAGGGATGGTATTTTGGGATTTTCGAGACGAACGGTCTTGCAGCCCAGACGCACGTGTTTTGAAAACGTTTACAATTAATTGCGATTCAGCCTCCATTGCCCTCAGTGAAGCAACAAGCCGAGAGGTTGCATTTAATTAAATTCCTATTGAAACTCCAAAGAAACTAACTTCAAAATGGTAAGTTACCGCATCCAAAGCCGTGTCAAGTGGAAAACTCAAAGTATATTTCCTTTGCAGACCGAAGAAGTGAACCCCAAGGCATTCCCGCTGGCCGATGCCCAACTGACGGCCAAAATCATGAACTTGCTGCAGCAGGCCCTAAACTACAACCAGCTGCGCAAGGGCGCCAACGAGGCCACCAAGACTCTGAATCGTGGTTTGGCCGACATCGTTGTCCTGGCCGGCGACACCGAGCCCATTGAGATCCTTCTCCACCTCCCGCTGCTATGCGAGGACAAGAACGTGCCCTATGTGTTTGTGCGCTCCAAGCAGGCTCTGGGACGCGCCTGTGGAGTCTCGCGTCCAATTGTCGCCTGCTCGGTGACCACCAACGAGGGCAGCCAGCTCAAGTCTCAGATCACCTCGATCCAGCAGGAGATTGAGAGACTGCTAGTCTAAGATTATAGCATAAGTGAATAAGTACAAAGTCAAATAAATCTGTATTTTTCAAATTAAAATTTAATTCAATGGCACATGTTTTTATTATGGGGCTATTTCATAGGCACCGGAAATACTAAAAAAAATACCGAATGTGCCGACGATCAGCTGTTCCAGCCGATAGTGTTGGTTGGAAATCGCAGCCGATGAAGGAAAATAATTGTATTTAGGCTGCCAAGGTATATTAAAGGGTGGTAATAGTTTATTTATTAAGTATAAATTATTTAATCCCATATTTAATTTACCTTTAGTAACTTTTCATTCATTTTTCCGAAGCAGTAATCCAAATTTTGGCTTGAAAACCACCAGGTGCCTACCACTGCCATCCGTGTGAATGCCACTTGTCTGCCGCACAATTGCACGATTCCACAAATTTGGAAACTGTCCGACCCGTAACCCCCAATGACAACGATGCATCGCAGCCCCAGCTTAAGAAGGCAATCTCTGGCTGGGCGTAAGTGACAAGCGGCAATCGAAGCACTCGATTCGGTAGCAATCAAATCAAAAACCAAATCCTGACCAGCAACTCGACGGGATGAAGCTGCTGGGCAAATACGTGGACAAGGGCATGCAGGGGTGAGTGAATAACAAAGGCAATGACCCTCCAATTCAACCTCCTTTGTCTATTGCAGCAATGTGACCCTGATGCCAGAGGAGTCGGAGGACATGTGGCATGCTTATAATCTGATCTCTGAAGGCGACAGCGTGCGCAGTACCACCATTCGCAAGGTGCAGAACGAGACGGCCACCGGCTCCTCCACCAGCAATCGTGTGCGAACCACCCTAACCATCGCCGTGGAGAGCATCGACTTCGATACCCAAGCATGTGTGCTCCGGCTGAAGGGCCGCAACATAGAGGAGAACCAGTACGTCAAGATGGGGGCCTACCACACGCTGGACCTCGAGTTGAACCGTAAGTTTGAGCTGCGCAAGCCGGAATGGGACACCATCGCTCTTGAGCGTATCGAAATGGCATGCGATCCCACCCACTCTGCCGACGTGGCTGCTGTGGTGATGCAGGAGGGATTGGCCCATGTCTGCCTCATCACGGCAAGCATGACTCTAGTGCGTAGCAAGATTGAGGTCTCCATACCGCGCAAACGAAAGGGCAGTGTCCAGCAGCACGAAAAGGGTCTGGCCAAGTTCTACGAGCAAGTGATGCAGAGTATTCTGCGGCACGTCAACTTCGATGTGGTGAAGTGCGTGCTCATAGCTTCTCCGGGATTCGTGAGGGACCAGTTCTACGACTATATGTTCCAGCAGGCTGTCAAGATGGATTACAAGCTCCTTCTGGACAACAAGAGCAAGTTTATGCTAGTCCACGCCTCCTCAGGATTCAAGCACTCGCTGAAGGGTGAGCTACCATTTAATCCTTTCTATTTATATACTAATCTCTTGCTTTGGTTTTGCAGAGGTCCTCCAAGATCCGGCTGTGGTATCCAAAATGTCGGACACAAAGGCCGCCGGTGAGGTCAAGGCTCTGGAAACGTTCTACATGATGCTTCAGTGCGAGCCCGCCAAAGCTTTCTACGGCAAGAAACACGTCCTCCGCGCCTCCGAATCGCAAGCCATCGAAACGCTGCTCATCTCGGACAACCTCTTTAGGTGAGTTCCAGTCGGGTGAGCACCCGTCAAGCTTAATCAACCACAAAGATCAAGAGCATGATCGTAGTTACTTTTGAGTAGCCTTCAACTTGAGTAAGTTACGTGAGAGTGTCTCTGGTAGGTGTCTCATGGAGGACACTTTATCACTTGCTTTCTTTGAAGATGAGAGAGTGGAGGTACTTTTGGAGTACGGAAATGGGGTTATTAAATTTATGAAAGCTTGTTTTTTAAATTTATAGGCCTTCGTTTAAGAAAATCTATTGAAAATGTAGATAAAAAGATTGTATTGATACTTATAGGCCAATAATAGGGATTTGGAGGCATCTAAAGATCTTTTAAAGATAGGTAGTACACTGTCATATATTATATTATATTATATTTGAGAATAGATTCGGTAGAGGATCTAGAAATTGATAAAAGATTCAAAAAAAGGTTAATTTAGATGTTTTAATGCAGATTGGTAGACCATTATACCATAAATCATTAAGGATTCATCGCTTAACTATCGAATAACTTCGTAAACTATTCAAGAACAATGTGTTTCATTATTAATATTTATTTTTTATGAGTTTCATTACAATATAGAAAGTTAAATGCTTATGATCCTCTACTTCTGAATGACTCTAGAGGAGCGCCAAGATGTGATATCCCCCTTGGACTCCATTAGCCTTAGATGATCTCTTATTCTTCCGCTCCGAGCTCCAAGCTCTTGACAATTTTACGCATTTAGCCATTTAAAGAAAGCACGTTTGGGCATTAATCTGTTGGCCCCATGGCGACGTGCTCACGATCAAGGTTGCCCCAATGTCTCCGCACCATTTTTGGATGCCCGTCTGTTCGGTTCGGTTCTGGTCTCTTTCCAGTACAGCTCTCCTTTGTTTACGTTTTAATGAGCCGTAGAAATTCCATTTAGAAATCTTTTCGTATGCTAACTGCGTGGCAGGGCAATAAAATTAAAATTAAGTGTTCTGGGTTCTCTTTACTTAGAATTTAGTGTACTTATGGTACTAGGCAAAAGGTATTTTATTTTAGCACATTTAATCAGTCCGCTTAGGTATCTTACCCCCACTAGAAGTCCCCCCCCTCTCTCTGGTTGTGGTATCAAAAATTGTTCAGATCGCAAGTGGCCAGCGTTATCGTCGTTGTGGGTCTTGTGGCTCTCGACTCGCCATTATCGCGACATTTTTTATTGCTGTGGATGCGGAAGAAACGGTGGAGTCTAAGTTAGTAAGAGCTTTGATTTGGATTCTCTGACAGACTCACCGCCTTCTCTGCATTTCGTTCCACTGGTTCTTCAGGTGCTTCTGCTGGTATACTGGGTCCTCCGCCAGGTCCTCCTCCCGGCTCCTCATTAGCAGGCGCTTGAAGCAGTCATCGAGTGTCTCCCGCAGGGGCAGCAGGCGGTGGGGCGAGGCTGGAGGCGAGGCGGGCATCTTCTTGGAGTCCACTTGCCGGAGAGACTCGCACGTGGTGGCGTCGGGCCACTGATGAACGGGGTGACCCAGCTCCGAGATGGTGTAGTCGGGCTGTCTGGTGAGCATCGCGGATCGAATTATTTCAATTGAATGGGACTCGTTGGTGTTAAGTGGCCGGCACTTGAGCTCTGGAACTGGAGTGGAGAGTCAAGTGATGTTTGGATAAATAACTTCAGATCTTCAGAGATTTTTTATAATTGGAACCGAACTAGTTTATGGGTCTATTAATGGCCTTTCCTTCTTTTTTCTTTAGATTCTCCGGAATTCGGTCTGCCCCTCACCCATTTAATCCATATCCGTAGCCCCTCAATGTCGCATTTCGAGCTTGATTCGCGTTTTTTTTTCTGCTTTTGGGGGTCTTTTTATATAGCTTTTTGTTCGCCAGACGGGTTTCGATTAGCAACTGATGTAAATAAGCTGGCTGTGCACTATATAGAATATATCTTTGAGCAATATATCCCAACAATTAGAACCCCCAACCGTTTCTTGTGCTAATTATTAAAAATCGCTGTGGGCGAGAGATAGGGCAATAGAAACAAAAAATAAAAATATAAAAAAAATATTTAATTTAATCGTTCCGTTTATGGATGGCTCGCCACTCTTGTTCTTCATTATTATGGTATTACGTCTCTCCGGGTTCTGTCTCCCAATGGATTCCATCCACGCCATGTGTGGTGATCCACTTATCAAGTTCTTCAAGCTTTTGGCGCTTTTCCTTCGCGGTTTTCCCACCCAGACCCCATGTCTCATGCTCTCAGGCTTATGGATTTTTGTTTTTCACATGCCACTCGTGTGTCCAACCAGTTTTTCTTGTCTTTTGCCTCAAAAACGTGCCCCCTTTAGACGGTTGTAGTTGCTATTGTTGTCACAGCTGGCACATATAAGCAATTGTTTATATTTTTATTCGTTCATAACTCTAGATCGTGAAAGCCAATGGCCAGAAGTGAAAGGGCTTGGCGATATTGATACCCTTAATGGGAGAGTTAACTGAATACTACCTCTATGAATCACTGTTGTAGGATCTTGAAGCGGAATTTTTATGATTTTGGGGCTCGGTTGGCAATCAATGAGTTGGCTGTTTCAAAATCTCAAGGCGTTGTCTTAAAGGTTATAAATGTTGTCTTTAAAAAGAGGTTTTGCAATTTTAATTAAACCATATCCAAGTTCGTGTTTTCCCATGTTTAAATTGCCAATTTTAATGGCCACTTACTGGTATCTTTCACTCACTTTCCTACCCCACCTACCACTTGGGCCCAGACCCATGAAAAGTCATGGCTCTTTTCGGCTAGACGTGACGGGACCTCGTGCACGCTAATTCCATTATAACAATTGATTCCATTGTGCAATCATTGTCACGCAGCTATGTACATCAGCAACAACATCACCACAAAAATCAGTAGCAACATCCAGAGCTGCAGGTACAACAATGGCTCGCAGCTTGCGGTTAACGGATGAGTAAAAAAATGCACACACAGGTAGCAGATAAAATTGTATCTGTTGCCGATGTATCTGCATTGCTCTCCGCTGACTCAACAGTTGGGGGAAAAAAATCAAAACCCTAAACTAAGCCGTCATATGGATGAGGGATTTTAGAGATTCTGTTTGCATTAGACAGCAATTTTTGTCCTACGGGGGGACTGCAAACTGAAAACTTTCACTTTGAGATACAAACGCACCTGAGTATCTTTTAAAATCGTGTTTTATTTGCACTTTTCTTTAGCTTTTTGTTGATGGTTTCTGGTTTTTAAGGGACTGGGAATGGAGGCCTTTTTCTTTTCTCTCGAGGGTCTTAGCACCAATTTTTCTTTTCGCGTGGCAGTCTCCGGTTTGTTTCGGTTTTGGTTTTAGTTTCTCGATAGCTTGATGGCTCGATGTGCCCCGCAAGAAAGCCGCTTTTCGACTAATTCTTCGCTCCGAAGACAGTCTTCTCTTTCTTGCTCTGCACGTGCTGTGGAACGTATGTACAGTGGGCGTTAATTGAATATGTTCTTGGGGGTAATCACATAGAACTTTTGGGTAGAAGTTGTAATATTATCTTGTTAATGTTATTTTTTCTGGAAAATATCATCTTTAATTCTTAGAAATAAAATAAATATGAAATAAATCTAGTTTCTTTAACAATTATGTAGGGATTATTATAATATTGTGGTTATGATCATCAGGGCTAAAATTTTACTAATTTTTGTCGAATAATATGTTTGGTAGATACTTTGTCCATAAAAATAAAATAAATGGGAAAAAATATAGATCAGTGGTCGGAAGGGCTTTATTCCAAGAGGCATAGGTAATGTCTCTGTCGAAAATATAGATTCTTAAATCTGTGGTAATGGTTTTAATAATCAAGACCTTGTAAATTCCATATCTTTTATATATTTTGACTAGTATCTTAAACAGAGCATAATTATAATTTTCATAAAATTTATTAATATTTATTTTATTTTATTATTATTTTTATTTTATTTATTATTATTTTTTATTTTATTTATTTTATTAATACATTTATTAATAATGAAGAACTATATATGTATCTTGTTCTTCTACAAACCTATCCCCACCTCCATCAAAATAAACCTATTTAATTACCCTGCACTGTACAATACAATCCACAGAGTACTCTTCACGATCTCAGCTCCTATATACTTCAGCTCTCACTCTCTCTTAACAAATAAAAAGCGGTTTGTTGTCGTCAATAAAAATGATAATTGAAATTGAATTTTTTCTTTCACTTGATGCTTTTTTTTTCTTAATTTTTCTTCATCAAGAATGTGCTTTTTTTTACCTGAATATCCATGTCTGGGGTGTTTGAACTGTCTACTTAAAGATACTTTCATTACTCGCTTCTAGTGACTTGAAGTTCTTTAGGTTTAAGTTTATTTAAAAGTGAAATTAAGTATAATTTTATTTCTCTGGAATGGGTGAAGGGTGAACCCTCTAGTTCCAGTTAAACTTGACACCTTATTCAGTGGGGTTTATGCCTGTCACGTGCCTCTGTTGAGTACCCCGAGCTATGAGTCCGGCTGTGGAATGCGAATGTGCAATTGATACGATTACCTATTCATATCCGTATGAGTATGATTTATGGACATATTAATTATCGATTTGTAGTGCTGCCTTGTATTTATACTTTGAGTTTCCCCACTTACCTCTTACAGATGTCAGGACGTTAATCTCAGGAAGGAGTACGTGAATCTGGTGGAATCGGTTCGTGATGCTGGCGGCGAGGTGAAGATCTTCTCAAGCATGCACATCTCCGGAGAACGTAAGTTGAAGAGCTCCAGCCCAGTATATCCCTCTAGAAATGACTCACTTTGGGGAATTGAAAGAAACTTCTTAATAGAGTTAATTGGCTGCCCTTCTAGAGCTACTTTGAATTCAAATATTAGATCTTCTAAAAACAAGATGATTTAAAGAAACCTAGAACTTGATAGAACCACACCATGACTCATTTTTGAAGAGAGTTCGCTCCTTTCAAGACAAGAATAGACCATCTCCAGTGGAGAAGTCTTGCCACACACTTGTTCCACCTTTTGGCCAGTTCTATGCTCGATTTGAACCCCTGCCTTCCCCTGTCTAAATGACCTCGTTAAAAATTCTATTTTTAATTCCATCGCTGCAATATTTTTCATATACACATAGAGGTATACTCATGCCAGCAGATGCGTGTTTCATGGAGGGGTCTCCCGCATTACAAAGTCCATTACCCAGATGAGCCAAAAACATCATCAAAGTGCATTGAAAGGCTGCCAAATAGTTGGCTACTTTCGCTTTCATTTTTTAAAATTAATTAATTAAAATTGCACTTTGCATATTGCGAATATTTTCGGGGTGTAAAAGACTTAAAGACTTTAAATAGCCGCCCATCTAAGTGACTCACGAGATGCAGTTCTGCTTGTCTGGTTGGCAAGACTTTAGTTTTTTCGGCTCGAAAATGGGTCGCCAGAGGACCCGAAATAGAACCCCCCATACCATTGTCCATTCTTATCTCTTCAATGAGACCCGCAAGTACTTTAATCATCATGAAAATTATATAAAATTATAACCAGAGTCTTGTGTAAACAAAAGATAAGCGAATTCTTGCATTAATCTCTGGCTCTGAATATTAAGTGCCTATTCTGAAGTTCACTCTGTGAGTTCTCTGGGTGAGTCATGGCCTAGAACAACTGGTGAGCCTTGGAATTGGACAGCAGAAACGCCCACAACCCGGGGGCACCGTGTTGCAGTCGATGGGCTTGCACTTTTGCCATTGACTTGTATTTCAAGTTTCTCAGACTAGTTTCTCTAAACAATTCTATTCTAATATCGTTACAGAACTGGCTCAGCTGACTGGAATTGCGGCTATCCTGCGGTTTCCGATGCCCGAGCTGGAGGACAGCGACGACGAGGAGGACGAGGATGGTGCCGCGGGCGGTGGCGATAGCGATAGCGACTAGAATGAAATTATAGGATCTAATAACAGCGATAAAATGGATGGAATCTTGGCATTTTGTTAAAGGAAATATATATATGACTTAGGACCCAATATACAAGTAGACTAATAGGAACCACGACAGACTTGGACAGCGTCAGGGCTTTTATATTTTACGTAGAACTAATTCGATACGATATACACAACAACAAACAACCATTATTTAAGTTAGTTTGTGGCTGAGGAGTCTAGCTATTTTTTAGTCACAGTCCCCACCATATTATATAATCGTGTTCAATCGAGTGGCCACAATTTTGATAGCGTTGATGATAACTAATTGATTGATTTATACCCGAAAGCGACTTTTCCATCGCTGTTGACAGCTGAGTTTAAAGTTGTAGATTATTTTATAGAAGATCCTCTACAAATCGATTATTTTTCAAAAATATAAATTATACAAAACTATGTTCTATAATTACTTTCTCCAGATAACCTCATAGTTTTAAAATTTTCCCTTTAAATGCAATATCCTAGCCTACTCTATAAATTATTTGAAGACCTTCTAAATGTTCTAATTATGTAAAATATACAATAAATTTCCAAAAGTGCTGAACAATATCCGAAAAGACTTTCATTAAGTTTCATTATTTATTTGATTTTAACCCTAAAACAAGACACTTAACCCCCTAATCCGCCTCCAGCTCACTTGCTCAGCTTGGAGGCCTTGGCGGCAGCAGCAGCCGCCTCCTTGCGGGCCGCTCGCTTGGCTGTCTTGCGCGCCTCCTTCTCGCCGGCCTCGAAGGTGCGTCGCTTCTTCCGCAGCAGCCACTCCTCCTTCTCCTTGGTCTGCTTCTCGCGGATGAGCTTGCGGAAGAGGTTGCGGTGGCGGGGCTTCACCATGCGCGCCTGCAGACGGTGCTCGTCCACCTCGGCCTTGTGCAACTGCCGCTTGTTGACCTTGTGCACCTTGCCCGATTGCACGGACATCTTTTGCTTCTCCTCCTGCAAGCGCTTAGCCTGCTCGTCCAGTTCCTCTTCTTCTTCATCCTCTTCATCGTCTTCTTCCTCTTCATCCTCCTCATCGGGATCTTCCTCGTCCTCGTTGACGCCATCGGGCCCGCCGTACTTCTTGTACTCGGCGGTTTCCTGTTGGTAGGCCAGTTGTAGCTGGGCATCGAGCAGCTCCTGGTCCACAGCCTCCTCCTCTTCCGGAGCGGCTTCCTCCTCGGAATCATCGTCGCTTTGCTCTGAAGAGGGAAACAAATATTAATATGGATGAGGAATACCCAGGAGAGCTAACATACCATGTGTTTCGATCAGGGAAGGATCGTGCAGGGCCTTCTCCTCGGGCGGGATGTACGTGTCCCTCTTGGAATCCACGAATGGCGACAAATGGGGCGGCAGCTTCTCGCCTATGAAGTACTTGTTGGTTGGAAGCAACTGACGTCGGTTCACGCAGTCGAATAGCCACTGGGGCTGGATGTAGTCCCTCGAGATGTATTGCGTTGCCAGGCTGGGGCGGTCCACGATTTGATGGGTGATGGTCTCATCGCTTTCATCAAAAGTGGAGCCTGGGAAAATGGACGAGTCCCAGGACACCTTGCCACCGAAGGATTTGATGAGAATGACCAAAGGCTCACGGGGCACCTCGCGGTTGATGAAGAACTTCAGGCCCTTGAAGAGCGTACGCAGGCGGGCCACTTCCTGGGCCTCCTGTTTCATTTTTATGATGCGCTTGGAGTCGCCATCCTGTTCCAGGAGCTCCATGTCGATGTCCAACTCCTCCTCGTCTTCCTGCACCTTGTCCGTGCGCAACAGGTCAAAGTTGAGCGCTGCGATACGGTCGGACACGAAACTGCTCTCGTCCTTGAGAGTATCTTCGTTGTCCTGGAGCATGTTGGTCGGAAACTGTGGTGGATAGGCCAGATTCAAGCCGTGGAACAGACGGAAGTTGGTGAAGCCCAGCATAATGGTGTAGAACTCCACGAAGATCGACATCACCTTGAAGTCAACCTCCTGGCGCGACTGGGGCTTGAATGGGTAGTAATGTGGGACGATCCAGGTGACCTTCTGGCCCTTGATCTCTGCCTGGAAGTAGTAGCCCTTGATGGAGATGAACACCTTGCGTAGGGATTTAGAAGCGATCACATAGTGCAGGAACTCAACAGTCAATCGGCGGCAAAGATTGGACTGCTCTCGGGGAATCAAGTGCAGCGAGGGAAAGGTGCTGAACAGGAAGAGCAGAGTCAGGCAGTCGTCCAGATCCTTCAGGGCGTCTATGAAGGTGGGGTAGCGCTCCTTGACGATGTGATCTAGCTTGATTTCGGGAAAGAGGGCCAGGCGACGCTTCAAGTTGCGGAAATCCTTGATGGCACGATCGCGGTTACTTTTCTTGGCAAAAATCTGCAAAGAACGTGGCGTGGATTTTAGATACAAGGTTGTAGTTGGCCGGAAAATGTTAAAGAGAAACCCACCTTGTAGTCACGCAGAGTCCAGACAATCTGTTCATGCAGCAGGAAACGAATATCCTTGGTGTGGTACAAAACTCTGATCTCGGAGGAGCCCTTTTGAGCTCTGCGCCGGTGCTTGGGCTCCCTGGGATAAACGCCCTTTAAGATGCACAGCCTCCGGAAGTCGTTCAGGGAGAGCTGAAGCTTCCTGAGAGCTGCTCGTCGACTAATATACTGTGTGGCCTCGCCGGATTCGTACTTTAATTAAATTTAAAAACATTATTAGATGGTATTCTTTCTAAAGCGCAGTTAGGGATAACCCTACAAATTTATAGGGGACTCTAACTTGGTGTATAGCTTAAACGCTTACCTTCTTGGGACGCCTCATTCTGTTGGATTAGGGTAAATGCACTTTTGGAAATCTTTTCAAGGAAAATCTGCTTCAAACAGATTTTTAAAAAGAAAAACACGCTGGTGACCAAAACACACGTTTTTTGTGCAGTATTGGCAAGCGCGAAGGGAATTCAATTTTGTGTGTTGGAAAACACAAACATTTAAATCTGAAGTATCGATATATCGATAGGCACTACCTGGTGCGACCAGACTTACCCAGAAAAGTAACCGCTTTTTAAATTCGGTTTATTTTTAATTCTTTTTATTAGGTGTTAAAAAATATTTAAAACGGCCTTAAGATTCAAAACATACTTCCCTTTGCCATTGGATAACTCATTTTATTGAATCTGTTTTTATTGTTTTTTATAGGTATTGTATTGAGAAAATAACATACAGTCTAAGTTTGTTGTATTATATAATATTCGTTATATATTAGTTAGTTTGAACATTAACTTCGTTTTTTGTTTTTCGCAGCCTGCTTACTGCAGTTGCTTTTCGTTTTCGTTTCTTGGTTGATAACAAAAGTTTATTAAACGGCCATATTTTCGTTTGCTGCGGCTCTTCTATAACTCTGCTATATAACGGTATTCGATCCGCTGTAAACTTTCGTGTGTCCTTGTGTTCGTGTGCTGTCGCCTGCTCGGACAATGTCCTTGCACTTTCAAAGCCTTGTTAACGGTTCAATGTATATGTAATTATGTATCTGAGTGTGTGTGGTTTGTTGTATATTTCACCTAAATAACTAGTTAACATTTCGGTTTATTCTCTATAGCTTCTTTTTGATTTACACAAGTGTCGTTCGATCTGTTCACGTTAGCTGCTCTGTTCAGCTCCTTACCAGTTTGCCATCCCCTAAAATGCTTTTATATAACTTCATATAACTCTTGTTTCATAAATATCTTGAGTGCCAGCCATATATGTTTGCATGTATTGTTTGAAATTGACTATATATTTGATTTTCCTTTACTCCAAGCCCGCTTTTGATGACCTCTGTTAACTAATGAGTTTATTGTTTTACCAGTTTTTTTTGTTTGTTTATTTGATAGTAGGTCGTTGTGGTTTGGGAATCAAATGACTGCGCGTGTCTGGGTATTCTTTTTGTATAAAATCTAAATGTCGTTAACTAGACGTACTCGTATAAAGTAAATAACTCGCTGTATTGCATCTTTTTTTTTAATGTATTTGTCATATATTCCCCATACTGGGATGGTAAGGGGACTGGGATCTTTGACGAAGGAAAGATAACTCCTATTGATGACCTAAAGCAACGTAATGGGTACCATATCTTTAGAACGGGATGAGTAACGTAACCGACATTTTTCATGACCATCTGTTATTTTTGTTCTTTGTGACTATCGAATTATTCATATAAATCATTTGTACAATCTTATGTGCTAGAAGCGTATCAGTTGTTAAAATTAATGTCTGTTATTATAATTCTCTCAATGTTCGCTATTAAAATTACGTTCCCGTCAGTACTAATTACATGCCCATTGTCGATCGGTCCGCTATTTATTTACCTCGACAAAATAAATAAAAACACACTCGATAAGTTAAATTTAAGAGTACAACGATCCAAACTGAACAACAAAAAATCTTTTGGTGGGTAATGATAATTGTATTACACACGACGGCTATATTCTCACACGCTATATATCCGATCTGGTCCATCGGCTGGCATTACAAATAAAAAACGCATCCGGTTTATACACTTATAAATTTGAATACGCTATAAAATCTTTAAATTAGTCTACCAATATGTTAACTATTACTTTTTACTGGATTCGTTTATCAAATTTGCTTCGTTATCGTTATCGTTATCGGTAGCAATGTCGTTAATTGGTAATCGTTTGGTTTCCACACTTCAACAAAAATCGAAAACAAATCGAAGCTAACTGACAATTTATTGTTTGCTGTGTTTCATTTGTCTTTACAACGGACGCAACTTGAAACGGTCTCTAAATAGTGTATAATCGAATATAGGTATTGTATACATTGCATTTTCACGAGTTCTATTTATATTTTTTCGTTATTGTATTGAGTATTTAAAAAAAGTAATCCACTTGCAGTTTTTTTTGAGAGTACGCGTATCTCACAGACACTCTATATATGTATATACTGGCTTATAAAAGTTAATAAATATCCGTGTGTATATAAGTGTGTTCCATATACGGTTTAGATCTAGTTGGTAGATTATTTAAAGCTGAAATTAATGATTATGTGTTTGTTCGTTATGCGGTATTTCGGTAACCGGTTATCGGTAATTCTTGTTCAAGACGATTGTTATAGGTGATTGATTGACTTGAGAGCGTGATTTGAATGGCCAGATCTCTAGAAATGCTTTCGAATGGTCTGTGTTTGTGTTTGCTAATTTTATTTAAAAAACATCGAACATCGAATATACAAACATGCCAATTACGGTTAAATAATCGATTGGTTATACTTACGGTTCATTTTTCTGCAAACTCAAAATTTGGTTTGAGGCACAAAATTAGCAAACACCAAATTTAGTTTTTTTTTTTTTTTGTTATTTTACTTTTTTCTTTAATTTCAAACAATGATTTTTATTTTCATAGTTAAATATTTCATAAAGTATATATAGCATTACTATATCTTTCGATTTGGTTTGTTCTGTTTCGTTTTTATCGTTATTATTATTATTTCATTCTTTCCTTACATTTCGTTTATGTTTTTTTTATGAACGCTTTTGCTAATGTTTCAACAATTTTTTTGTGTTTTTGTTTCACTTTTACTTTTTACGCAATTATTCAACTTGTTAAAAATCTATAACCATAACAATTTCATATATATATATATCATATATATATTTGTATATATATATTTCTTGTATATATTTCTTCTTATTTACTTTGCTTTAAAGCGAGACTACGGCCACTCGACATTTGGTGTGGTGTATGTGCGTTTTTGTTTGCAAATGACTTTCGGGTGGGATGGCTAGAGTATAGTATGTGGGCTTAGGTGGCAAATGAAATACGGTCTATTGAGATTTATTTCCATTTTTGGATGCTATTATTCGTATGGAAAATGTGGGTGTTATTGGGGTGAGAGAGAGGTTAAGGTTAGAGTTCGATCCTGTGCGGAAGTGGGTCCTACGCTGTAATTTGTATGTTATCGATAGACTCTATAGTATAGAGGGAAAAGTGATCGCGATATGTTCGAATGCGTGTGTGATAGTTGGTGTGTGAGTGAAGAAAATCTTTAGTACAAGTAATTGCTGGGTGTCCTTTTCGTTAGGTTCTAATAAGATGTAATTAAGTATGAGTGTTTTGTTTGAATTATTTTTTTGCTTTTTATATAATAAATATGATTTTGTTTTAAAGTTAATTTGGAAGATATTTTTTTTTTTGGGTTTTCTATTCGATTTAGTTTTTGTATTTAGTTAAACATACAGCTTGTATAAAAGTTTAAGTTAATTTGTTGTTTGTTCTTGGAAGTTGTCTCTGTTAAAGCCTGGCGACCGAGGCAATCCTACTTTTGAGAAGTGAGCTTGCTAGTTATCGATATCGATGGACTAAAGTCAACAATTTCGTGTGGAGAGCAACCCTGGTTTGAATCTTGGGAGTTATCATATTTTAGGAAGAAAATAATTAAAAATTATTATTGTTAAGGTAACAAGTTTTGAAAAAAGATATATTTTATAGTTAACTCTCCACACTGACTAGAGGTTTCAATGGGCTATAAAACGGATTTAGTATGGGGACTGGCGAATGACCTTATGTAAGCCTCTATCGAGTATTATACAATGTCTCAGTATCTTTTTCCCTGACTCTATCCTCGTTGCCATTTCCTATATATGTTTGTATTTCTTTTGGCTTCGGGCGCCATTTTTCCATCTTTTCCGCTGTAGTTGTGACTCTGGTCTGTCCATATTCTATATGCATATTTAATATTATTTTTATCCATTTATTTATTTATATATATTTATATCTTTGTGCAATCGAATGCACTGCACCCATGGGGTGTAAGAGCAGCCACTTAGTTACGTTATTTCTGCACTTGAATCTGCATTCAGTAAGTAAAGTACGCATATATAATTATTTCCGATGGCTTCCACCACATGCATTGGAACTGCTGGCCTGGCTGAGCTTGCTTGGCTTCTGGAGCTGCTTCAATGTACAGTTATTATATTTCGATTTCTGCCATTTAATTATAGTGAAATGCACGGTATCATACATGTTATCGTATGTATATAGGGTGTACAGATACATGTATGCTCATATATGTATATAGCGTGATGCTCCTTTAATTCACTGCTAATAAAAATTATTGCTTTCTGTTCTATGTCTGTGCGAGTGTGTCCTTGTGTGGGTATCTGTATTAGTATTGTATCCGTGTGTGTGTCTGTTGTATCTGTATCTGTATGTGTTGTTGTTGTTGTTCTGTCATTTCCTTAACTTCATTGCGAGCCATATGCAAACGTTTTGGATATCCGTTAGATACATTGCCTACTTAATTATAGTTGCATATATATATTTATGTATATATAGTAATTTATCTTCTGTTATATATAAAATATATATGTATGTATATATTTGGGTGTATATATGTATGCGTTTAATGTTAAATTATTTGGTTTTTATTCATCGTTTCGTCAACATTTGCATCATTTTCTATGCAGTTTTTACGGCCACTTGGTATTACGAGTTTAGGGTTTTAGTTTAGAAAAAATGTTACGTACCTTTCTAAATAAAGAGAGCAAGTTGATTTTGTTTCATATTTCGTTAAATATCGTCTTATATGTCATTTATATATAAATACGTTTAATATGCTCGTATATATGTACTTGGGACTTCATTAAGCAAAAAGTATATGAAATTAGTTTGGTTTCGTATTTCGTATTTGGTTTTTTCTTAAAGTTTTTAATAATTTTTTTCCCGCCTTTTGGTAGGTTTGGTTTTTGTTTTTGGATTTGAAATAGTCTATAATAAATATGGTTTCAATTGAAAGTTAAATTTAACACTCTGCTCCATCCATTAGACTCAATGGAGAATTAGAATTAGGGCAATAAGTACGCAAATTATCACTTAATCAATATAGGTCAATATATAGTATGCCATGTAAGTGTGCGTGTGAGTTGGTATATAAGTATTATGTATTATAAGTCGTTAAACTAGATAGAGTTTAGATAGGCTCTGGATAAAGCTTTAAGGAGAAATCTTGGTAGAGCACGCAAATAAAGGCTTTGCAAAACTTCTAGCACAGTTCGCTCGATTGGATTCTTCTGGATTTCAGTTTCTTTAATTTATTCGGATCATCGTATCGTATCATATCCTATCGTATCGTATATTTAGGGTGCTATTGTGCCAAGATATACATATACATAGATTTGTAGATACATACATGCCCCTCTTGTTCCTATTTTTTTAGTTTTTAGTTAAAACCCAAACGCTAGGTAGATAGTTAGTATGTTTTTTGGTTGGTTTTCTTTGCTTGATTGGGAAGCCATTGATCGTGTTCCTTCTTTCGCTCTAAAGTTGTACTAGGTCATAGGTCATAGATAGATACGATAGAGTTGGGACCAAAGTTAATAGAGTATAGAGTATAGAGAGGATAAGGAGAGGGGCTGCTTGCATTAAAAAGCTGCTGCTAAACACTTTAAAGTAAATGTCTTTCGAAAAAGAAACGCTGCCACTAACTAACTCGCATTTTGTTAACGTTAAGTTTTCATCGTCTTTGTTATTATTTTGTATCAGTATTCAGTATTCAGTATCTTTATCGTTATCGTTATCGTTTTCGCTTTCGCCATTTTGTTCGTGTAGCTGTGAATTGTGTGAGTGTGTATCTGTGAGTGACTGCGTGTATGCGTGGATTTGTCGGTTTAACAATTCGATTATTTAGCTTTAGTCCACAGTTAATTAATTTGTTATTCATTCATTAATTTGCTTGTATATAGTTTAGCTAATTGGATGTAAGATAGAGACTTGCCACCAGAGCACGTATCTGTGTATCCGTCTCTGCATTCTCATTCGCATCTGTTTCCGTTTCCGGTTATGGCATCCATGATCGGTCAATCGGTAACTGTTGCCTGTTTTTGTCTTTGCCCTTGATCCTTACACAGGACAAGTGATCAGATCGTATTCGAACATCAGCGACACGGCGACAAAGACAAAATACAACAGAAACATGGTGAAGCCCAACCCCTTGTTCATGCGCCAGCGGAAGCAGGCGATCGATAGCACCACGAACACGAGCATCATAAACAAGATGGTTATGGAGCAAACCATGCCCACCGAGTTCACCTCCACTGGTGCCCCATAGATAATGCCGTAGAGCAGCCATGGGATCGGCAAGCTGTCGAAAAGGGATGGGTTATAATTCGGGACATCGAATGGAATTTCGATTAAAGGATATGGCGCGATGCCACTACTCACCCCACGGTCACGTCGAATATGTTGCTGCCCACGGAACTGGACACGGCCATGTCGCCGAATCCTTTGCGTGCCACAATCACCGAGGTAATCAAGTCCGGAATGGATGTACCTGCTGCCAGGAAGGTCAGGCCCATGACCTATTCAAAAAAAAGGAAGCAAAAAGACCCGGCATACGGGCTTAATCAGCGGGGCGGGAGCAAGTAGTCCACATAAAGAAATAATTCTTCTCATGTCTCTAGATTATTTTATTTTTTGGGAGTGGGAGATTTCCCCTAGACCATTTTCATATTTTATTTAAAACCCAAAATAAACTTAAAAATGTAATTAAAACTTCCAAAGATTATAAATTTAATGAATATTTTATTAAAAGTGTACCTCGGGCGGAATGCGCGCTGTGTCCCCGGCCACGTTGGCCCACCAGACCATCAGGTAGGAGAAGGCCGCTATCCACACAATGGATCCGATGAAGGTGACCGGAAAGAAGCGCTTGCCGCGGGGCGTCCGCGTGTCGGGCAGTGTGAGCCACATGGGCACCAGGAGCGGGGCCACCAGGACGTAGGTGAGCCGCTTTCGGGCCGTGTCCGGCCAGGCCATGCTCAGTGGTTCCGGCTCATCCTCGATTTCTGGCGCCTATTCAGTTCGTTGGATTGGATTTTTTCGTTTTCGGTGTTGTTTTTTTTTTTGGGTAAAGGGAGAGAGGATTCGATTAAAGGACTTGGACCGAACTGTGCTGAAGTCTGTTAGTAGTTATTAGCCGTAGTATATGGGTACGAGTATATATATAATATTGAATATATAATACGGAATTTGTTGTATAAAATATATAGTAAAAATTTGGGTGTGAGTGAGAGAGAGTGGTGGAACGGATTCGAACGGAGCGGAGGACGCTCCAAAGTGGTTGAAGGTGGTTGATTGATTTCTGGTCGGGAGTCTGAGGTGGAATGCTTTCTGAGCCATGTTTACAGATGGGCATGAGTTGGTACAGGATAACATATTGTATTGATTCTTGTTTTCTTTTTTTTTTAAATTTTTATTTGTTTTTTTCATATTTTGGTTGGAAATTTGAGACGAAAATGCAGTTTATTTTGGGGTTTCGGATTTGTAGATTTGCAGATTCCCCGGTGAGGCACTCACAGACAGGCGTTTAGAGCTTGCTTGGCGTGGGTTCAGAGCGGGTGGTAATACTTAGTGTACTGGTGGTGGTGATTCGAGTTCAAAAGGGGGTCGTGGGCCAGGTGGTTGGGTGGTTGGGTGCACTTACGTTCTATCGGGGCTACAATTACGTTACGATACTGATTTGCGCTGAGATAGATGGTTAGACTTAAAACGTGCAGAGATACAGTTCTATCAGCATCGCAAGTACAGTGGTACTACAGTGGTGCATTGGTACAGTGGGCATGCTCAAGTTATGCAAGACAGTAGGTCTTGCAAGTGCAACAACACACAGACACAGTCTACAAAGTCGATCAAAGTCGTGAACGAAAGTAGAAAGTAAAACTGATTAAAAGATCTAAGATTTATTTTAAGATGTATTAACTACAAGTGTGCAAGTTTTTCTCAGTGTAACTATCATTAGCGTGGGTGCCGATTGTCTGACGCTTGCAACAAAAATTTGATATGCCGTCTACAATCCACGCTCTTGGACTGGCCTGGTCTGGTCTGGGCATTATTGTAGCACAGATAGTCGGGTTAGTCATTGGATATTTTTACAATTAATCATTTTCCAATTAAAAATATGTAATTTTTATAAGGACCAGTACCAATAAGCGTTCATGTTCGACTTGCATGTATTTTTTTTTTTGGTCTGATATTTATTTCATTATTAGTTGATAAAAAAAAAACAACAAAAGAACACACTTTATTTGTTCACGATATAGTATTATTAAATGTCGTTTAAAATTATAAAGACTGAATGCAATATATAGAAGAGCGAAGATAGATAGATATAGAGAGAAAGATAGATAGAGAGAGATCGATAAAAATTGTTCATGAAACTAACTTTGATGCTAAATTTGCGTGTCTGAATTTTGACCCTCTGCTCAATCCAGCTAGGACGTCGACCACTCAACGATGGCTTTGGGTTGGTTATTCAAGATACATTATACATTTATGTGACAAGTATTTTGGGAGAAGAGTACACATTTATAAGAATATATATATAGAGATTTATTGTTTAGTTATATGGTATTTGACCAACTTCTGCGGCCAACTTCTCACACAATCAGGTCAGTTACGAAAATAAAACATTTTGTTAAAACTTAAGTTGTTGGACAAAAATTTGAAGATTTTACTTTTTGAAATAGGGAGTGTTTTTGGGAAATAGACAGAAAGATAGTTTTGGAGTAGAAGACTGTTCACAATGTGTAGAAGAAGTGTCGGGGAATCGGGGGGTTATACATAACAAACATATACGGAGTGGGATTTATTTTTAAAAACACAGTTAATTTATTTAGTAGGATTTAGTTTTTTTTCCAATTTTTATTTTGATTTTTTTTTTGAGCTAGACCCAAGTCGGAAAATTCGGTTTCTAGCGGCCCTCAGAGGCCAGCCATGTTGTGTCAGATTGTGAGTCGAATTCAAAATAAGGTGGCAGTAATTTTTGGGCGAGTCAGAGCCTCAGAATTTTGTTTCAGGTTTGCTTTGTGATCTTTGCATAAATTAAGAAAGATAATAAACATAAAAAAATATTCATTATTAACAAACTAGGAAGCAATAAGCGGATCGGCTAGCCGAAATTTGAATGCTCTTGCAGATGGAAGATGGATGAGAGATAGGTTCTATAGGTTCTTTAAGTAACCCTTTTTTTATTTTAAAATTAATTTAGAGACTAAATTATTATCATAATACATGACGGAATACTTTGACCTTCTGCAAGAGTCATTTGAATGAAGGAAATAGGTAATGCAATTCCACTAATACTGCTTCTGCTGCTGCATTAATGGGGGGCCTTAGCCGGGAGGTGCTTGAGCCAATGCATAAGAATGTTCGCCTTAAAAAAAAATACCAATATGATTACGATACGCGTTGTACAATTTGCGAGCACACACGCTGCGACCGTGTTTTTTTTATATCTTTTGATTTTGACTCGAGTGGGTGTGGAGGAGCTGTGTGTGTTAAAGGCGCAGCTATTTTGCATTGAAATGACTGCATTGCACATTAGTGAAATATGAATGGAAATAATAATATGCGAGGCGCTACAAACGACTCTATTTCCCCTCGGAATACGCGGATGTTACGAGAGGATGGGGTTTTTATGGATGAAATTTTTTCTTGTCAAGGCTATTTGGTAGTACAATTAATAAAATAAAGTAAAGACACAAAGCAAATGAGTTCCAAATGGGTAATACGGTATAAACGAGTATGCAAAAAATTTCACTATTCCGAATTAGCTCTTTTTTTTTTATTCTGGGGCAAGACAAAACACACACAGAGAAATAGATAGATAGATAGATAGATAGTTTTTTATAGAAATAGATGGATGTGGATATGAAGATACTCTGGAAGTCAGAGAAAGAGATAAACATACGCAAATGAAAAGGAAGTTGTGTGTGAAAGAGTTGGGGGAAAAGACTTGTGTGAGAGAGACAGAGTTGTGGGTGGTTGGGTGGAATGGGGATGGGCGGAAAGTGGGCGTGGATCAGATATATGGAAAACAGAGTTGAGAGACAAATCGTTGTTTAGTTTAAGTCAAAGAAGTAAACCAAAATCCACTTAAAAGTCACACATGAACGTTGCATAAACACACAGACAGATCCTTTCGATATAAAATTATTCTAATTTTTTTTTTAAATATCACTGGCTTGACTTACAGCCTAGACACATTTTCATAAACCGTCCAAAAACAATGGGAAAACACACCAAAAATATTGGAAGGTAGGAGGTTTACATCAAAACATATAGTTGTGTGGTTGGTTGGTTGGGTTTGGGAGTAAAAAACACACCGATTTTCAGTTTAGAATCAGTTCAAACGTTGCATCAATCAGGAAACCAATCAGATCAGCTCAATCAATTAGCAATCGATAGGAAAGCATGCCAAACAGCTAGAAATTTTTTCAAAAATACAATAGTGTGTATAGAATTTGGTAGGTCGCTTGAACTGGTCGCTAAACCCTGTCTGGTTTAAAAGGGAGTACATCAAAATAGCACAAATATTTTTTTTAGATTTTTATTCAAATTGGGATATGAATTTATGGGATTTACGACAATTATTAATGAACTTAAGCACTTCCGTTTAATTGGGATTACACTTAAATGGGTCGAGTTTCTGGTTTGTCGCAAAATGAAAGCTAAATTTCGATTTACGATATCATCCGTTTATATATATAGATTTTTATTTTTCAATTGCTTGTATGAAGAATGCAGCGCATTGTGTGTGACACAATCAATCAGTTTTCAACAGAAAAAAAATACTCAAAAATTAAATATAAAAATAATAAAGTTTGGAAAACCATAAATCATGCCTAAGAAAATTATTATTCATTATCATCACATCGTACAGGTGTAAGAAGAATGGAGGGATATAGAGGCGATCAGGACCACTTACCGAGTCGAGCGTGGTGTCGATGTTGCCGTTGGGTCGGTCGGCGAGGGTGGTCTCCTTGAGGTTGATCTTGACGTGATTGGCCGCCGAGGTGGTGGCGCCACCGCGCTGCGGCTTCGTGGCATCCAGCAGGACTTTCAGGGAGGCGATGGCGTGCAGCTGAGTCGCCTTCTCGTCAACTTTGCCTGGAACATCATCTTTGTAATTGTAATTGTGTGTCGTATTTTTTTTGTCGATGTTTTTTTATTTTTTGGTGTGTGTGTTTCGATAAATAATGCAGTGTTTATTGTTTTTTTGTTTGTTTTGTTGGGTTTGTTGGTACACAAAACACGTGAGTATTGGTGGTGGATTGTGGTTGTTGTGTTTTTTGGTTTTGTTTTATGTTGCAAGTAGCGGTGTGATTATTGTTGTCGTTGTAATACGTGATCGGTATAACGGTATTCGATTTTCGATATTTCGATATTTCGGCACACAACGAATTGAGTTTTTTGAACGCAAAATCCAAGTGTTTTTTTTTTGATTTATTTTGATATTTTTTTGGTATAGATATTTTTTATTTTTGCGAAAAATTAAACGAAAAAAAGAAGAAAAAGAAAGAATAAAATTGCATCGATTAAAATGAGAAATAAACGAATTAACCCAGTTACGAGTTTCAGGTTCAGATTTAGATTTAGTTTCGTTCTTAGAGCATTTAATTTACAAACAAATTTAAAACCCGGCCCGAAGGGCTACGGGTCAAAATCGGGGATTGGATTGGATCGTTCATATACGCAAATATATGTCTATATGTATATTGAAAATATTTTATACAAAATGTTGATGTCAGTTGCGAAAACAGCATTTGGAGGTTGCTAGAGTAGGTCGATAGTTTTTTGTTTCAGCTAGGGGATATATAGTATAGTAGTCTAGTCTATATAGATTATAGATAATAGATTGTAGAGGATATGACAGAGTATGACAGAGAGTATGGATCAGAAGAGAGCGGGAAGCAGAGCCAGCAGAGGGGGGGGGATGGAAGGTTTTGAAGCCGACTAAGACTACAACTAGAACTATTTAGTAGCTAGGACTATACTAGAAGATCACTACAGATATTTACCGTGTCAGAGTCTCATGGGTAATTGGAACTTTTGTCTCAGAATCGATCCGATTCGATTTTAATTGAGTGTGAACTTGTGTTTTGCACTAGGAGCTGATTAAATATTTTTTTCTTTTTTTTTTACTTTAGAATCTGATTAAAGATGGTCGTTTTTTTTGGGGATCGGACGGGGTTTTTCGTTTGGGTTTGATAGTCATTTTTTTATAGTGTTGTCAATGCGGCATGAAGTTCTCTTTAATGGTATACATTTCTCTATCAGGGGGATCGTCTGGAGAGACGGCTAAATTTTGGAAAGACCCCTTCTAGCATTTCTCTAGCTATATACATATACATATGTGTGTATATATGTACACGATTCCGATTGGTCTTAGATCTAGGCTTAGCTTACGTTTCTATAGATCGCATGTGTGTGTCATAGTGGGTGTAAATGGATAGCGATTAGGAATTATTTTTCTTTTGATTTCAATACAGACCTAGAGTTGAAACATGCTCATACAGAGAACTGAGCAAAAGCACGACTAATATTGGCTTGCTGGGAATTGCTATTTTGGATCACTAATTAATCGATCGAGATCATTGCCAACGTTCTTGGTTCTTGGAATGATTTCCGGCCGTCTTGGCCGGATTTCCACCTCGGCCCAGGCCCCAAAAACACAATTCCCATGCAACCAACGAGCATAACGAGTTGAATGACATAAAAGAAACGCATATGTAAACTCAATGTTTATAATGACGAACATTCCAGTGACAAAAAGCGATCCGACCTATGCAAAAAACTACCTGAAACAAGCCCGACTAGTCGCACATGCAGCCGGAGCTTGTTAATTGTTTAAATAATTTTTCAATCGAATGTAGATGGATGGGTGTGAGTGAGTGTTCTCGAGACGAGATTAGTCTCAAGCCCGATGTTGAGCCCCCCAAGAAAAGCAGCATTGCTGCGAGCCAATTGTACTAGTTGCTAACTAATTACATTTTCAATTACAATTACGATAATGATTACGTTTAACACATACAACATTAAAAACGCATAGTTAATAACTATTTACACAATAAATTGTTTTGTTTTTGCTTTTTGTTTTTGTCACGCGTCAAACTCAACTCAATCCAGCAGCCAATTGCACAGGTACTGTCTGTTATTAAATCAACTAATATATATATCTCTCTGATATACTGAGTTGGCTTTTATTGAGACACAGTACGTATGCCATTGAACTGGACGCACAAACTCTAGGAATTTATGATAATTTCTCTATGCTAGATATATAACGCATATGTATATATATATATATATAAGTTAAGATATTTGTAATATGTAACTCCAAACTGACATTGAACAACATAAAATATTTTCGTTATTTTTGTGAACATTTTTTGTTTGTTTTTTTTTTCTGCTATTTTCTTTTTTAATGTTTTATTATTTTTGGTATCACTGTTGGCAACAAAATAAAAAGCAAAGCCCAAGAAATAAACTTAAAATAGCATATTCTGTAAAGCAATAGCAACTGAAGGCGAAAGAACAAACACCTGACTGCTAGCTTCTAACAAAATTATTTAAAAAGTGTAATTTAGGACTAAACATTTTAGAATTAACAGACTATCGTTAAAGGTAGAGCCTCATTATCGAATCGTTTAGTAGTTGAGGTAGGCACACGAATTCTAACACTTCGCACCTGCGAACCTTGGCGAGCACGCCCCTGAGTTGTTGAATTCCGATTCGTTTAGTCCGCTGTGGGCCATTGCCGTGGCAACGACACTGACGCCTATATATATTCCATACATATTCATGGACAGACAGACACAGAACGACAACCGAGTGCCGAATCCATACAAAATCAATGGTCGAAAGTGATTGGAGACATTGAAAAACTAAAGAATCTGTCTGTTGGGGCCACCAAAATAATAATATCGCGATGACCTTTCCTACTCGGGCCCTCCCCGAAGTCAGAAGGGTTAAAGCTGTCATTTGCCCTTGCTCTGACACTTTCTATTTACTAATTTCTGTCTCATTCTATTTTTTTTTTTTTGGTTTAGTTTCAGTCGACGCTACGTCTGGGCCTGGCGTGCTAATTAGGTAAGTGGCTCCAAGGTCGCCATTAAAAAAGTGAACCAAAAGCTAAAAAGGAAACCATGGCGAAAACCCAAAAAGCCAAAAGGAAAACAAAACAAACCAAACTGAAATGAACTGAACTGAAGACCGAAACAACAAAAATAACGCAACAAAACATGGTAATGGAAGTGGAAGTGGAAATCGGAGCATAGACATAGATATAGATACAGATACAGTAATTGGGTAGGGCAGCAGAAGTGGAAGGATGAGCGAAAGTAACTTCTGGCTGGCAAGTCAAACATCCAATTAGTAGGAACACTGAATGTACACAGAGTTTAAAAGGAACCAAACGAAACAGAACTTAGGAGAACAATTTGTACTTTAGAACAGATATAGATAATAGGTACAGAAAGTATATAGGTAGTATATATATAGTATAGTATTATAGTATAGAGTAGAGAGTTGGCATGTTATTGCATTATTTTTTTTTTGGATGTAAGCGTGGCGGTCGAGGATACCACTGAGTTTCTCATTTGGAAACTAAAATTTCACCTAAAATCAAGTGTGTACTTTACAAAAGATTTAGAAAACAACCTAACAACCGGATCTTCTAAAATTATGCATTTATACGTGTTATTGGGCTAACATGACGTATGCGCAATATATTACTCATACGTACCGTTGCCGAATTTTAAAACTTCGTCACAAAGAAGTTGCAATACAAAATTTTTTAAATTGATATTTTAAAACGGAACTAGCAAAAAAAAATTATTTGGAATTTAGACAATTTTTTTGCTATAAAAATTATTTGGAATTTAGACAATTTTTTTTGCTAACAGGACGTACATACATATGTATAAGCAATTAATTACTGTGTAACATTTTATTGAAAAAGTAAACTTTACTTTAAAAATTATTTCACACTCAATATATACAAACAATATTAAAAAAACAAAATTTATACCTTTAGCAATATTTATTTTTGTCCAACATGACGTATGCGCTATTTATTACTAATACGTACCGTTGTCAGCTTATTAAAAGTTTCTTTGCAAAACTCGCACTTGATTTTAGGTGAAAATTTTCTGCTCAGTGGGGGGAAATAGTTTGGAAAGTTGGGAATTGCAGGTCTTGGATGTCTCGGTAAGCGGGGACATTAACGGAGGACTTCGTTAAGAGGAATTTTAGTTGCTTATTTTTTCTTTGATATTTTGGCATATATATTTTTTTTTTTTGGCTTGACTTGTGCAAAACACACTGTGGCAACTCAACGGACTTACCATCGTGTAGTGGATCTATCGTGTGTATCATTAGCTGTAACAGGCCGTGGCGGAACTTGGCACCGGTCTGAGTACTACCCGAGGTGCCGCCCCCGCCGCTGCTATTACCTGTGCCTCCGCCGGCGGTGCTCGAGCCGGGCGGGCCCGAGCGCGTCTCGCTGGCTGCACGCGATGTCACCGAGCCGCCCGGCTGGGTGGCCATCGATGTTTCCGAGGAGTTGGCCGCGTTACCCTGCAGGTGAAGGAACGACAAGAACGGTGGGTGGCGTGGGTGGTTCGGTTATATTTGGTTTTTGGATATTTCGGTTGAGTTTTTCGAGTTGTGGAAGTTTTCATATAGAGAGAGAGAGAGCGGTGTAATGTTTTTTTTTTTGTGTTTGTTTTTTTAAGTTATTATATTTTTTTTTTGTTAATGGTAAGCATATTTTGAGAAAAAGGTGAAAAGAAGAAGAAGAAAAGTTTATTATTGCAATTTGTATAAATTTACAGTTGAGTGTATTTTGTAGCTTTTTTTTAATATTTCTCTTTTTGTTTGTTGTATGTTTTTGTAGCTGTTGTTTGTTGTAGTTGTTGTTGTTCTTGTTGGTGGCGGTGGTATAGTTGTTGTTGTTGTTTGTGTGTGTGCCTTAAGGACTAATCGAATCGGTAAGTGCAAGTTAGTTGGGAGCCAATCAATTATCTGAACAGAACTGAGGAAACATTAACCGATAACATTAAACGTAAATGGAAATGGAAATCAAGCAATGTCAGAAATAAAATGAAATTTAATTCGATTACCACAACATCAATCCAATATACACAGACCATACATTATATTCGGACCACTCTGATCTATTGGACTCTATGGACTCAGACTCGGGGAGATAAAGTCTCTGATTGGCAAGACTGGATATATGTAGTATAGATTTTCGGAAGGTTTTCTTTTTATTTTTTTTTTTTTGTGCAACAAAGTAAACATTTCGATCTGTGCAGTTAACATTTTCATTATTTACATTTGAGGATTTTTTTGAGGGTGCTAAGGACCGATCTTGGAAGTATCTTGAGAAGATCTTAAAGACCAGAAGTATTTCATATTTTTGGGGCATGATGAACAAAACTAAAACAATAACTTCGAAGATGAGAAACAAAATACGTTTTGATGAACACTTTTCGTTGTTTTTTTTGGTCGTTGGAAATTTTTTCTGTTTGTCTGTTGCAACAGTTTTTTGTTGGGTATTTATACATACAAGCTAATAATGGCTTTCTTTTTCAGTTGTCTTTTTTTTTAATAAACTTTTACACATATAGTAATTTTTTTTTTAATATATGTATATATATTTTTGTCAAAGCGCAGTGGGAAGTTTTGTTGTTTTTCATTTTGCCTTCACTATAATCAAAAAGAAACAGATAAAACACAAAAACATTTGGAAAAACTTTGTCAGAGAACTGAAACCGAAAAGTACTTTCAATCGATGCGAATTAATTGTTTTGGCACATTGGCGAAGGAAGCGCAGGCAGATGAAGGATTCGGATCTGAATATTCGGACTAAGGGTGTTTTTAACTAAGGGTTTAACTAAGGCAAGCACTAACCATACAAGCTAAAAAGTAAGTGTGAGTACTACGAATGTGGAGGGATGTGGAGTGGGTTTTAGTGACTAATATGGGGACTCTAATGAATGAATGAAAACGAGATGATAATTAGCCTATACATACACTTGAAATATACTATACAAAAAACTGGTGTAAATTGAGTCTGATCGGAGAACGTGTGTCTTTCGTAACTCCCTCCATTCATAAACTGGAACTGAACACGAAACACTGAAGCTGACGCTGAAGAAACTGCCGAAGCCGAAGCTGAAGCTGACACAGAAACTGGATGTTGATCAGGTGTAGGGCAAATCAAGTTCAGAGCTCTTAACAAGTGGCTCGTGCCAGGTGAACTACCCCAGCTCTGGGCTGATTGTAATGCAAATTAATGCCTCGTCATGTTGTTGATCGAACTGGCCAGCCCGTAGCTAATGGTTTGGTTTTTCTAATCACACTCATTCATGCTTCCGACTAGATGATGCAAAACCCCCCATGACACCTGTAAGGTTTAGACTCAAGAGTCTAGAGTCCCCTGGAGAAACCTCGAAAGTTTCCAATCGAATCGAGGCGAAAGAACTCTCTCTCCGGCTCTACCCAACTGGATTAATCATCTCAATCACCTGTCAGCCAGTTCTGATTGATTTTGACACTGTAATTAAGCGAAATTAATTGGGGACTATCAGTATTAGTTGCAGTCGGAGGAGCTCCAAGTATATGAAATCACTGCGAAAGTATTTTATAATTTCGAAAAAGTCATCACCAATCGAAAACAAAGACAGCCAGAGCAATTCACCTTACCAAAGCGCTTAAATCACATAATGAATTATTTAAGTTCAGTGTGAATCATATTGAGTCGGGCTTGTAAAAAAATTCACTCAATATTAAAGACTCAAGCTCGAAATTTCGACCGTCGAGCGTCTACCGTCTAAGAGATGCAAATCTTCAATGCAAATAAACAAGTCAGCTCAAAGGTGAGCTTAAATTGTCACTCAACCTGTTTGCATACAATATTGTAATTCGATTCGGACTCGGAATCGGAAGAAGTGCTTGACAGCCAAGCTGCCAGCTTGCCTGCCCAGGGGGTGACCCCGAAACCAGTTCCAAGAAATGGCGCAAATATTCCTGGGATTCGAGCGTCTCTGACGTAGATTTGTTTACTCCCCTTATATGGCTTAGTAGTACCACCGATTCACGATAATATACTGATAAAAACAACGCTGGAAGACCGAGCTGAGCTGCGAGAGCTACCAGTCGATCGGTTAAGCTCAATCAGCTCGGCGGAATGAGTCGGCGCTTAAATTTATTTTTATACGAGGCTGCAAGGCACGCGATCGTCATTTAGTAGCGAACCTTTACGCGAACCGCATCGAACCGCCAATATCGCGATAGACACCCAAGACACTACCACTATACACAATGTTTCAAAAAAGGATTATCGAGCTCATCACGGTGCTGTTCTACTGGATGATACTCGTCCCCATCATCTACAACTACTGCAAGGAAAGAAAGATCATCGAAATGGATATGAACAAGCTAATCGATTCGATGACCACGCACGCAACCTTCGTCCTGTGCCTAATGATTGGATACGTGATTCTCTACCGGATCGTCATGTTCACCTACATGAAGCTGAAGGTCTGCGACATCGAGATGTGGCACACCCTGAAGAAGACCAAGGAGGACCCGGAGGCCTATCTGTCGGATAAGACACACTACCAGCCCGTCTCCTTGGAGCACATTGATGTGGTCGACTCCGGGAAGAAAAAGAAGTCCAACCCCCTGAACTCTCCCCAGATGATCAGGACCATCAGTGATCCCCTGCTCACCGAAGGCGACCTGGCCCGCATCCACATAAAGCACGAAACGAAGCGACTGGCCAATGCCACCATGCCCAGGATACACCAAGTCAACGTCCATCCCAGTCCGAGTCCCAGCCTAAGGAGTGCCCCAGCCGTGCCCAAAAAGGACAAGAGTGGCGTCATCATGTCCCCCATGATGCCGCCCTGCCAAGTGGTGTGATCATGTTTCCCAAAGTCACTTGGTGATGCTATAGCTCAATCATAAAAGTCCGCGTTAAGTATTAGCTACTGCCCAAAGATCGAATAGCAAATCGAAAAAAGACGAAATTAGTCAAATCATTCCAGAATAAATAGCGAAAATATTTATTAATAATTATAAGACTGCGATTGTTGCATGTGTTCTGTAAGAGACACACGTGTGTAGTTTATAGAAAACAAAAACGAAAAAATACAACATTAAATTAATGAATGTTATTATTATTAATAATGTTACTTATAGTATAAAACGTGTAGCTCTCGTAGCGAAAAGAGTGTAGCTAAATTATATAAATGTATGAAATACAAAACAAATAATAAGATAATGAAAATATAATATTGGTTGTTTGATTTTTAAAAAGATATTCGAAAGAGCCACTCTCTAAAAGTGCCCTGAAAGATATGAAGTATTAAATAAAATGAAACATGTTTTTATAAAACCTTTTTTTATAATTTATAATGTTTTGCTAAAAGAAAATTATGGTTATGTTTATATATTTATAAGGAAACCAATAAATGGATGTTATACAAATTAAAAGATGTCCTTTTTCTTGAACTCTTTTTGAAAAATTTTCAGAACGAGATTAAAAAACAAATAAAAGATTCAACTCAAAACCTGTATCTTAAAAATGTAAAAAATATAGAAATGAATTTAAAAATATAATTTAACCATTTCGAGATAATATTGTTTAATATTAATGTGAAAAATAACACCCCAAAAACACACTTAAATTATTTAAAAATAAAAACTTGCTTAAAATAAACGTTTCTTGTCTTTTTTCTATTCGAAATCATGTATCACTATTTATCAGCTACAGGACGATGGCAGGACCTTAAGAGAACATATTCCTCAAAATCACCCATTTAAACATTCAAGTGAATTAAGTTTTTCAACCCTTTTTCGAGATTAGATGCAATTGTGAGAGTACACTGAGCAAAAAGCAAGGATTACAGACAAAAACAAGTTCTACGCATGCGCAAATGTCTCTTTTTTTCGAATTCCCACACAAAAGTCAAGCCGCAAGTGTGCAAAGATTCTTTTTTTTGTTGGTTCAATGACATGCAGAGTTACCCTCGGGCTGTGTCAGGATTGTTTCTGACAGTGTATTCTGGGGTACTTGTGTGGGTCTGTGTGGGTGTGTAAGTGGCTGTGAGTGGGCGTGTTTGGTGTAGAAAGACGCATAGCAAATGAAACTTTTGGCTAACAAATCGATTGGAAGCTAAGTATTCAAAATGGAAATCAGAATGTGAACTAGCGAATAAGAGAAATAGTACTTTGATAGCATAAAAAAAAGTATTTTAATAATAATAAAGAATGCAAGTTAGTAGAACTTGGAGGTGCGACGCATCCGGGAATAACCAGTTGGCAGGTCTTGAGTCTAAAAATCGAATATCTTTCAGAGTTTAATACTAAGTGCATTCCAGCAAGTTCATTGACGATTCTTTTCGAAAACCGGATTTCGTAATACTCTTTCAATATTGTATTTTAAGTCCTGTGATCTCAGCTTTGTAGGTAAAATTTAAGAGCTATACGAATAATTCAAACCGGTAAGGTCTTAGTACTTCTAACGAGGCACTCCTCTATATGGAAACCGGTTTCCCACCAAGACCCACTGATGGGTCCAGAAATTGGAAATACTTTCCGTAAATAATCCGATTTCGTACCTTAATGGTACGCTAAAGTAAGTCAAGGCCTTGGTATGAAGCTTTTAGCATTTCCTGGACCCGATTTCGTTTTCACAGGTGAAATTTGAGTGGATCTCGAGGAGATATTTTGAATGACTGTTGAAAGGTTTATGTGGTGGCTTTCAATGCCAAAGAGCAGCCAGAGATGATCTTAGTCATGGACATTACATACGATCCGAATGCAACAACAACAACAACAACGGCCCTTAGTCATAATAAAGTTAACACCTGCTAACTGGCTAAAGCCCGGCACACGCCAAATGCTCGCATGAAACTGAGTATTAAATTGATATTTTTAATATCGGGATGAGCAGATGGTTGTGAGGAAACTTTTGAAAATTTTTTGAAATGGCAATGGATCATGGGTGGGATGTGGAGGTGGGTGGTGGTGGTTGGGTGGGTGGGAAAAACATACACAAAACGAAAATCAAAAACGAAATTTCGTTCCTGGCAAAGGATCTTCGTTTTCGTTTTAACATTGATTCTTTTCATTAATTTTTTGCATTTCTTTTTTTTGGCACACAAAAATTTTGGCTTTCAATTTCGCTTTCTCTTTTACGACTTTCTTGATTTACGTTTTTTGTAATTGTTTTTTTTTCTTAGTCTTTTCTTTCTTTAATAAGTTAAATTTACTGATAACTTTTTGCAAGTTTTTAAAATTTTTTAAATTAAGAATTTTTCGAGATAGAGAGAGAGAGATTTTTTGTTGGATTTTTGGATTGATTTGATTGATTGATTTTTGAATCTGAATTTGAATTTGATTTTTGAATTTGTTGCAAAAAAACTTCCCAACTACTTACTGCTGGCATAAGTTGATCTGTACTTCTGACGCGAGTCACCTTGTTTTTGGTAATCATCTTCTTGACGCACTGCTCCACCTCGACGTTCCACTTCATGAAGGTCACATAGGCAATATAGATGGTGAACAGGATGAGCGCCTCCCACCAGAAGATGCGATTGTCCCGGAAAAAGTAGATCAGCACCAGCAAACTGATGCTATAGAAGGAGCAGTCACGGAACAGGGGCCACCAGGTGAGCGATAGCACCGTCTTGGAGAAGAGGGCACACATTCCGATCACAAACAGGATGTTGAAGACGGCGGAGCCAACGATCGTACCAATGCCCACGTCGTCGAACGACACGAAAACGCCAATCACACTGGTGAAGAGCTCGGGGGCACTGCCACCCGCCGCCATAAACGTCGCGCCGGCCACATCGTCCGTGATGCCGAGCTTTTCAATGATTACGTCAAGGGAAGGCACGAAGAATTCATCGCAGACAATGGCCAGCGCCACAAACATATATATCACCCCAATGATGTGCAGGATGACAGCGCCGTTCTCAAGCTGTTCTTTCGTGAATAGATCTTTTGGGAATAGTGGCGTTTTCGTGGTGGTCGAGTTATCGTTGTGCGTGTCTGCAAAGAAAGTGGTTTGTAAATCTATGAAATACTATATTTATAAAGTAAAAGGGTTTTACTTATAAGGCAATGATTCATTTGATATATACTATAGGATCCTTGTAGAATTTTAAACCTTAGACTTTGTGTTAAGTCTACATACTTGACTAACCACCTTTTCAAAGTTCACTTCGTATGAAATCTGATACTCATCCCTTATTATATATTTCGAGCATGACTTTGACGACTACCGGAATATGGGTATTCTCTCGAGAATTTGTGATTTTTCCGTCTGGTATTGTAACCTTTCAATCGCTACCTGTCGCAGTGACTAGCATATCTATATTCTAAGATTCAATCTATAAGCCATCCCCCAATTAGACATCCTCAATTAAGTGGCTCGACCTTTCCCTAGTCGCATTCGGTGCCTTTGTCGGAGCGATTTTCATGGCAATTATTTTGTAAATTATGCAGCAACTATGCAACAATTAACAAATTGCACTTATTCGCTGGCTGAGCTGACTCCGAGTCGTTTACGACGATGATGTTGATGGTAAATGTTTGTAATGTAAATGTTTAACAATCATTGGCACTGTGTGAGCAATCACTGGGGCGCGTGTGTCGGGCAAATAATTAACGCGACAACAACTGCACTGATTCATGTCTAATATTTTGGATTTATTCTCAGAGTGCAGTAGCTGCAGATGCCACAGAAGTCATCTAGGCAGAAGGTAATAGCAGGCTGCTAAAGAATATAGATTTATCATATCGGTCTCAGTCAGAGAATAAGTAAACAGAATAAATCAAGGGCATCAAAGCGAAAGGGAGGCTTGTCATTACACAGAAAAAGACTTTGAACTCTAGACTTAAAAAATCTAGAAAACTTTCTCTATTCAGGTCTTAAAAATTACATAGTTTATTGCAATAAATTTCGAGAAATTTCATTTAAGCCATGAATCATGTTTACCTGTATTACATACCTATTTGAAATCAATATAGATCGGTTTTGGTAACCTAATATACTTTGTAATTTTTTATTGTGTAATAGAAATAGTCTTGGGATTGACTCACTTTGTTTTCGATTCGAGGGGCGACAGGCAGACAGACAGGACAGCGACCAGGGACTGCCAGACAGACGGCAAAGAAATTGTCTCAGAAACCGGTTTTTGCGATTATCGGACTCCCTGACAATTTGCATTCAGTTAACGGTGCCCCTAACCCACTACCTACCTGTACCACACCCACTGGATCCACCCACCCACCTATGTAGTTGTGGGGGCGGTGGGCGGTATGACACGAAGCGTGAGCCACAAATTAATGATTCTTATGAATCACTAGCCAAATGCTTAATGAGTGACGACTGGCAAGACGTTTGAACAGCGTTTTCAGTTGGTGGCACATGGGCTTGGAGTACAAGGGGCTGGCTAACCCCATCTTAACACCCTGCTTATCGAACTGGATCATCGGCACTGGGGCCAGGTAATTGCGAAAGGGGAACAAACATTATGACCTGGTCAATGGGCTGCCAAGTCCAGATGACAGACCATGGAATAATCTTTTAAAAAAAGGTTTAAAAATAAACTGAGCTAAGTTTTGATAAGCCATAGGACTTTTGAACTAAAACCGCATTACAGTGAGTAACTCGCTCTCCTAGAACTGATATCTATTTGCTAATGAATCACAATGTTTTCTGCTCTTATCATAATCATAAAGTTAAGCTCCCCTTCTCTAGTCACTGCTCTAGATAAAAACCCATAAATATGAGAGTTCTTAGGCATCTTCCTGCATTGATTCTTGGCTTCAGTGATTACGCCATTCAGCCCGGAATGTTTAGTACACGAGCCCCTCTAAACACTGTTGGTCATCAAATTGTTATTGTTTCGTTTCGACGAAGGTAACAACATAATGATGAATTAAATATTATTTATTATTTACTGTCTCTGATTATTTATTGCGATTGCGATTGCGGTTGCTATTGCCGATATTGCCCGTGTGGGCGTCTGCCCCACTGGCTGCCAGTCGCTCTGCCACATAAAAGCCACTTGACGGGGTCGGTTCGAGGGGAAACCAGTTCCGAGTGTGTGTTGTGCCATTGAAATGGCACAGCAATTTGACTAAGCGATTGCACTGGTCGTGAGCTCCGAGAGTCTCTGGAGAACATATGTGAGTAATCTAGCGATGGGGGGCTTGAACACGGGCCAATATAATTAGCATTTTGATGCGAATACCTGAGGTGCAGGTTGATTTTGTATGGTATTACTTTCAGTTATAGGAATGGTTATATATGTTATAGGTTTCTTCAGTTAACAGCTTTTAATATAAAAGTAAATGATATTTTTTTCCAAAAAAGATAAAAACTTGCAAGCCGGAAATAAACGAGTTCTTTTCTTAAAGGTCACCCAAAAAAAAGAATCTCTCTATATGGCAGGTTGTCTTTATATTAAAAATACAATTATCAACTTCACGCTACCATCTCGAGACTCCACACTCGCACACACACTTCAGAACTTGGACGTGATATGCGTCATGCGGCTGAGACGCGCTGTTTTGCGGAGCAACCCCAACCCAAATCGAAACCAGAGAACAAAGCCACAAACAGAACGCAAACAACAGTGTCAGTTGGCTCTTTGCAATCAGTTCGCAAGTGGCAACCGATCAGTCCAGATGGCAGCCGCAGTCAGTCAGTGTCTTGGCCAGGAGGAGGTCTTCATCAGCCGGGCCACCATTCAGCTACAGCCGCCACCGATTGTCTACGAGTGGCATACTCTCGTGCTGAACACGCCCACGGCCAGTCCACCACCGGCCTCTCCGGTGGGCGAGTTTTTAGGAAAGAGGAGCAGAAGCCCAGCTCGGCGGTGGCAGCCACGCCCAAGGGCAATTACTATACGCCCCCGAGGATTTTGGGCACGGAGGCGCAGCGGAAGAATCTGCACCAGACGCTGAGCAACTTTTACGAGGTGGAGCGGTACGCCAGTGCCTGGAATCGCGTGACCAAGTAGAAGGCATCTCCCCAGTATCCCGGGGCCTAATCGATTAACCCATTAAGCGCCCAAAAGCTGCAGGAGAGTGAAATTCCATTCCGTTGCCAAAATTCCAATTCATGTTCCCCCGAAACTGCCGACCCGAAATGGGCGTGGGGGAAATGGAAAAGAAAGAAATACTGGGCCTAGGCCAAACCCCTATATATATACGATAATATATAAACGTAGTGTAAGCATCCCATGAATATTTATGTGCCCTAACCCTCCCTGATAATGCAATAAAAGTATTATTTGACAGATAAAGCGAAATTCTTTGAGATTCTCTCGCCCTCCCAAGGGGTTAAACTTCATTAGGGGCTGATAAGACGGGGTCCAAATGACTTGGGACCCGGCTGGGATTTCGCGGCGATGGAGGCGGCATTGGCTTTCCGTTCTGCTACGTCATCAGTGTGCATAAATCACGTCCGAACAAACGCACGAAAATGACAGGAACCGAAGCCAAAGCCAAGGGTGAGACTCACGCCTGGCCGGAAGTTCATTATGGTGGTTCGCAGCGCGCTCAAAGCGGAAGTGGAAACTACTCGTTAAACACACACACACTCTGACACCAGTATGTGCTCTGGGGGTTCACATTTTTCCATTTTCCAATCTCTGACCAACCAGCCACTGCCACTGCCACTGCAAGTCGCCATGTGCCCTGAAAGCAGCTGCTAATTTATCAGAGAGACAGCGCTCTGTGGCACGAACGCTTCACTCCGCTCCGGAACGCTCCTCACCGCTCCACCACTCCACCGCCGAGTGGCTGAGTTTCAAGGTGGCTGGCGAATCGATTAGCCAGCCAAACAGTCGAAATCAGACCAGCCCAAAACGTGCACTGCACATGCAAGCCAAGTATAATCACACTGACAAAAAGGGGGGAGATCTACTTCTAGGGTCTTATTTTCAAGACCTACATATAAGCCATATTTTTTCTTAAAGCCATACTTTTTTTTTGCCCTGAAACATCAATGGACTTTTCTGTGTCTGTGCAACCAGGGTTGTCAAGTGGCTGTTGAATCAATGCAGGCTGCGAGAAGAGCCTCGTTCGTCCTGGCGCAGTGTGCTCAATAAACAGAGCTGGTGTGGGGGCCGAAATGGGGTACTTAAGGATTGTCATAGAGGCTTTATCACGGCTATGAACAGCTGTCAATGAAGGTTGCCTGACGGCAGCAGTCCTTGCCTTGCCACCTTACAGCGACCATAACTTGGCACAGTTTTCGGGGCCCCACACAGATACACATGAGTGGGCCCCAAATCCCCACCAGCACCCCAGCTCCCAACCTTATTTTAGGCTAATCAAAAGCCGCTCTATCCCCAGGGCAAGCCTGTGTGTTGTGGACCAAGCCCAAAAGTGCGAATATTATAATGCCTGCTCCGGCGCACTACTATGTGCTTGACCCAATTCCGGAAGGAGGGAGCCAGTCGAGCCTTTGGCTTTAATGGCAAATGTTTCTTAAACTAATTTTCGCATTTATGAATTTATGGCAGCCATTACGGCTTAAAAATTGCCAGAATTTGTTTCCAAACTTCCAGCAGAATCTTTCCTGTTTATAGCCTCAAGTAGGTAATTTCAAATTTTAAGCACTTTACGAATATGAGTTGGATGTATAAACAATTTTAATACAATGTTGCGAGTAATGAGAAATTCCGGAAAGTAAAACCTATATGGCTATGAGTCAGCAGAGGTTTTTCTAAGATTTATGGGTTATAATATTATGTGGTTGGGCTATTGATTTTTGTTAGAAAGCCTAGACAAATATTATTTGTCCCAAAATAGAGCCACCTCTACCGAAAATAACTCTACCTCCTTAATCTGATTTATTTGCGACATAATCTAATTATTGGTTTTTGGTTGTTCGATGACTATCTCTCTGCTAATGGGTGTATAATTTGCTACGGAGCTGCTAAAACTACTCATAAACATCATAGGAGATTTCGAATTCAATAAATTTGCATAATTAAAGCAAACAAAAATCGATTTATTATGTTTTCGATTTCGAGAAAGATTCGCTAGCGGACGTGGCCCGCGTGGAGAATGACACTACGGATTGCAGTTAGTAACCGGTTATTGGTGGCTATACGGTGTTAGGGTGTTAAAATCCCCACTGATCGGGGCATGATTCATTCGGATATCGGGAGTACGACTCATTTTCATATCCACCTGTAGCGAAAACCCCTCCAGCAATGGATCGTGATTCATGAGTGATGGTAACGGCGGAAGGGTTTGCGGTAGTCGGTCGGTCCTGGAAATGCCTGGAGACTGACCGCAGCGTCTGAGTCAGCCGATCCCCATCCAGATTTTCTGCTGCAGTTGCAGTTGCATTAAGTTAATGCCAAATCACGGCCAACAGTGCACAGAGGGGCAATTAGTGGCCACAAGAAATGGAAGGACATGGCCAGTGAATGGGGGGCAGTGGGCGGTATGTCAATAATTAAAAAGGCGGCCAAATGTTGTCATTTCAGACCGAGCCCCACACGAAAAGCCAACCAAGAATTGAAAATGTTTGGGGGTGGCAGGAAGGAAAGCGACTTCCTGCCACGCCACCCACCACCCACCACCCACCAGCACCACCCATACCCGCCGGTGGTACAGCGTGTTTTTCGTCGTCTCTCGTGGCTTTTAGCATGCAACTCACACGTCCTTGCCAGGACGTTTTTTTCTTCTTCTTCTTTAGTATTTTTGTATGTGTTTTGTTGGTATTGGTGTATGGCTGTTGTAGTTGCTGTTGTTGTTGTTTTAGTCGCTGTTGTTGGCATTTTGATTTATCGATTTAAACTTGTGTTTAAGGCGCTCGGTGCGTGCTCGGTCGGTTTTCTTTTCTGGCTTTTCCGTCTCGGCCATTTCCCAACTCGTTTTCCGCTGATGTTTTTTTTTTTTTTTCGATTTCGGTTTCTGTCTCTGTTTTTGTTATTCTCAATCATTTTTCAAAATGTTTGCATACACCCACCCACACACACACACATACACTGACTGACTGGCACACCTACTAGCAAGTTTTTGGCCGCCTGCCGTTTAGGTCGAGGTCTTTACTTAACTTTATATTCTCGTTCCTTTCGCTTTTTTTTTCAGGGTCTCCTCAGGAGGGTCCAACCACCCACCAACCCACCCACCCACACGACAAACGCCGACGTCGAGAGCCTGAAACGTCGTTAACAGCCACGTTTGCGTGTGCCTCACACACACACACATGCTATATTTCACCCAGGACTATGCCACTCTTCGTGTGTGTATGTGTGTGTGTGTGTGGATTTTTGTTGTTATTGTAGGAAGAGCGCGCTCGCAATTTGGGTCGATGGTAAAATAGAAAAGCCAAAAGCAAGGAAAATACTCTCACACCCATGCTCCTCTACCGATTCTATATGTGCTCCTATATGTAGGAGTGTGTGTGTGTATATATAATTTCGAACAAAGGTCGTTACATACATATAGAGGTGAAATATATAGACGAGGGTGACCTGTACTACTCAGCTGAGTTATGTGCGCGTTCTGTCTGCATTATTTTCGCTTTTCGCGGTCTGTGTTTGAGTTTTTCATTTCTATACGTTATGTTTTCTTTTTTTTTGGATTTTTCCTGCTGGTTTCATGTTAATTGCTCGTAGCCTGTCGCTTGTTCCAGCAATCTGCGTTAATTTTAAAGCTTGATTTACGAACAACAAGCCCTGGGATGTAGTGCACATGCAGTTCGCGGGACACGTTTTCGCCTTTGAGTAGTTTTTTGTGTCACGGGCTCCGATTGCCACCCATTTCATTTTGTATTTGTTCTGGGTAATGGGTAAACAAGCAGTGCCAGGATTGGTACGGATTTGCCGTGGTGGCTTATCGCGGCTTGACATCATCCGCCCGCCCTGCCCCCCATCTAGTCCCATCCGGATGCGGTTGACATCATCCTCCATCCGCGAATACAAAAGAGTGCAACTCTAGTCGATCACGGCTTGTTTTTTTTTTGGAGGAGGATGAGGAGGAGGGAGGTTTTCTTTGTTTGTCCCAGGCGGACAAACGGACACACGGACAGGCGGACACCCGGACACCCGGACAAGCGGAAGGGCGCACAGGCGGACTCAGTTGAGTCATTAAAATGAGAAATGGCTCCGGGGCCCGTAAGCCCGGGCAAACAGTGTGCAATGTTGGGTTTAATTGTTGGCCAAAATGTGACTGCACCGCTCACGGGAGCAGAAACTCAAACGAATCCGCAACAGAACCAGAATCCGGGCCAAAAGGTAAAGGTTGAAAGGTGCAAAGGGGTAGACAATGGCAGCAGCTTGACTTTCGCTGATGCGGCACAAAAAAGAAAAATATATATACTTGTTTCTGGTGTTCTCGTGCTTGTAGTATATATTTTTCTGCACATATGTCCGAGCTTGCCCTGAAAATACAATATATTTCATCGGGCCAACTGCAGACAGTTGTTCCATTATGTTCATTTGCAGCCGCTTATGCTGCGGCCGTGATAATTTATGTTCGCCACATTACGTACGGATACGCAGCTCGTATATGAGTTTTGCGGGAATTATTGTGGTGGCTTCGCCTCAACGTCGGGCCACTTCAAACGTACGGTTACGTATACGCCATGTAAGCACATAAATATCGCTCGTACGAAATGTGGTTGAAAATAATCCCCTCTGCAGGGAAAGAAATGGCCCTCTGCAGTTGCAATCGGTTGTGTTCATTTTCGTCTTCGATAAGTACCTTTTAATAAGCTATCCATGCTTTCAGCGAAGAATATTACGTATACGCCATGTTAACTATGAGTTATCAATTTGTAACCAATTTTCTTCCTATTGTAGTGATAAGAAGTACCTAAGACACACCTGTCTATACTTTTATACATAAGACATAAGATAGTTTACTAAAAGGCTAATAAATATTTTAAATTCCTTCAGAGATAAGCATGGTTGCCATACTAGGTTACGCACGATAACATATATCGATAAAATCCTTGGGGGAATGTCATCGAGATCATCCCATCGCCTTAAAACAGAACGGGAAAGAGCGTACTCTAAACTATTACTGTTTATATTACGTATACGCCATATAAGCTATGTTGTATACATTTTTAACCTTAATTTCTTTATATTCTAGAAACACCATTATACAACAAGTTAATGCACATTCGAATTTGCTGTTAGCGATGAGCACTTCTGCAATACTAGGTTAAGCACGATTAATCGATAAAAGTGAAAGGATCATCGAGATCTGCCCATCGCCATCAATAGAAAGAGAGGAAACTATGACTATATTACGTATACGCAGAGTTGCCTGCTGGAAACAAACCCCTATTCTTTTGACTATTTAAATTACGTATTCGCCGGGTGGGCTGAGTGAATGAGAAATACCTAGGCATACCCCGCCCACAATATCTGCTTGATTTAGAGCTTTGCAATTTTATTTGCCATCTCCTATCTCACACTCGCTGCCATCTCGTCGATGGCCCAGATTCAATTTGTCTTCGGTGAAAAGTTTTCGAAGAGGCACTGCCCCACCCCGGGACCGGCCCGAATGCTTGAATGGCTCATTTAAATACGAATGCCATTAGTCAGGCTGGCACATGCCAATGAAAAATTCCACATGTGCCCCGAAGATGAGGGTGGGGGAAGATGCCGAAAGGATGTGGAAATACTCACCATTGATACCACGTTGATTGGCCGCATTATCCTCATCGGAGCCGGCGCCGGCATTGCCGAGCTGCTCCTGGTCCTGGTCCTCCTCCAGGCCGAACATCTGCTCCCCGGACTGGTAGGGATAGAGTAGTTCGGCCTCGTCCAGCGCCTCGTTGGATGCCTGGGGCAGCACATCGTTCTGGTTTTGGTTTTGGTTTGGGTTGTTGTTGTTGCTGCTGCTGCTGCCGCCGAAGTGCTGCTTGGCCGACTTGGGCTTGGCCGCGTCGCCCAATCCTAATCCCTGGGTGGCCAGGCAGACGAGCAGGAGGCTGTAGATCGGCAGGCGAAGGCAGCGAAGGTGGCAGCGACTGCGGGTCGGGGAGCCAGATAGCTCCCCTGAGGCACCACGAGATGTTGCAGATGCTGCTGCTGCTGCTGCTCTGCTTCTTGTCTTTGCTTTCGTTATTGTTGTTGCTGATATCGTTTTTAATGTTAATAATACTAAGCGCTTGAAAATATTTACACACTCGTCCAGTAACGTAGCTTGGTGTTGCTCGGGTAGCTCCTCTAAGGCAAGTGGGGCGTGGCCTCGTAGACGGCCCCTTCGACGGCGACTGTTGAAGTCTATCGTTGTGCTGCTACTGTTGCTGCTGCAGCAGCTGCTGCTGCATGTGGTGTTGCAGCTTACGGGCAGCATGTTGCTCTGACACCAAAAATTGCTGCTCTTGCGGTATATGGCTGTTGCAGTTGCAGTTTCCGTTTCTGTTTCTAAGGCTCCATGATCTTTAGCTGTGATCCTTTGATCCTGCGATCCTGAATCTCCCGCTGCCGTCGCTGCCCTTGCTGGTTGCTGCCGCTGCTGGTGCTGTTTGTTGCATGTTGTTGGCTGCAACATTGGACCCGTTGGAATGTTGTTGTGGTTGATTTGGTTTAGATTTTGGTTTTAGTTTTGGTTTGGTGTTGTTTTGTTTCACTTGCAAAACCGCTTGTTGTCGTTGTACGCTTTTGATTAAGACTGAGTTTGGTTAAGAGTGTCTTCTTTTTTTTTTTTTTTGTTAATTTTTGGTTGCTCTCTTGCCAGATCTTAGTGATCCGCTTATATCACACGAACATCATATATATATATACACACTATACATAAATAACAATTAACGCGGAACGGAGCGCCGCGAAAATAGAGACGGAGCGAAGCGGAAAAAATCGGGAAATCGGGGCGCGAATTCAGGATAATAGCGATAGCGTTGGCGATGCTGCTGCTGCTGCCGTTTCCTTAGAATCTCCCCCTGCTGCTGCTACTTCCGCTTCTGGCGTGGACATCAGAAGCCGCATCACTTCCATTTTATATCCTTAGGGTTTTTCTTACACCCACCAAGATTTGTTTATTTTTTTTTCTTAAATATTTTCACGCCTTCTGGCTCAATTTCACGGTTCGTCCTGGCGCTTTAGACTTCTGCTACTGCTGCGCTGGCTCCTAGTGGGAATGGTGCTATGCCTGGCCATTTGTCTGACGTTTTTCCGCCGTCGATTTCTCCGTTCCGTTCCGGTGTTTCGCGGTGTGAGGGCTCGAGTGTGGAAAAGTTTCCCTGAGTGGCCAGCTTTAAAGGGAGCAGATTCTGCAGCTGGACTACGGCACGCTGCGCACTCCGCTGGGCATGTGAGCGCTAGCCAGCCCGACCAGGTTCTGAGCTGGAAGGCCGAAAACGAAACCGCCGTCGAATCGAAAACCGAATTTTCCGAATTTCCGAATTTTCGGATTCTCGAATTCCGAGCAGGATGCGAGCCTGGAAGCTCGCTTGCTCCTTTGGGGCTCTCTCTCGGTTAGGCTCCAAGAACTGCTTGAAGAGAGTGGAAGAGAGATCCGAACTGCTGCGCCTGCGTTGCTTTTGTTTACATTTTCGAAGGCTCCAGTCGACGGCTGTAAAGGCTCAAAGGATAACGATAGCTGTGGAGAAAATAAATAATAAAGAAATATTTTAAATATCAAAAAATATATATGGCTTGGTTGACTCTTCAGTGAGTTTTAAAAACGAAAATACCGAGTGGAATGCGGTTTTGGGTTTACTAAGTTATTTATCATGCAAGATGTTTGAGTAAAAAATTATTTTAAGATTTTATATATATTTTTATGACTTTTTGAGAAATATATTTCTTGAGTTATTCTACAATTTAAGCTAAAGATTATTTTAATCTAAGCATTTGGTTCACTCTCTTTAAAAAGCCTTTCTCTAGCCTTTCTCTTTGCTTATTTCCAGGCCGCCTCGCGCTTTCTCTTTCTCCCAGGCTCCCACTCTTGCACCGTTCTCTGGATGCCGCTTATCTGCTAGGCCTTATCGCTTTGCTTTTGCTTTCGTTTGCTGCTGTGTTTGTTGTTTTAGCTTACGCTTACAATTTTTACTTTCATTTAGGTTTAGTAGGTGACTCTGCTTTGGCCCGCCCCCTTTTGCTCCACCTCCGGTTTCTTGTGGCACCCCCTAACCACCATCCACCATCCCACCCACTGTGTCACTGGCGTTTTTTACGGTCTCTGGCTGAATGTGCGGTTATGTTCATTGTTATGCTTTGAGTAGCTCCCGCTGCTTCTAGTCCTAGGCCTTCTTTGCTTTCTGCTAATCTTGCCCCGCCCCCCAGCCGCTTTCTCTTCGCCCATCCTTGTATCCGCTCTTCCCTTCAATGTCCTTTTGTCCGTTTTTTTTTTGCCGTTATTTTTAGCCGTAGGCCAGAGTTTAGCCAAGAATTCAACCGTGTGGCTTTGTTATTAATTATGTTTTTTTTTAGCAAATTGCGTAACATTTTTACGCTTTCTTTGCTTTACATAATTGCCTCATTAATTTGAAGAATGTCGAGAAAAGACGGATACTTGATATTATTCCAATAGTTTTATGGTCAGGGACTAGGGAAAGGTTTGAATTTTTTAAATGAAATTTTACAATTTTTTCAAGATTTTTTGAAGTTTTCCTTATAGACCCCCGCTTTTATATAATTTCGGCCTGCTCTGGCGAATTGTATCCTTTAGAAAACTGACTTAGTCGCTCCATAATCTGATCTGAAAATAAACGGAGCTAGTGTCCAGTCTAATTGTTATATCATTTTGCTGGGGGTTAGCTTTAAAAGGGGCGGGGCCACTTTAAGAACGGGGTCGGACTCGTGACTGCCGAAAGTCTGACTGTTAAATGTTCGTCTTGACTTGGTCAGTCGACTGCCAAAAAAAAACACAAAAAATGGAAAAAGGCAGCTAGAAAGAAACTCTGCACACGCATACACCGAAACAGCGGCAAGGCGAAAGCAACGTTTTGACCTCTTTATGAAAAAGGCCTCAAGCACGAGAAGGCTCACACTAACACACACACTGACAGAGGGGCTGCCATTAATGTTTCTGCACTCACACAGACGACCGAAAAACGCTTCACCCGCTGCCACCCCCCATTTTGGCCCCAGGCCCCTGTCCCCTGGCCGTGTGGCTGTGGCTTTTTATTGCTTGATTATATAAAAATTGGCTTTGAATAGCATTTTTGGTTTTTTTTTATTGTGTAAAGCACCAAGACCAGGGAATCCTTTTCCCTTTACAAGGCTCCTCAATTATGCTAGGATTTTTTTCGTACGGTTGCCGTTGGGATTGAATCGGTTTGAGTTTTTCCTTTGATTTCAAACTGCAATAAATTTTCCAACACCTCGCGCGTACACACACACATGCCTACACAAACACACACACACACAGACACTAAGAGCTAGCGCGCACACGTTTAAAGGTTTCTGCACACACATACAGAGAGCAGGAGGCTCCGTGGACGCACCGTCCGCTCGTTGGTCCTGCGAGGATGTTGTCAGCGCAGCGCCCGAAAACGTTTTGGGGCCCTGTCAGGCGGCCACGAATCCGGAGGCCATGCACGAGTCCGTGGAATGCCGACGGGAGCCGACCACGGCCGACAGGAGTCCGACTTCCAGTAGGAGGGCTTTGGGCTTGACACTTGGGCTGCGGTTTGAGGTTGGTTCGGCTGGCGGGTAGGGAGAGGGGAGATGGCCAGGATCGAGTACGGTTACGGGTATTGGTTTCAGTATCAGCTCATGGCTTCCATCTCTACTAATAATTAATTAATTTACGATGACTTCCGCTGGCACATATTTGCATTAACGGAACAACGGCCAAGCACATCCTCTTCTCTCCGGATTCCAGTTTATAGCATACTTTTCAGCTGCGAGAGATTGGAAGATGAGAGTGTGTGTGAGAGAGTGGGTGAGCGCGCAGCTGTTCGGCTCTCCAGGTGGTCCCACCCTCTTTCTCTACCCCCACTCTCGCTCGCTCGCTCCCCCTCCCACTCAAACAAACATCCAGGCAAAGCAAGAAATAAACGTTTGTGCATGCGTTCCTACAAACACAGATACACACGCCGAATAACCCGCACAACCATACACACACACACACTGGCACACTCCACGCACAATTGTATTTTGATTATGCCCGGTTTGGTACGCCGCATACCTCGGATACTTCTACGCACAACAATGCCAAATCCTCACCCCGAAATCTCCCAAGCCCGCCATTTGGCCGGAACCTCTGCCGGAGAGGGAACCCCCGCGCCCTTGGTCCTTGGCCCCTACACCCTACCCGGCACGTAACCTAATCCAACCCATCCCCACGACCCACTGATAGCCGCCAAGTTTGCCGTCACATCAAATATTTATGGCGACAAGAGAGCGAAACAAGTTGGAACGGAATACTAGTCGAAAATTCGGAATTTTAAATTTTAACACGCGGATTTCAAGTTTGGAAAACTTATTAAAGTCAAAGTCCTTGAAGTCATTGATTTTGACTTGCAATGTCATATGACTCTTTTTGTGGTTTTCCAAACGTATAAATATTTTTCACCCACAGCAAAGCCAATCTGGAATTTAATCAGCTTTGAAAATTTAATTATAGACACTTATGCAAGTACCGGAATTAATTAGATATTCGTTTCGGTTTTCACTATAAAAGCTCTTGGAAAGTGGTCCATTTAATTGATTTACAAAATGAATTTAAAGCTGTGTATTACTCTATATTTAATCTACAACTTTGGGGCCAGCTGGTCCTTTAGGTCGCCACGGCAAAAGTAGTGAAAATTAATAATATTTGCTAAATAAATGGACAATATTAATTGAAATAAGTTTAATGATTGTTTTTTTTTTCGAGACTCTGCCTCATAACCTACTGGGTCACCTAGCGTACGACTCTAATCGCAGATAGATCCAAGCTAATAGTGAGTAATACTGATTAGAGTTAGTGATGATTAGAATGATAACGTGGACGAATTGTTGTGCTCACATGAGACATATAGAATAGATAGGTTATACATTTTTAAAAGGGGAAAACAAGATAATGTTATAAATATAGTTCAAAGATAGATTAAGTTCCCAGTAGGTAAATTATAATGTAAGCCTTTTACTAAGTGCTGACTGTGTACAGCACCAATATGAGATAACGTGGGAAAATTACCATTATTAAGATTACGTAGCTTTAAAATTTGATAATGACTCAAAAGACTACAGAATATGCTCCGTAGACCATCTGGCATTCAAACCTTTTATAGCAATCACGTGAAATTTATAATAGTAACACCACTTGGGAAATATTGATAGTACTGGTCAAAGAAAAAAAATAATTCAGATAAGACCATGAATGTACTATGATTATCTGTTTAAACAGTAGGAATGAATTTCGCCACAGCTGGTAGTATTTCGTAAGACATTTTCGCCTGGTAAAACCACAGTTTAATAAGTACTATCACCATCTTATCAAATCTAATCAATTAGCCGTCTAGTAGGCCTCAGACGAGCCCCCAGTGTTTATGGCTAAGAACTGACCTGCCGGACTCTTGGCCAATGTTGAACCTACCATGGACTCAGTTCCAAAGTACACAAGCACCCATAGATGGCCAAAATCAACAAAGCTTATAATAAAGGGCCAAACAGGTTTCTTTGCCGAAAGCCAAAAAACGTCTTGAGCTTGAGGTGTTGAAAATCAAATAAGTAGCTTGATTTTATGGTCTGATCCAAAACCTAACAATATTACGCTCCCAATGGATCTGCTCTTCGATGAGCGAAAAAAGCTCTCCAACACGCTGCTCTCCCAAGTCACATTGCAATGGGTAAAGTTTATACTCAATCATGCCATTCAATCGTGGGGGGTCATAGTCTATAGTTCGTCTGACTTAAGTTCAAATCAGTAATATTATGGCAATCTTCGAAATAATAAAGTGAAATCTTTAAATGGTTGATTGAAATATTTTATTTTTCTGGTATATGTTTTAATCATTACACCCTCTCCTTGAGTCGCAAATGTAATCCATTATCGGACTTTAATGTCAACACTGCCGAGAGAATGGGATCGTACTTGTGGCGGCCGCCCTCGCGTTTTAACTTTTCTCCAGGTGAAAGTCCAAGATAGGTGTTAAGTTGACCATCATTTGAGTAGAGGCCGTCCACAGCAGGGAGAACCTCAAAGGATCGAATTATTTTGGAGATCACAGTCTTCAGTTCCAAAAGGGCAAACTTCTGACCAATACAGTTTCGTGGTCCGGCACTGAAGGGGACATACTCAAAAGGACCGGGCTTCTCTTCCAAAAATCTTTCTGGCCGAAAATTGTGAGGATCTTTGAATATGCGATCGTTATAGCCCATAAGCACAATAGGAATATTAATGGTAGTGCCCTTGGGTATAATAGTTCCATCTAAAAAAATGGTTGTTATAAAACAATTTATTTATAAAATATTTCTTTGTAAGCTTACTGATGGTGTAGTCCTTATCAGTAAAGCGGCCAATAAAGGGAACACTAGGATACACCCGTTGGGCCTCCTTGAGAAACAGATCCAAGTACTTCATCTGGGCAATCTCCTGGAAACTGGCATCTTTGTTCATATCGTTGCCCATTACTTCCTTCTGCTCCTGGTATAACTTTTGCTAAAAATTAAGTTCATAAATAAATGATTGTAAAAATAATTGTAAACTAGAAACTACCTGAATATCGGGATGTCTAGAGAGCAGATACACTCCGAAAGATACTCCCGAGGTGGTGGTGTCATGTCCTTCAAACATAAAAGTCGAGACCTCCTCATAAATCTCCGTCTTAGTTAAGGGACGACCATCCACCGTCGATGATAGAAGTGCGTCCAGGAAGGCCAACTTCTTCTTGGGCATTGAAGGATCTTCTTCGGCCTTCTTGGAAATTCCATTTTCGAGAGCTGTCACCCGCTTCTCAATGATGTCATAGGTAAAGTCCTGCAAAGTCTTTAAAGTGCGCTGGAAGTGAGCAAACTCGGGTAGCCAACTGTAGATCTTGTGAGAACGCTTGAAGGGATGGAAAGCTCTCATGTTTAAGATATAGCACATTCTAAAAATAATAAATAAAATAAATTATAATATTAAAAACCAATAAACAATCTTCTTACTGTCTAAATGCCTGGACAATACTAGAATCATTCTCTTCCATGGCATTAATGCGAACACCCATTGCTGTATCGCAGATCACATCCAGGGTGAGATAATTGGCATATTCCTGAAAGTCAAGGATACTGTCCCCTGCCGCTGCTTCCCTCAGATGTGTAATGAACTTGGTAGAGTTCTCATTCATGACTTGGTGGAAGTCCTGCAGGATATTGAAGTGGAACGAGGGAGTGATCATTTTGCGGTGCTTATGCCACTTGCTACCATAGCTCGTAAGGAGACCAGATCCCAGCCAAGGACGAAGCAGGTTGTAAATGGTGGACTTTTGGATCAACTCTTGACTATTCAGAATATACTATAAAAAGAATAAATAATTAAATTCTTGTTAAATATTAATTTATTGGTTTACTTACCTCCAGATACTTGGGATCAGTCACTAGGAGATGAGGATTATACCCAATCCAGAAGAGGAAATTATCTTTGTTGTAATCATACCACCAGTCGAAAAACGTGGCAAGAATTTCTGAAAAGAAGAAAACCCCATTTGAGGCTCCTGAATTTCCTTTCTGAGAGGATGTGAGGACTAACCCGCTGGCGTCTTTCCAATACGGTTGGCATTTCCCAGGACAGGCACTGGCGTAGGTCCTGGGAACTTCTTAAGCTTGCGACGGTGCTGCGAGGTCTTAAGTTCAAAGTACACGAAGACGAGCAGCGGTAATGCCAATACAGCTAACACAAAGAACCACATTTTTTTGGGGCGTTTAGTACAAATAAAACCAGTTGGCACTTTAACGAAAAATTAAACAGCCGCCTTCGGATGAAGCAGATGAAATAAACGAATGGACACTCGCTTTTATAGGCGATCGGTATCAAAAAAGCTTACTCTCCAATAGTCCAAGTCCAAGTCACCGATTAGACAAGCGAACTTATTTTTCTCTTACATTAAACGGAAACCGCCTGCTGGATGACATGTCTATATTTTCATTCAAGGTCTAAGCTTTATGGTTTTTACAAAAGATAACTATTAATTAGAATCATTTTTGTGTTTAAATTAATGAATTTACTTAATATATTTCAAATAATCGAGAAATGTGGTGGCTACTGCTCACCAAATATTGCGGAAAGCTTTTAAAAATTTTTTAACTAAATTGAAATTGTTTCAGAATCATTTTAAAAATGTTCAAAAGACTATGTAAAATGTTTCTGGAACAGATCAAAAAATTATATTAGACAGAAACATTACGGAAACAGTTTTTAAATATATTACTATCTGGTATATTTAAACAAAAATTAATAAAATGGGGTATCACTAGTTCGATTTCGCTTTTTTGAAAATCAATTTTGTTCTTTACTTCAGCACTTCTTTTCATTCTGTCATAATGGACTTTGAACTATGAATATGTATGTTTATTTACCAGACGAACGCCAGACAGCTTTATATCAGTGAGGGGCTCGCCCTATATTACCAGACGGCAGACGAGCCTCTAAAAATACTGATTAGATGTTTCAAAAATAATAAACATAATATATATAGTATATTCTACAAATGACGGGTATAAAGAGAGATTTTATTAAAAAAATTTCATGTAATTTTTTAAAATTAATGTGCATATGAGTAAATCGTACAACGTAACATGACTCAGAAAATTTGAGTTTAAATTCTGAGTATTTGAGTATCTTTTTAAATAAATTTATTCTGTTTCATATTAGTAATGTGTTTCTCAATATTAGCTTAGTTGGCGACTTGAACTCGAGCGATATCGGTCTGTTTTAAAACATAACAAAATAACCAGGAAAAATGTTCCAAAAAAAGATATTAGAGCTCCTTACGGTTGTTTTCTATTGGTTAGGTGTTGTGCCTGCGGTATATAACTACTGCAAAAAAAAAAATTATGTCGAAAGTAAAGCTTCCATCGAAGAGTTTCAAAGATATATAAAGACACATTTTTGCTTCATCCTGTCAGCTGTAATTGGCTATGTCATTATCTATAGATTGGTTATGTTTGCCCACGCCAAACTTAAGGTGATTGACAAAAAGATGTGGAATAGGGTAAACTCACCAATGCAACATCCGGAAAAGGATTTCAGAAAGAATGGAAGAGTTTACTACTCCAAGGATAACGTCGATTCCGTCGAATTAGGCGGGATAAAAGGAAAGCAGAGAAAGACAACCGAAGACACTCTGGTTAGTATTCACGTGAAGAGGAAAACAAAACTGGGAAGCTCTGCCAAATCCGAAATAAATGATGTGAAGATCGACCCTACTCTAGATCCCCATACGCCCATCCCACCTGAACCAAAAATGGAGAGACATGGTGCTAAAAAGTCTGCTCCGGTTGTTTAATCCATGTTCCAAATTTAATTCGCTTTTTATATTTTATCTATGTACATTTTTTTTATTAATTCCGAAATGTTTGTTCTTTAAATTTTCTAGTAAATAATAAAAATATTATATATGAACATATATTGTTTCCTTTTCTAAAAATATCTCACAATATATTCCTCAATTTCCTCAATATATTCCTGTATTTATACAAGTATTGTTTTGTAAACCCTTGGCAGTCTCATTGACAAAATGCCAAACACCACTTTAATGGTGTTCTTATAAAGAATGCATTAAAGAAAGAAATTGAAAATAATCATAATACTTTAACCAAAAAGAAAAGTCAGAGTTTCGACTCTGAATCATTATTCAAACCACAGACCTCTTGTTTTGGAAAGCTCCTAGGCTTAGTAAGTCATCTTCTCATATAAAATAATCGAGTTCATATTTCTCGTTTCTTAAGAATCATTTAATTATTTTTAGAAATATCTTCACCTTTTCTTGGGGCGGGTCAAGAACGAATAATTCATTTTAGAACCCTATTTCTTTATAGATTCCGATTTTTAATCTCATTTTGTATCAGGAACAAAAATTGAAACGACCCTGTACATACAAATAAAAAGTGGAATTACTAAATTATATCATATTTGAGTGAAAAAATAAAAACATTACTCGATTACACTCACTCACTGATGAGAAAAGGCTTTTAATCTTCTGATAAGTCATAATTTTAGCGACAGTTTTATTTTAAGCTCGAAAGGCATCGGTCGCTCCCACAAATTCCGGAAAAATGTTTCAAAAAAGGATGCTTGAAGTCATTACGGTGATTTCGTATTGGTTGTTTCTTGTGCCTCCATCATACAAGTTCTGCAAAAAAAAGCATCTCATCGAGAGCAACTTCGATTCGAGCGATGTGTTCAAATATATCCAGACTAACTGCATTTTTGCTTTAATAGCCCTTGTTGGCTACATCGTTATCTTTAGATTGGTTATGTGGTACTATGCGAAGGTCAAGGCGTTCGACAACAAAATGTGGTATGATCTTCACTCACCTATGCTGGATCGGAAAGAGTCGCGAAATAATTTGGTCTGCTCCTGGTCTGGTCCTGATGAAGTCGATAGCGCTGAATTGTCTGCGACTAAGGAGAACAAAAAGGTTCCTCACAGTAAGACAGACGAAAACATCCTTGTGGGTATTCATGTAGAGAAGCAAACCCAACTGGAAAGCTCTACCACATCGGAAAAACATGATGTGGATATCCCCTAGATCAGATGTCCATACGCCCATTCCTGCTACACCAACGGCCATGCTTGTGTGATTTTTTTTTGTAAATCAAATCTAACTCATACAAAATTTTTCTTAAATGTTAAAGAGAATTTCCTGCTAAGTAAAATAAAAATAAAAATAATAAACCAATTACCATAAATTTTTAACTCAAAATATTTAGAAGCTCTAAGTATTCTTATCACTTACAGCCCTTACAAATCTCAGCAAGATCATATCGTAGTGCATAGTTACCTTTATCCGGAAAGCCGGATGGCTCTGAGATCTAATCTTCAGTGACTCAAAATAGAATACCACTATTATTTGAAAGCTTTGTGGCTTGAATAACCATAATTTATAATTTCATTTTTAAATCAAGCAATCTAGTCATTTTCTTTGTGAGTAATTCTTATGTCTAAGAATCGTAATCAACCAAGAGAGGAAAGCTAACTTCGCACGGAGCCGATGTTGATAAACCCTTGCAGTCAAGATTGGAAATTTATAGCAAATATCGTTTACGGATTGGATGAATTATCCATCATCAAAATCCTAACACAAGACAAAATATTTTTTAGATTTTTTGTTCATTTTCCGTGATGGTATCCCTTGAAAATGGGGTTTTCCCCTATGGGGTCCACCAGGATGGCTGTATCTTCCCCAATTCTCATCCGATTCTCAAGAGGAGTATTTTAAACAATTTCTAGATCGATTTGCCACCATTCTGCATCAAAATCCTGAGACAAAATATTTTTTAGATTTTTTGTTCATTTTCCGTGTGGAATCCCTTGAAAATGGGGTTTTCCCCTATAGGGTCCACCGGGATGGCTGTATCTTCCCCAATTCTCATCCGATTCTCAAGCGGAGTACCTTAAACGATTTCTGGACAGATTCTTTACCATTCTGCATCAAAACCCTGAGACAAAATATTTTTAGATTTTTGTCCATTTTCGGATGGTATCCCTTGAAAATGGGGTTTTCCCTATAGGGTCCACCGGATGGCGATCTTCCCAATCCAACCATCCAAGCGACTAAACATTCATCCACCACCCAAAACCACAAAATATTTGTTTTCCATTTTTCCTTCAAAACAAAAATATTTTTAGATTTTTGTTCATTTTCCGTGATGGTATCCCTTGAAATTGGGGTTTTCCCCTATGGGGTCCACCAGGATGGCTGTATCTTCCCCAATTCTCATCCGATTCTCAAGAGGAGTATTTTAAACAATTTCTAGATCGATTTGCCACCATTCTGCATCAAAATCCTGAGACAAAATATTTTTTAGATTTTTTGTTCATTTTCCGTGTGGAATCCCTTGAAAATGGGGTTTTCCCCTATAGGGTCCACCGGGATGGCTGTATCTTCCCCAATTCTCATCCGATTCTCAAGCGGAGTACCTTAAACGATTTCTGGACAGATTCTTTACCATTCTGCATCAAAACCCTGAGACAAAATATTTTTTAGATTTTTTGTTCATTTTCCGTGATGGTATCCCTTGAAAATGGGGTTTTCCCCTATGGGGTCCACCAGGATGGCTGTATCTTCCCCAATTCTCATCCGATTCTCAGGCGGAGTACCTTAAACGATTTCTGGACTGATTCTTCACCATTCTGCATCAAAACCCTGAGACAAAATATTTTTTAGATTTTTTGTTCATTTTCCGTGATGGTATCCCTTGAAAATGGGGTTTTCCCCTATGGGGTCCACCAGGATGGCTGTATCTTCCCCAATTCTCATCCGATTCTCAAGCGGAGTATTTTAAACAATTTCTAGATCGATTTGCCACCATTCTGCATCAAAATCCTGAGACAAAATATTTTTTAGATTTTTTGTTCATTTTCCGGGATGGTATCCCTTGAAAATGGGGTTTTCCCCTATGGGGTCCACCAGGATGGCTGTATCTTCCCCAATTCTCATCCGATTCTCAAGCGGAGTATTTTAAACAATTTCTAGATCGATTTGCCACCATTCCACATCAAAATCCTGAGACAAAATATTTTTTAGATTTTTTGTTCATTTTCCGTGATGGTATCCCTTGAAATTGGGGTTTTCCCCTATGGGGTCCACCAGGATGGCTGTATCTTCCCCAATTCTCATCCGATTCTCAAGAGGAGTATTTTAAACAATTTCTAGATCGATTTGCCACCATTCTGCATCAAAATCCTGAGACAAAATATTTTTTAGATTTTTTGTCCATTTTTCGTGATGAGATCCCTTGAAAATGGGGTTTTCCCCTATAGGGTCCACCGGGATGGCTGTATCTTCCCCAATTCTCATCCGATTCTCAAGCGGAGTACCTTAAACGATTTCTGGACTGATTCTTCACCATTCTGCATCAAAACCCTGAGACAAAATATTTTTAGATTTGTTGTTCATTTTCCGTTTATTTTCAAGGAATCCCTTGAAAATGGGGTTTTCCCCTATAGGGTCCACCGGGATGGCTGTATCTTCCCCAATTCTCATCCGATTCTTAAGCGCAGTACCTTAAACGATTTCTGGATTGATTTGTCACCATTCCACATCAAAATCCTGAGACAAAATATTTTTTAGATTTTTTGTTCATTTTCCGTGATGGTATCCCTTGAAAATGGGGTTTTCCCCTATGGGGTCCACCAGGATGGCTGTATCTTCCCCAATTCTCATCCGATTCTCAAGCGGACTACCTTAAACTGTTTCTGGACTGATTCTCCACCATTCTGCATCAAAATCCTGAGAAAAAATATTTTTTAGATTTTTTGTCCATTTTTCGTGATGGTATCCCTTGAAATTGGGGTTTTCCCCTATGGGGTCCACCAGGATGGCTGTATCTTCCCCAATTCTCAAGCGGAGTATTTTAAACAATTTCTAGATCGATTTGCCTCCATTCTGCATCAAAATCCTGAGACAAAATATTTTTTAAATTTTTTGTCCATTTTTCGTGATGAGATCCCTTGAAAATGGGGTTTTACCCTATAGGGTCCACCGGGATGGCTGTATCTTCCCCAATTCTCATCCGATTCTCAAGCGGAGTACCTTAAACGATTTCTGGATAGATTTGCGAAATATTTTCGAAATATTTTTGCGATCGAAATATATTTTAGATTTTTTGTCCATTTTTTGTAGTGATGTTGTGTATGAAATACTTTTAAAAGAAAGCCTCCCCTCCATGGGGCTTCTCATTGTTTGAAGATTAGGGATCTGAAAACGACAGGCTCTTGATAAAGATAGAGCAGGGAAAAAAACAAATGGTTTAAGTCAAACTCGGCCAACAAAAGAGTTATGTATAACAATGGATTTGGCATCGAGGCGGGCATCTGTTTTCGGAGAGGAAGCTTAATAAAGCATATAATATGAGTATTAATCAAATAGCACGCATTGACTTTTCATCTGCGTGTGGGAGAGGTGAGCCCGTGACACGAATCCTGGGAGAAACGAGATACAGAAGTATTACCAGAGAGTTGAGCTCATGACAGTCGGAAAAATTAGCCCCAAAACGGCCCACACACAGAAACATTTGCCATTTCACGATTACATCTCCATGGGCCAGCAATAAATCAAATTGGCAAACGAAAAGAAAAACAGAGAAAAGTTTTGCACACTGTGAATGGCTTTTATGGCATTTGTTTGGGGGGGTGTGTGAGGGGTTTGATGTAGGAGGGGCGGAGGGACTGGGCCCTGTAATTCGCTTGACATCTCAATGCTGTTACTGCTGCTTAATGCCCGAACTTATAACGGGCGAAAATTTTAATGAATGACGTCGTCATCATCAGCAGCTAAAGCTAAAGCGGCGAGTGGCAAGGACGCTTCCATTGCCTCGTCCCTCGTCGTTCGTCCCCTTTCAAGGACATGTTTGGGCTAACTTATCGCTGGGGGGTGGCGGACAAACAATTTCAATGAACTTTGATAAATCGCTGAGAGGCGAAGGACAAGTATGTACATAATACACAGCCGGGCATTCTGCGTCGCTGGGCTTCCTATTTCCGGTTGCCATTTGGTCGCTATATTTGGCCTGGCGCTGAATGCTCAGTGATTATGTAAATGGTTTTGGTTTTTCGGCCATTTGTAGCAGCTTCCTTTATTTTTATTTTTATTCATCGATTGCATCTATTAAAAGAATATTATCCACACAATCCCGGCCGGCTTAGAGGCCTTTTTGGAAAATTGGGTCCTCAAACTCGAATCGCCTTAAAGTATGCCATCATTTTGGCCTCATCCCCACAATCGCATCCCCAAATATTTGGCGGGTAAAAGTAAAACGCTCATCTGGAGGGCAATTTCAGTTAATCATTTCTGGGCGCGGCAAGGACGATCACACATGTCGTATACGCAATTAGCACGCAGAGAACAGAATCGCCGTCTTTAAATGAACAACAATTCCCCAAACTCGCTTTCCCTCACATCACTCCTCTTTCTTTATTTTCCTGGGATGTTGTTGTTTTTATAGTCAGCTTTAATGCATTTCTGCCTTCATGCGAGGAAGGCGAGGAGGAAGTAAATATTGCGCATACGCCACGTTGTGAGCACGCAATGCTGCACGGCATGTTGGTCACGTTCAGGGTAGGAGATCAAGTACTACAGTAATATTATGTTACAAATTGCTTTTTTTATAAATTAAATTTTTAAATCTGTTTTAAGTTGGTATATATTTATTTTAAAAATACTTAATCCTTTGTTTTTGCTTTCTGTGTAGTTGGCCAAGTTAAAGGAACCGCATTTACTGGCCACTTAAAAGAGAAAACTCCCATGTGGCCATCCCAATTCCAGACCCTCTTCCACCGTCACCTCTTCTGGCAGGCTCCCCCCAGGGGGATTCTCGCCAAACTATGCAAAGGACGAAGGAACCCGGGCCGGGGCCAGCTATCGGGCCATAAAAAGCTGTATGGAATGTTGCAATCAGTTAATTTAAGTGCAGGCCAAGCCAGCACGAACAAAAGGCAAGGAAAAGGAGCAGCAGCAGCAGCAGCAGCAGCAGAAACAGCAGCCGCTGCTAAAAGAAAAATGGAAATTTCAGTGCCCAAAACATACAAACAAACAAAGATATATACATATACACATATCCTTTATGTTTGGATGTGTGTGTCTAAACAAACACGCACAGCGAGCCACGCACAGTGGGTCAAGTTCCATTTCAAGAGGATTCATCCCCAAAGCGGTGACGGAGGCTCTGGGGAAAAAGTGAAGAATGGCAGGATTTCGCAGGATGCGGGGAGCAAGGACGAGGGACTCTTTCCTCGACCCGAGGCACACACACACACACATACAGAGAAAAAAATTCACAGCAAAGCACAAGTGGCTACTAATGCAAATAATTTACAAGTAGTAGCAAATGTGGGCGGCAAACGCCAGGAGCAGAATCAGCAGGACCACCAGCAGCAGCAGCCAGAGACACAGAAAGGACAAAACAAAAACGAGAAAAGCGAAAAAAGTAAAATGGCGGGGGAAAAAAAAGAAAAATAATAGAAAGGAAAGGAAAAAGAAAAACACACACAAAATAAACGTCGGAGGAGGACGAGGACGAGGGAAAATGTCGTCAACAAAAAGAAAAATATAAAAGGCAGCAACAACAATGCCAGAGATGGGAGGACTTGTCGGAGAGGAAGTGAGGGGCAAGCAAAAAGGACATTATGCGTCTTTTCACATTTGAGAAAAGGACAAATTTGTAAGGACAAGTGTAAGTGAAGGAAACCGTAACAAACACACAAACACAAGCTTACTCGCAAATATCAATACACACCCGAAATACATACAAACAAAAACGCATACACACACACACACACACACACACTCGCATAGGGATACACAGATACTGTGTGACGACGAGTGCCGCAAATGTTTTGTGGCCCCGCCCACTCCGCCCACCCTCCTTTTTAAGGCTGCTGAGAGAAAATCAATGCCAGACCATGAATCAAGATCAGGTTTTCAAAACGATTCAGGAGGCCACCTCATTTCGTTGGAAACATTAATGGTTTTGGTCCAGGATATAGTAGCAAGGATTAATCTAGGATTCTCCGGTATCTGTAGCTCTATGAAAGTCAGAATAACTTCCAGGAAAGTCAAAGGATTTCTTCCTCTCAGTTAAAAAACTTTTCAAAAACTTAAATATTTTAATTTTTTGGAATTATAGGAAAAGGATATACAGGACATGTTCTTCTTTAGCTTCTTCATTCTATTTTAAAGCATTAACCTTTTAAGGAAAAGAGTTTTCTTCCTTTTGACTTTTTCAAAATACCTTAAAAACATCTTAAAAATTTCAAAAAATTTAAATTTTTTATAGTTTGTAGCTTTTTTGAAAATAAAAACAAAATTAGCTTCAAGTTGTGGGAGGCTTGACTGACTTTTTACAACTTTCGCGGTAAATGGGTGACGGGCACAAGGATGTAAGGGGGGGAGTGGTGGGGCCTAGGACGTGGAGGGCTGTTATGGTGTGTCTAGGGGGGGGCTGAATATTTTAAGAGGGGTAGGAGACGGGTAGATGGTGCGGCATCGTCGCTGGCGTTGGCGCGTGGAGGTAATTGAAGTGACGTTTATGAATGTCATCCGTCAAGCGCTCAAGGACATTTACATACAAACACGCACACACACACTACTGGCACACATGCCGGGACGCCGAGGGGACACGCGTAGGGTGGTGTGTGGTGTTGGTTTTGCTTGACAGATGCGAGCTTACACAGATTTTTTTGTGTTTTCATACCCATCACCCCACTGTCTTCAAAGGTATATCCCTTACAATATTATAGCCACAATTTTTGGCGCAAAAATTTGCATATTATCTCAAGGGAAATTAGGAAAAAAGAATTATTACTTATTTTGATGAAAAAACAAGGATGATTTTACTCTACTTTCTTTACTCAATGATGGGTATAGTTTCCAGAACTTTTAGGTTACTATTTTTGAAAAATGGCGGGTATTTTAAAGTCAGAATACCAGTTATTATACCCCCAGTTGGGTGTGTTTTTTTTCCGCGTTTATATAGACAAACACACATAAACCCACAAATCGAAAAGAGGAGACGGGGCAGAAGGACGCTCGCCGAACCAATACAAACATGAGATGTCCTCCTCTATGGAGGATGTGAGTGCAGGATCGTATTTGTGTGTTTGTTTGTGTGTGTGTGTGAGACAATTTAAAAATAAATACAAGAAACTAGCGCAGGACGTGATGGTTGGCGGGAGGTGGATGGTGGGTGGTGCGCGAGTGGTGCACAGTCCCTCCACCGAGGGCTGGATGATAGATTGAGAGGAAGCCCGCATCTGAAGTCCACACTTACAAAGCTGCGGCGGGTTGTTCCCGCCAAAGGACGAGGAGGCCTCCAAAAAATATGGGCTCCGAGTCGGCGGGCAAGTGCGAATCAGCCCAGAAACGCTTGCTTTTACAAATTGACAAAGGTTTAGCCATATCCATATATCATTGTCTTGTTTGTGACGCTGATGAGCTCAGATTTGTTTATGCACATGTCCTTTTTATTATTATACTAGTTGGCAATGTATCCGAGCTATCTAGTTTCGGATTCTCCTATCATAAACTATCTATTATGCCGCCTGAATAGTTTGCTTTCATAAATTGACAGGGGAATCCCACCATATATCCACCACCACCATACCATCAACTATATATCATTTCAAATTATATATTTGACAATATTTAATTGTTTATGTTAGATTTTGGTTTTTATGGATTTTTTATTAAAGGGGTAACTTTTATTAGTTTGATTTAAGTTTTATAAAAAAATGTATTATTTTTTAGATGTTATTTAATAATTTATTCAGATCGGATGAAACACACAGAAAATGTTGAATTATTTTGCTTTAAAAATTAGACTCCATGCGCAGACTAAAGCATCCAGTTCGTCACCTACTTGGACAGCCGCAGAAGAATATCGTTTATGATTATTTTGATTTAAATTTAAACTATTTACAACCTCAATTTATCTAAGAATGGCTATATAAATATTACATATGCCACAAATTAAAAATAAAAATATATTTCATTTAATTTAATGGATTTTTAGCATTATTCCCCTAATATTTTCCAAAATAAACCCCCATTTTAGACCGGAACTTGTCGTCTAACCCGCGGAAAAGGCAATTCAGCTTCTTGTGCTTCTTCTTGAAAATGCATACTATACTATATATACTATATAGGATTCTGTGTGTGTATATACATATATATATATAGTGGCAACCCACTTGGCTTGTCTACTAATTAAAATGCATGCAATAACCTGAAGCCTTTGTTGCCACATTCTCCTAGATGTTGTTTTTGTTGTCTGTTGCGAGGCTGTTGCTGTTGCAACTTGCTGTTGTTGTTGTTGTTGGTCGTATGCGTAGAAGGACGAAGCAGGAGCAGGAGCATCACCAGCGTTGACAATTTACACAAAGTGCTTAGACATGTGAGGGCAGCAGATGGAAATTTTTCTTAAGGCTAACTTATAAGGTAAAAGGATATCGTTGCAGCCTACATTGAAGAAAAATCCTTGCTTGAGAGTAAAGGATTTAAAGCCGATTTAAACTGCTTCTGATTGGACTTTCTTTGTGTGTATCAGAATCTATTGATAGACGTGTTCATGCCGAAAGCAAGTTACATTTTTAATTGCCTATCGAAGGGGGCTATTTATAAAACAAAAGATTCCGAAATGTCCTTGCTGGCCAATCCTCCACGGAGGACAAAAACTAAGTGAGCCATAGACCAAAGGGGCCAACCAGGGGGCAAGTGCGGCACGTGGGGCACGTAGGGGCACTGAGGACATCCTCCATACTACGTGCTATGTGCATTTTTAATGAAATTTGCCGACGATTTGCGCTCGAAAGCAATTTGAAAGCCCAAAAAGCCCAACCAGCAACAGTTGCAATCTGCAACACCAACTATGGTTGTTGCTGCCTCTGATGGTGGTGGCTCACGTGTGTGGCTTACGAAAAATTAATGCAAATTTGCATAATAAACAAACACAATAAACTGGTAGGTTGGTAGGTTGGTAGGTTGGTTGCATGACTACCAGCCCAAAAGTTTGCAACTCCCAGTCCAGAATTGATTAAGCTGTTGCAAGAGACTGTTGCAAGTAGGTTTCCACTTTAAAGTGGAGCTTAAAAAAGGTGCACTGTCAACATTCAATCAAAATGGCGCATCTTCTTTATGGCGCACTTATTTTTTTGTTTTTCTTTTTTGCAACATTGACCTTCCACATTTGTTTGCCACATACTATATGCATGCAAATAAACAACATTCCATGGAATGGCGATGCCGTGCCACACACGCACACACACCCCCGCGATACTACACCGACATTGACGTCACATTCGACAGGTTTTGGGGTCGGAGGACGGCATGGATCGGGGTCGTGGCTCGGATGAAATTGCCGGCACAGAATTGTAATCAGCTTCGAGCCCAATAAACTGCATGAGTGTAAATTTCCTGAATGTAATCGCCCCCAAATCAAAATAGAGTACTCGGTGGCCTTCAAGAGCTTAGATTGTGCAATGGGGGATTAGTCAGTGGATTGGATAGCCAATTGCCAAGGAGCAGGGTCTTAGCTTCAGTCTGACTCAAGCTGGAAAAGTGTTAAGAAACTATTTTATAGTTTTCTTTATTTTTATGGATAGAGAAGTTTTTAGCTTTTAATTAAAAGTAATGGCTTTAATATATTCTAACTTCTAACTTTCTAAAGAAACTAACTTTAAAATCAAACTTAAAAAGAAAAATTTATAATTACTTTTCCAGCCAATAGACTATTTGTGTTAATATCATACTTTTTAAATCAAAATTGTAAAACTATATATTTTTTTAAATAGCTCGTAGCTGCTAAGAGCTAATAAAAACAATTTAAAAATATTCAAATCGATTTGATAAATTGAAATTTTCAAATTTGTCGCGCCCAAAAAATTAGGGATGGTGCTTTCCTAGTGATGGAACATGGTTTCGGCCAATTCAAACACCGCTCCGACGCTCACGATCTAGTTCACGGCGAATTGAACGCTGCGTCCAGGGCTACATATCCACCCTCAAGCTGCACAAAGAAAAATAATTTACTCGCCAGCGTCGCATTGGCGTTTCGCCGTTTTTTAAAGTGTACTCAAGTGTTTGTTAATATTTTTCGCAGTGCTCGGGCCCGACCGCAACAAACAATAATAACCAAATATAAGTGTGGGTGAAAATGCAGCTAGGTGCCATCGGTGCAACGGATAGTGGAACCGAGAACCCAAAACCCAAAGCCCAAGTCCAGTGAAGCCACCAGCGAGACAGCAGCAGTCTGACCCAGCGGTGTCGAAAAGTCGCAAGCCAGGGAGAGAGGAGCGAGGAGTGAGGAGAGGAGCGTCGGAGAGCACCGAGAACCCAAGGAAGCGCCACTCAAGGGAGCCGATATGGGTAGGTGTACACAGTGTACAGTGTTCAGTGTGGGGGTTTTGTGGCAGTTACGGCGGGGGGCGGCAGGGTGGGCGGGGCAATTGTGGGGTACAGCACCAAATGCACCATTTCTGCACAAACTACATACGAGTTCTCTGGCCGATGGTTGATGCGCGCACTTCCAAGCCGTTGCTGTCCTGCTACCTGCCCCCGACCACAGTACCTCAGTACCACAGTAGCTTCTGCCCCCACCACCATTACCATCACCAGCTAACCAGAGATGGAGAGACGCACACAAGCGAATGAACCAGGGCTGCAGGGCAGCGTCGCTAGTTGTTGTTCTTCGGTTCGGTCGCCCGGCAGGTATCGTATCGGCCTCAAAGAAAGGGCCAACAAACGATACTTGCTGTAGAAAAGAAACAGAGTAAGGTGGAAGAAGAAGAGTAAAGTGTTTTCCAATGGGAGTATTCCTATTATAAGAAATAATTCTAGTTTGCTGAAGGAAAATTACATACATATATATTTGTATATAGACAAATCCTAAGAGACAATTGTTGGTATACAAAAAAAAGTAATATATAAAAAATGCGATAATTAAAAAATAATTTTATATACAACAATTATATTTAATAATAAAATTAGTTTATTTGTGTGGTTATCCCCTAAGAGATTTGAATTTAACCGCTCACTTTAAGAGGTTCTTATTTTTAGAAAGTGTCTTAAATGTGCTCATATTTTTTTGTCATTATATACTTAGTTTAAATAAAAAACAATTACTTAAATAATTAAATAAGAAACATATCCCCCAAAGCCGTTATTTTTTAAAAATTGCCCACCAACCCACCCATCCCTGGCTGCCGCATACAAACCCAAACCTTTAAAAAAAAAACCCCAACATATTTGCATTTGTTTACATTCGCTCTTCCACGCAGCCTCCGAGTCGATGGCCCCCAGTAGCAGCAGCGGTGCCGCCGCCGCCGCAGCTGCCGCTGCCGCCACCAAGCTGCTGGTGGAGATCTCCACGGACGGAGTACCCAAGCTGCACTGCCCGGTGTGCAACAAGGCCCTTTTCTCGCTGGCCGGCTATGTGAAGCACGTGAAGAAGCACCAGCCGCCAGGCGGCTTTGAATGCCGGCAGTGCGATGCCCGCTACTGCAGCGAAGAGGAACTGACCCAGCATACCAAGGATGAGCATCCGGATAGTGGCTCCGCCCAGGAGGACAAGCCATATGTGTGCGACAAGTGTGGTGTGGAGTACATGTACCAGGAAGCCTATCGTCGCCACTGTCGTACCAAGTGTGGCGAGGAGAAGCTTTCCAGGGTGAGTCAACAATGAATATATATCCTCCAAGTCATCTAAGACACCTTATTTTTAGGAGGAGTCTCGACCTGTGGAATGCCAGTGCTGCTCTACTCGCTTTTCCACCGATGCCAACCTGGAGAAGCACCGACGCAGTCGTCCTGACACTTGCGGCCAGCCGGAATACGATCCGCCTGGCAGCTCCAATCAGGAAATGAAGCGGAAGTATCGCAAGAAGATGAAACGAGCTGACTCCGATGAGGACTCCACCTCCGACGACGAATCCGAGGTGGACAGCGACGATGACATTCCCCTGGCCAGCCGGCTAAAAACGAAGCTAAAGCAGGAGAGCCAGAACTCTGATTCGGGTGACGAGTGCCCCGATTTCGAGCCGAACAACAGTGAAGACGAGGCGTTCCCGTTGCCGCCACCGGCCATGGTCAAGGTGGAGGCGTTCGACGAGGAGGACTTCGAGTACCAGGACGCCAGCATGTATGTGAAGACCGAGAGCACGGATATCTTCAGCAACGAGAAGGACAAGCTGTTGGATGTCCTGCTGAACGAGGGCGACGGCCTGAAGCCGTTCGAGAGCCTCAAGGTGGAGCAGGGCGCCGGCATCCTGGATGAGATTGCGGCCGTGCCGCTGGTGGAGGTAGCCGAGGAGGATGTCCTTGCGCTGCGTGGCTCTCGCCCTGATAAGCCTGGGATGAAGAGGCGTGGCCGACCGCCCAAGGGAGAACGAAGGGAGCCGTCGGAACCGGTCGTCAAGAGAAAGTATCGCAAGAGAAACGCCAGATCCTCATCGCCGGATGAATTCTCTCCGGGGCCGAAGCGCATGGCCAAGATCAGCAAGAAGGAACTGAAGGAACGCCTCAAAATGATCAACAAGATGGAGAAGTCCTGGAAGTGCCCGCACTGCGTCAAGATCTACCACATTCGGAAGCCCTACGAGAAGCATCTGCGCGACGATCACAAGCTGACCGAGCAGGAGATGCGCGAAATCTTCAAGGACGTCGACGTCCATGCCAAGCTGGACGAGGAGGTCTTCAAGTGTCCCATCTGCAGCAAGATCTACCTGGTGGAAAAGCGCCTGGTCACCCACATGAAGGTTCACGGCGAGGATGGCAAGCTGACGTTCAAGTGCCCCTGCTATTGCAACCTTTTCTTCGCCACCAAGGAGCAGGCCACGGAACACGCCCGCGCCCAGCACAAGGAACTGCTCTACTGCGAGAAGTGCGACAAGTACATGACAGGTCACGACAGTCTGAAGAACCACGAGCGCAACTTCCACTCCAAGCGGGAGCCACGCAGCCAGGTGCGCAACCTCATCTGCGACAAGTGCGGCAAGAAGTTCACCGGCCGCACCTCACTCTCCGATCATGTGCGCTCCGACTGCGGCCGCCTGCCACTCTACGGCTGTTCCGTTTGCGGCAAGCATCTTTCCACTGCTGGGTAAGATCTCTCCTCTTGAAATCTTAACCTTTCTAGTAATTCTATCTATTACTTGTTGTTCCATAGCATTCTCAAGACGCACATGCTCCTCCACAAGGCAGACACTCCATACCAGTGCGACAAGTGCGGCAAGACGTTCAAGGTGAAGGCACAGTACAAGTCGCACTTGAAGACGCGACATACGGACTACAAGCCCTACAAGTGCCACCTCTGCCCCAAGGAGTATCCGTACAGGGAGAGCCTGCTCACCCACATGACCGTACACACTGGCATCAAGCGATTCCTGTGCAATAACTGCGGCAAGCGGTTCACCTGCATCTCCAATCTGCAGGCCCATCGCAAGGTGCATGCCGACACCTGCGGCCAACTGCCCCTCAACGCCAAGGCCACACAGTACATGGGCGTGCAGCGGGGAAAGCTTCTGATGGGTGCCAAGCCGGAGGCGGGTATGGCCTACGACGAAACCAAGACCCTGATCGCCGAGGAGGTCATCGAGAAGGACATGCCAATGGCCCAGGAGCTCAACTTCCCCTCGGATGGCTCCGCTCCGCTGGCCACCGTTCCCCTAAACTATGCCTCCACGCACCTGGTGCCCCACATCGTACTCCAGACCATGCAGGCCGAGGCACGGCGGCTGGAGTAATCATGGAACACATTCATTTAGAGGTCCCCACTCAATAAAGATAAAGATAAAGATAAAGATGCTTTTGTAAACGGATGCGTATTCTACTGTACAACCAACCAACGGGATGATAACTATACATATAATATCTACTTAATGACTGCATTAATTAAATAACATTGAACGATAAATAAGCTACATAACATTGATGTAGAGAAAGGTTTAGCGCCATACGGACCTGTCAAAAAAAAACTTAAGAAAATAAATTTTCCTTATAAAATATTGTCGTATAAATGTTTTTTATTTTTTTAAGATATTTTAGATAAAAGGAGAGGACCTTCATAGGGTTAAGCTTTCCAGATGACCTGCAAGTAGAGTTGCCACTCATTCCCGCATAAGATCCGTTAGTTTTTAAAAACGAGGCATTGGTTCTGGAATTTCTTAGCTAAAATTTGAATTATAATTGCCATTATGTTTCGACTTCATTGCAACAAGTGTTTTAGTCACAAAAAACACGTCCCATCGCTGAACTTTTACATTTCCAACTGCAAGCACATCCTCTGCGATGGATGCATGGCCGGGTCTTCCAAAGACAGGAAGTGCCCACTGTGTGAAGCCACATTCAAGCCCATTCCCATAAGCCCAAACATGCCCCAGAAAGTGGCCTACTACTTTGAGGATCCCAAGCGTTTTTTGGAACTCTATCGGAAGATCAGCAAGTTTCAGGCCGATCAACGTGACTCGGACGATCGCGGATTCCAGGTCAAGATGCGAAAACACCTAGAGATGAAGCGCAAACTGGACACTTACCTTAGGATGGAGGAGCAGCTGCAGCAGCACAAGAAGCGCCAAGAGCGGCAAAACTACTATGACGATACTCCTAGCTCAGAGGACGGCGAGCGAGGAGTACCCAAGAAGATGCGCCGTACGCAGCCTCAAACTCCTTCGACCAGCTCGTCGGAGGAGTTCCTCACGGTCGAAGACAATGAGAGGTTCCTGCAGTATTTCCAAGCAGCTTTAGCCGAGAATGACAAGGAACCTGAATCATGGTCCAAGCAGCAGAGCACATCCTTCAATAAAGTTCTGGACTTTGATTCTTAACTGAATCATTACTTTTATGATCTTTCACCATTATCTTCCTAATTGTACAAAAAAACATATATACTTTAAGAACTTGAAATTATTTACTAATTTTCTCAATTATATTTCTCGATATCTCAATATTCATTACAATGTTCTAAGAATTCTTCTTATGATTTATTTTTTAATTATAAAACATATTATTGCAATGATTATATAACTTTTTGAATTAAAATTGTACATACACTTTTTTCTTAAAAACTAATTTATTCCACAGACTTCAGGGTAGTCTGAAAAAGGGCTGCTGGTAGCGTCCGATGGGCATACGGCCCTTGGTCCTAAATTATTCCACAGACTTTAGGCCAATCTGAAATAGGGCTGCTGGTAGCGTCCGATGGGCATACGGCCCTTGGTCCTCAGCCTTCGAACAGCCTCCCGAATGAACTTGGGATGTAGAGCACCGGATTCCCCTTGGGACTCCATGACGTCCAGTGCCTCCTCCACCACCTCGCCCACAAACACTTTGGCAATACCCGACATGGCGATTACCACATTCTGGGAGACGGAACAGCCGGTAATGGTCTGCATTAACCGTTTGACGGCAGCCTTGGGAAATGCTGACCGTCGGTACATTTCGTATCTATCTAGTTGCTCCTCCGTGAAGTTGGACACGAGAACCCTAAAATGGAAGTGATAAGAAGGACCCAATGGAAGAAACTCCATGGACTCACTGCATCCTCTCTCTTTCCTCCTCCTCCAGCTCTTTTTTGGTCTTGATCTTTTTTTGGGAAGGTTCTTCGGGGTCTCCATCACCGTCTATGTTTTTTGTGTCACCATCGGTGTCTGGTTCCTCTTTAATTTCCCGCTCCGTGTCAATGGCAGTATCCGAGGTGTCGCTATCTTTCCTCTCTCCGGAGCCCGTGTTGAAGAATTTTAAATCCCCATCGTCGGTGTCGCTGTGTGAACTGCTTTTTTGTTGGGTGGGAAAGAGTATTTCGTCCATTTTTATAAAAATATGTAAATAAATAGCGTTTATAAACAAATCGCCTTTGTGGGGGTGGATGTCTTTTCCAACACTAAACTCTGAGTAGGGCTGGAAAACACGCGAGGAAAACTTTTCCGTTGCCATCACTAGCGGACCTCGTGTTTTTGTTCTTTCTCCATAAATCGTCCATCGTGCGCGCTAGATTTTCGTTTCTTCAGACCAAACAGAGAATCACACAAGCTCCAAAATGTCCGCTACTGAGGAGGCCATCACAACCGAGATCGCCGGCGAGGAGGTCAAGAAACAAAAGAAGCCAAAGCCGAACAACAAAAAACTGCGCCAAGGTGAGTGACCTCACGCCGTAATTGCAATAGAACGACCCATTCACCCATGCAACCACCCATGCCCACTTATCAACCACCCACTAACCCGACCGCTCACCCACAGAAGCAGCAGCCAAGATAGCCGCCGAGGGAGGTGAGCCGACAGAAGCCGCCACGAACGGAGATGCCCCCAAGCCGGCAGCCGCTCAACCGGCGAAGAAGAAGAACAACAAGGGCAAGAAGAACGGTCAGACTGATCCGCCAAGTATTCCCATATCTAAGCTGTATCCCGATGGCAACTTTCCCGAGGGCGAGATCGTGAAGCATCCAACACCCAAGGATTTGACGGACGACCGCACCGCCAAAGACCGCTTCACGTCGGAGGAGAAGCGCGCGCTCGATCGCATGAACACCGATATTTACCAGGAGCTGCGGCAGGCCGCTGAGGCCCACAGGCAGACGCGTCAGTACATGCAGCGTTACATTAAGCCGGGCATGACCATGATCCAGATCTGCGAGGAGCTGGAGAACACGGCCCGCAAACTAATCGGCGAGAACGGCCTGGAGGCTGGACTTGCCTTCCCCACGGGCTGCTCCCTGAATCACTGTGCCGCTCACTACACGCCAAACGCCGGCGACACCACTGTCTTGCAGTACGATGATGTGTGCAAGATCGACTTTGGAACCCACATCAAGGGCCGTATCATCGACTGCGCCTTCACGTTGACGTTCAACAACAAGTACGACAAGCTGCTGCAGGCGGTCAAGGAAGCCACCAACACTGGCATCAAGGAGGCAGGTATCGACGTGCGTCTATGCGACATTGGAGCCGCCATTCAGGAGGTGATGGAATCATACGAAATCGAGCTGGACGGCAAGACATATCCCATCAAGGCCATTCGTAACTTGAACGGACACTCGATCAGCCCGTACCGTAAGCCTTAGAAACATAATTTTACTTTTTTTAATGAGTTTGTAACCTTATTGATGTTTTTTAGGCATCCATGCTGGCAAAACTGTGCCCATTGTCAAGGGTGGCGAGTCCACACGCATGGAGGAGGATGAATTCTACGCCATCGAGACATTCGGATCCACTGGTCGCGGTCTGGTACATGACGACATGGACTGCTCCCATTACATGAAGAACTTTGAGCTGCCATTCGTGCCTCTCCGTCTGCAGTCTTCCAAGCAGCTGTTGGGCACCATCAACAAGCATTTCGGCACCCTTGCCTTCTGCAAACGATGGCTGGATCGCGCTGGCGCCACAAAGTACCAGATGGCCCTCAAGGATCTGTGCGACAAGGGAATCGTGGAGGCGTACCCGCCTCTCTGTGACATCAAGGGCTGCTACACGGCTCAGTACGAGCACACCATTATGCTGCGACCCACATGCAAGGAGGTGGTCTCCCGCGGCGACGATTATTAGAGATGCGTTGCGGATAAGATTCGCGAGCGGTATTCGGCGTTGTATTGCTGGCATTATATACAGTTTTTGATATAAGTTCATTCTATTGTTGATTCTTTTGTGAGCGTAAGCGGAGCGAATTATATATACAGTGTATTATGCTCAGTATGAGAAAGTGGAGATTATCTGGCTTAGTAAGTCGTCTGCGGCTGGAGTCTCATCGTCTTGGGGATAAGCTCGTGCCAGTACAGGGAGTGAGATTGTCGAGACTTCCCACGATTTCCCCTCTTCAGAGATCTAAAAATGTACACAAACCATTTGCCGGTCAAGTAGTACAAGATTTCAATGTAGCTGACAATGCTGAAGCCATACATCAGCGACAGGATTCCACCAAAGCGATCTGGAAGGATTTAGGGTTAGGGTTTGAAATGAGGTTCTAAATATCCTTGATTTCTTACTTAACAAAACAACCCAAGTGCTAACTAGCTGGGATTCCGTGGCTTGAGCAAAGCGCAGCTTGAAGAATAGTTTTATTATGGCCAGAGGTCTTTCGTTGGTCAATCCTTTCCTGAAATCTAGCTAATTTTAGAGCCATCTCTCAAGGATTAGGATCACTTACAATAATCCCGTCAAGTAACCACTACTGCGCAAAGCTCGTCGAAGTGGAGCCACATTGGTGGTTATGCTCATGCTGACTCCGTTGCAGGTGGGCAGGCATTGCTCGCATTTCCTTTGGGCCAACTGCTCCTCATTGCTTTCCAGGAAGGCGAACTCGTTGTGGCCATACCAGATTCTCTTCCACCGCAACAGGCAGGGTAGGTCCAGTAGAGTGCAATAGGTGACTGCCATGGGACTGCCCACCATGGGCGGGGAGACGCAGCCACAGTGGTCCATCATGCTCTTGCTGCGGCACACCAAAAGGCACTCGTCCAGGGAGTAATAGGACCTGAAGGAATGGGGTTTTCGATGCTTATAAGGTAGTAGGTCATATCTACTTACTGATTTAAAAGCTTACTCCCTTCTTCAGGATAATAGCAGCGTCGTTTCTCGGGCTCCACGTAACGCACTGCATTTCCGGAGCTAAAGAACACTGGCTGGATGGGTATCTCCACTATAGTGTTGTGATCCACCAGCACCTCTCCCAAAGTTGTGGATTGAACTGTCGCATAGTCCTCTTGGGGGAAAATCGTAAGCTATAATAGGAGAATAAAAATATTTGAACTTATATCCATATCCATCTTGAATAGTCACCTGGAAGGCACTGTTGCTTCTAAAGGTCTTGGTGTAATCCTCTTCTGCTACATCCTGGAGCACAAACTGGACGCTGTTTAGAATAGAATTCGATTCAAAAACCACCTTGGGAACCGCACTCATCTCTGCATCGTCTTCGGCTCGTTTGTCGCTAAAAGTGAAGCCCCAAAGTCAGCTACAAACCTTCCTATTGGAAGAAGTATTCTTACGCAAATTGGGAGTAGCTGGCCCGGCGATAATTAAATATGCAGCACACATTCGAGGACGTGGGTCTCTTGAGGAACAATTGGCTGGTGTTGACAGGCGCCCCATAGACGATTCCCCGGATCACCAGCTCCCCGCAGTCAGGTGACAGCTGGCGCAGAATATCGCGCACCGAGTACCCACTGTCGTCATGGTAACTGGTGAGGAGCCGATGAAGTCTCTGCAATTCCGTGATGTTAAGTCTCTCCTCCTCGAGGGGATTCAGATAGAACTGTGCCAGCACCAGCAGGTGATCGACCATATCGTCCAAATCCTCTGCCACCGCCCGTTGGGAGGAGTTGGCCTGGTGTTGATATCTAATTCGGAGAAAGGGTCATTAGCATGCAGCGGTGCACTCCCGATAGGAGTATAAAAGGCATGGAGTGGAACTGGCCCTGGATTAGTGCCAGTATGAAGCTTCTGCAGGCGGTACTCGCAGTCTCTATCTTCGCGATTTGTTCCAGTGATCGGCAAAGGTTCGACAACTACAGGGTTTATACAGTGAGCCCCACCAAACAGGATCAGTTGGAGGCCCTGAGAACTCTAGAGGCCAAGAGGGAAGATGCCTTGATTCTCAATCATCTCCATTTGGGTCCCACGGATTTTCTTGTAGCTCCCAGCTACGATGAGCAGTTTTTGGAGCTCCTAAGTCGTTTGGAGCTCGTCCCAGAGCTGATAGACGAAAACGCCCAGGCCAGTCTCTCCCTGGACATTGAACCAGTGGCCGATTCGAATCGTCGGAGCGATGACTATACCTGGTCGGAGTACCATGAGCTGAACGATACCCAGAAATGGATGCAGAATCTGGTTGCAAAGTACCCTGATACGGTCAGCTTATTTGTGGCTGGTAGGAGCTACGAGGGTCGTGAGCTAATGGGCCTAAAAATTGATCGAAAGGATGGCCGGGCCGAGAAGCAGTCCATCTTCCTGGAGGCTGGGATGCACGCTAGGGAGTGGATAGGTCCTGCCACTGCCACGTACTTTGCAAACGAGCTACTGACATCTCAAAAGCCAAATATCATGAGCCTGGGCAAGTCCTATGTCTGGTATATCCTGCCCCATGCCAATCCTGATGGCTATGTCTACACCCACACCACGGTGAGAATTCTAGCCTTTAAAATAAAACCTTTTTTTAAATAAAACTTTTATTTTAGAACCGCATGTGGCGCAAGACCCGTAGCCCCCAGGACAAGAACTGCTATGGAACCGATCCGAACCGAAACTGGGCCTTCCATTGGCGCGAAGTGGGGGCCAGTGATGAGCCCTGCTCGGAGTCCTATGCTGGTCCTAAGGCCTTTTCCGAACCAGAGACTGAAACCCTCTCAAAATACCTCACCTCCCTGCCGGAGCCGATGTTCATGTACCTGTCCCTGCATTCCTTCTCCCAGCTACTGCTCTACCCGTATGGACACACCTCCAAGCTGCCGGAGAATCATCGGGATATGGAGCGAATCTTCGATGTGGCCGTGAATGCCGTAAAAAGGCGATATGGAACTCGTTATACGGGAGGTAATGTCTATGACGCCATCTATCCTGCGGCTGGTTCCAGCATGGACTGGGCCTACGGAGTCCTGAAGGTTAAATACTCTTTTACTTACGAACTACGACCCTCGGGCTACAGTTTCTGGACAGGCTTCAGGCTGCCCGCCTCCCAAATAATTCCCACGGGTCAGGAAACCACCGACTCCCTGGCTGAAATGATAAAAGCAGCTGCCACAATCGAGGGCTATAAATTACAAGAAGCATAAACATTTCTAAGTTTAATTGATACTAAAAAGATTAAGTCACTGCTCCAAATAAGGAGATAAGAAAAATCCACTACACGAATCTTTAAACAAAATCGATAAGAAATCTGGTTTATTTTGGGTTTTGAAACTAAATCTGATTAAATATGCCGTCTAATATTTTTAACTTTTTATAACTATTATCTAATAAAACAAATAAAGACGAAATGCTTCTAGTTATTAGTTTAAATAGAAATTTATTAAACTTACATTGGTTTTTAAAGTTCAAACTAGAAAAGGGCTAGCCATGATATTAAAAATGAATAGATTTGGAATGTTATGTTGTCTTTTAAAATCTTAAAAGATAGCTAATCAAATTCTTTCTGACTTGACATTATTTAAAAGTCTTAAAAGGATTAAAAAAAACTTTAAATTAATTTTCGAAGAACTGTCTAACAAAAGCTATTTAAGAGGAAACCAGGGACATTGATTGATTTTCTAAGAACCTGGATTAAATAATTTATAGCTGATAAAGTGCTTCACACTTTATTTTAAAATACGTTTAAATATTAAGTCTAAAAACACCTATTTAATATTTTTCAACCTTTGTTTTTTAAAGAAAGAACCAAACCATGTGTTTCAATTAGAAAACTATTTCTGGGTAATAGGTTTTCTTGAGATAGAGGTACCTCTTTCAAACAAAATGAAAATGAGTTTAAAGTTTTCAAAGACAAGGTCAAGAGCTGTCTGATGAATTGACACTTTTGTGAAGACTTTCGAGGCGTCATAGACGAAGCAAAAGTCGGGAATTATTGTGATTTACCAGGCGAGGCGGTTGAGACTGCGATAATGGCGTTTGCACCGATTATTCCGATATTTACGGCCCGCGCCACTCGTGGGCCGTAAATCAGAATCCAACACTAGCTGCCGCCCTTATCGGTGGCCTATAAAAGCGGTGGGTGAACCAGGCGAAGGTTCAAACCGACGACAACCATGTCGCTGACCAAGTGCCTTTTGCTAGCCCTCCTGGCCGTTGTGGCCATCGCCTCCGTGAGTGCGGAACGCATCCGCTATGACAACTACCGCCTGTACAAGGCCAACTCGGAGAATGCCGAGCAGCTGGCTGTGCTGAAGCAGCTGGAGGGATCCAGCGACTCGATCATGTTCCTGGACGGAGTACACATTGTCGGTACCCCGGTTGAGATCATTGTCGCCCCGCACAAGGTTCCCGACGTTCTGGATATCCTCGGCAAGGCTGAGATCAAGTACGAGCTGCTGACCAAAGATCTGCAGAAGAAGTGGGACGAGACCGAGGAGAAAGTGGCCATCAAGGGCCGTGCCACCCGCGCCTACAACTGGGCTCAGTACTACGAACTGGACGACACCTACGCCTGGCTGCAGAGTCTGGCCAACCAGTACCCCGGAGCCGTGACCCTCATTGAGGGCGGAAAGACCTACCAGGGACGCTCCATTTTGGGCGTGAAGATCAACAAGAACAAGGGCACCAACAAGCCCGGCATCTTCCTGGAAGCCGGTATCCATGCCCGCGAGTGGATCGCTCCCGCTGCCGCCACCTACATCATCAACCAGCTGCTGACCTCCGAGGATGCCTCCATCAAGGAGCTGGCTGAGAGCTACGACTGGTACGTCCTGCCCCACGCCAATCCCGATGGCTACGTGTACACCCACACCACTGACCGATTGTGGCGCAAGACCCGTACCCCCTACGGCAGCTGCTTCGGCGCCGACCCGAACCGCAACTGGGCCTTCCACTGGAACGAGGTTGGAGCCAGCAGCAGCGCCTGCTCGGACACCTACGCCGGACCCTCTGCTTTCTCCGAGATTGAGACCAAGTCGTTGTCCGACTACATTGCCTCGCTGAAGGGCAAGATCAACCTGTACATCTCCCTGCACGCCTACTCCCAGTACCTGCTCTACCCCTACGGACACACCGCCGATCTGCCCGACAACGTGGAGGACTTCAAGCAGGTCTACGACGCCGCCCTCGCCGCTGTGAGCAAGCGCTTCGGCACCAAGTACACTGGAGGAAACATCTACGATGCCATTTACCCCGCTGCCGGAGCCAGCGTGGACTGGGCCTATGGCACTCAGGATGTGCGCATGTCCTTCTGCTACGAGCTGCGTCCCTCATCCAACTCCTTCATCACCGGCTTCAGGCTGCCCGCCGAGCAGATCATCCCCGCCAGCGAGGAGCTGCTCGACTCCATTGTGGCCATGGCCGCCGAGGTCAAGAAACTGGGCTACTTCAACAAATAATTCGATTAAAATAAAGCACTTACAATTTCAATGCATAGCTCCGAAGACGCCTCTGGCTAATCTTGTTGGCAGTGCACACGCCCACGGCCGGAAAGGGGCTGTTGGCCACGTGCACCAGGTCGGGGGACAGGTGGATCTCCGTGGGCTGCACCAGGTACTCTTGGGTCAGGTTCACAATCACTATATGGGTGTAGATGACGAGGCTGGTTAGGAAGGCCAGCCAAACAGCTCTGAAATGGTTAATTAGCCTCACTCGAGATAATCAGGAAACTCAATGACTAACTTGGCAAGACGGACAGGTGAGTGGTAGAGAAACGGATGCAGTCCATTGATGTAACTCTGGCGCAGAAACTCTCGAAACAGGCGGCGATAGAGGGACTCATCCACTTGTAGAGACATTGTGCTTTCAAAGTGTGCTCGATTCCAGACAATTTATAGTGCTCTTCGTGCCACTGGTCATCCATCAAAGTTCTAATTAAAGCGTGTCAAGTGGAGTGCAATAAAAGTGCAGGGTAGGAGCGTGTTTATGTACAGACAGACCACGTTAAGTGGGACTGGCCTAGTCCCTGTTGATGTAGTTGAAAACGGGTCGAAAGGTGAGAAAGTAGAAAAACTCAAAGGCAGTCACTATGCTGAAGCCCATGATTAGCCCCAGTAGACCGCCAAATGAGGCTGTCAAAAATCAAAACATTGATTAATAGTTTATGGAATCTAATTGAATGATTAATTGGCTCACCCAAGGCGGACAGCCAGTTCTGGAAGATGTCCGTGCGAAATCTGGTGCTCATCAAGTCACTAAAAAATACATGCAGGAGTATCCGGTCCGAGGTATTGCTGTTGATACTCTCTGTTAGGCAAACATTTTAATAAAATAAGTTAAGATTTCACCCGAGTGTTGGGCGGTTGGAAAAGTAGCTCATGTCCAGCCTGCCCATGGTGCTCTCGGAAACATAGTGGTTCGACTGACAATCTGGCAAACATCCACAGGGAAAGCTGGCCGTTTCACGGACTATTGAAAGGGAAATATTCAAATTGGCCAGGGCATGGGAAAAGAGTCCTTCAAGGATATGCGCCCCATTAACTTCTATATCTTTTAGTTCATCGGTAAGCACTCACGTTTACTGGTAATCATACAATTGGCTTCCAGAACACCACAAACTTTATAGCTTCCATTGTTGTACACATATGGGGGAATGCATCCACAATGATCTATAGTCATCCGTACCCGGCACTCGAACATGCAGTTTATGAAGGAGTAGCGCCTCAGGCCATGCATCGTCCTTTCGCTTCCAAAAAGGCAGTTTCTCAGGGAGAGATCCATGCGCCGGATGTCGTTGGTGGCGTAGGTGGACTCCGGATTAATGCGAACAAAGCTCTCCCGGGTGGAGGTCACCACCTTTGTCTCGGAGTTCTCGTCAGGAAAGTTATACGAATCGTGGAGGAGCAGCCGAAATCCGAAGCCACTGAAGAAAGTTCCATAATAGTCGGAAACCATGGGATTGAGGAGAACCGAGAGTCCTGTGGGATACCCACAGCCCGTCACACGATAAGGACGTTTTGGAACCTGATAGGCTATTTTTCTGAGTAAAAATTAATGTGCTATTAGTATTAACTAATTCAAAAAATAGTATGAAAATCTATTGTCGGATGATAACGTAAGACGAGCGGAAATAGTATAACATCTTGGAGATACTACGTCTTGATGGCATGGGGCGTATCAACATGCCGAACTTTGGAGGCTTAAGCTTCGCTAATACGCGCCCGATCTCTAAGAGGAATACCTTAAACGATTCGAAAGGAAATTCCCCGTTCTTCTGCATCCGAACCCCAAAACAAAATTTCTGATCGATTTTTTGTCCATTTTTCTGATGGGATACCTGGAAATGGGGTTTTTCCCTATAGGGCTCACTGCGATGGCTATATCTTCCCCAATTCTCATCCGATTCTCAAGAGGATTGTTTTAAACGATTTCTAGATCGATTCTCCACCATTCTGCATCAAAATCCTGAGACAAAATATTTTTTCAATTTTTTGTCCATTTTTCCTGATGGGATCCCTGGAAATGGGGTTTTTCCCTATAGGGCTCACTGCGATGGCTATATCTTCCCCAATTCTCATTTGATTCTCAAGATGATTGTTTTAAACGATTTCTAGATCGATCCTCCACCAGTCTGCATCAAAATCCTGAGACAAAATATTTTTTCAATTTTTTGTCCATTTTTCCTGATGGGATCCCTGAAAATGGGGTTTTTCCCTATAGGGCTCACTGCGATGGCTATATCTTCCCCAATTCTCATCCGATTCTCAAGAGGATTGTTTTAAACGATTTCTAGATCGATTCTCCACCATTCTGCATCAAAATCCTGAGACAAAATATTTTTTCAATTTTTTGTCCATTTTTCCTGATGGGATCCCTGGAAATGGGGTTTTTCCCTATAGGGCTCACTGCGATGGCTATATCTTCCCCAATTCTCATCCGATTCTCAAGGGGATTGTTTTAAACGATTTCTAGATCGATTCTCCACCAGTCTGCATCAAAATCCTGAGACAAAATATTTTTTCAATTTTTTGTCCATTTTTCCTGATGGGATCCCTGGAAATGGGGTTTTTCCCTATAGGGCTCACTGCGATGGCTATATCTTCCCCAATTCTCATTTGATTCTCAAGGGGATTGTTTTAAACGATTTCTAGATCGATTCTCCACCATTCTGCATCAAAATCCTGAGACAAAATATTTTTTCAATTTTTTGTCCATTTTTTCTGATGGGACCCCTTGAAAATGGGGTTTTTCCCTCTAGGGCTCACTGCGATGGCTATATCTTCCCCAATTCTCATTTGATTCTCAAGATGATTGTTTTAAACGATTTCTAGATCGATTCTCCACCAGTCTGCATCAAAATCCTGAGACAAAATATTTTTTCAATTTTTTGTCCCTTTTTCTGATGGGTCCCCTTAAAAATGGAGGAAGGTATGGGTTACGAAATATGACAATTTGCTGAGGCTATAGCTTCACCAATATTAACCCGATTCCTAAAAGGAATACCTTAAACGATTCGTGAGGGAATTCCTCGTCCATCTGCATCCAAATCCCACAACAAAATTTCCGATCGATTTTTTGTACATTTTTCTGATGGGTCCCCTTAAAAATGGAGGAAGGTAAGGGGTACAAGAATATGACAACTTGCTGAGGCTGAAGCTTCGCCAATATTAACGCGATTCCTAAGAGGAATACCTCAAACGATTCGTGAGGAAATTCCCCGTTCATTTGCATCCAAATCCCAAAACAAAATTTCCGATCGATTTTTTATACATTTTTCTGATGGGTCCCCTTGAAAAATGGAGGAAGGTATGGGGTCCGAGAATATGACAACTTGCTGAGGCTGAAGCTTCGCCAATATTAACCCGATTCATAAGAGGAATACCCCAAACGATTCGTGAGGGAATTCCCCGTTCATCTGCATCAAAATCCCAAACCAAAATTTCCGATCGATTTTTTGTACATTTTTCTGATGAGTCCCCTTAAAAAATGGAGGAAGGTATGGGGTACAAGAATATGACAACTTGCTGAGGCTATAGCTTCGCCAATATTAATCCGATTCCGAAGAGGAATACCTTTAAAGTTATTTTGTTCCTGTTTCTTACTCTGGAAAATTGTTGGTGATACCGCCAAAGTAGTTGAAAGTGCAGCACTGTCCTTCCATGGTATCTATCCGCTGGAACAAACTGTCGCACCTCGTGTTGATTCCCTTCCAGATGCAGCTGGAAATCATGTCCATGCAATCAGGCGACAGTTGCTGGGTAAGTCCGTGTAACGTAAGATTATTCAGGACCAAAATCCTGTCGTAGATTTCCAAGGAACTGTTGCTAATCATGCTATCCACGGGCAACAGTGTCAGATTGAAAAGGCTGTGTAGCTCGGATTTGTTAACCCCAACCGGGATGTTCCTGAGGAGAAAAAATAACAAAATAAAGACGTCAAACGTCCAGTAGGTTCTTTATTTAAGAAACAGAAGTCAATGGAATATTTTACTTTCAAGGATTCGGTTGAAGAACCAAAGTTGACCTTTCTTTCGATTGCATACATCATATTGATGGGGATTTTGTGAATTCGAGATTGCTTAACAAGCACATTTTGGGTTTTCGCAAATTGAATAAATCATGAGCTTCATATGAACTCACATTTGATCCAACAAGGTGAGTGCCTTGGTCTTGGAAATCTTGTTAAAGTTGCAGATGGTAACAGCAGGGAAAGGAATGTTCCAGGTGGGGAAGTGTGAGCTCTCGATGACCGTCACCGTTGGCGTCTCCTGGCTCCAGTACAAGGACACGACCACAAGCACAATCGAGGTGATGATGGCCAGGATGACGACCATTAGCCAGAACAGGCGCTCCTGGTGACTGATGTCCTGTCGGGTGATGTAACTGAATCCGTGCAGCGAAGTGGTTTGGCAGTAGTTGCGCATATTCTCGGAAAACCACTCCCGAATCTTCCAGAACTGGTGATGAGCCGACTTCATGGGGCTCTGGGAATGGTTGGAACTGAGGTTATTGCGTCTCTGGCTGAGGGCTGCGGATTTGGCCAGCTGTTGAGCTTGGACCTGGCGAAGGTCGAAGATGCGCCGCTTCTTAAAGCCCATCTCTGCAGGTGGACAAACTCTGGACGACTGTTTTGTCCTCCTTGGCCATAAACCAGGTAATTAGTTCAGCTCCTAATTAGCCCGCCCTAACGACCTCGTTGGCCTGACCCACTCTCTGATTCCGACGGCGGCGCCACATTATCTGCTGGCGGGTCAGCCAGTTGCAAGTGGGTCGAACACACGAAAAGAAAATCAGCTCGAAGACGGACACAAAGCTGCAGCCCATAAATAGACCGGTTATGCCGCCAAAGGTTCCTGGCCATTAAAGTTCGAAGGGTGGCATTGAAATGGATGTGCTTTGCAGGTAATTAGGAGGAGACTTGCCTATAAATGTTAGCCAGTTTTCGTAAACGTCCAAAACGAGTTCCTCGGCCATCGGAGAGTCGTAGTAGACACGCAAAAGGACTTGTTGGTTTTGATTATTCGGTTGGCTGCAAAAAGCAACAGGGCGTATGAGTGATTTTTGCCTTCGGTAAGAAATACATTATTTCAAATAAGAAAATTACCTCGTATTGCCAAGGTTATCCATTGTTTTTAAAATCTGTATATCACTCTGGAATTCGTAACGATTGAATTGACAAGCCGGAAGGCAGTTCCATTTCGATTGTTCTTCTTCAAACGATTCATTATTTTCTTTGTAAATAAATAAAATACGATTAATGAGTAAACGATTCACTGTATATTGTTATCCATACCGCATTCTTTAACGCAATGCATTTGTTCAAGATCACAGACTCTCCAATCTGAACGACTGGGGTAATGAGGAGGAACGCAGCCACAAGATTTGTGAATTTCTTCGCTTCGACTTTCGGCAAGACAGTTCATTTGATTGTAGACTGAAGAGGAGAACAATGAATACTCTTCCTGGAGGTAACAGCCTCTTTTTTCTATAGATATTTCTGTTATACTTGGTGTAATGCTATTGACAAATGGTTGCACCATTATATGGGCTTCTGAGCCACTGGGAACTAATAGTCTCGAAGTCACCTCATTGGGTATCTCAAAGGAATCATGGACTAGGACTTCATAACCGGAAGAATTATTAGTGGGAGTGTTTAAAACTAGTCTCAGTCCTAAATGGGAACTGAAGAGCTCTCGTTGGTAATTAAAACTGCAGCAAAGTCGTTGATCCAAAGTCCAAAGGGCTTTCAGTTTATCTGAACAGTTTTTCAAGGGACTTTCCCATTCACACTTTTGGATTTGATTACACATCGGAGTAGAAAGTTCCTCCAGAATTCTTTTCCAACTTATATTTCTGCTGATTAATGGCTGAATACTCGTGAAGTTCAAATTCCATAGCATTTCTTGGGGTATACCCCATTCTTTTGATTTATTTTGAAGTCTTGTAGGGGAAAACTTTTCAAATCCACAAATGGTAATCGCCGGAAATGGCACTTCAGACGAGGGCTTCATCATGGTGATTATGGAACGCATCGTAGGTCTTTCGTTGCTTATTGCAAGAGACATTGTGACTATTAAAAGTGAAAGTAAAACTGCCGAGCAGATGAGCAACCACCAAAGAATGCGCTGCCAGGTCTTGGCGCCAACAAAAATGTGAAAGCCATGGATGCTGGCCATTTCGCAGTAGATCTCAAAGCCAGTCTTTCGCTTGCAGAGGCCATCGTCGTTTCGGGCCCGAAGGAATTCCAGAAATTTGGGTAAAGGCAGTTGGCCAAATCGCTTTGAGGCACTATAGTACCATCTGATCAGTTTCAAACGCTTTAAACTCCTTGTTAGCCTTGTCACTTTGCCAATTGGTTTGTCGAAACGTTGAAGAGGTTGGCATTTCGTTGAATGTTTTGGTTTAAGATAGTTTTCAAAGTTTACCAAATAAACCAATGGAGGTGGAGTTTCTTCTTTGGTTTTTGAAGCCGACATGACTTCTAATAGAAAAAGTTTTTAAAAAGAATATAAATCCTTGAGAAATCATCCTTATATACCCAGCCAAAAACACATTACCTCGCCTTATCGGACATTCACACGCCTTTAAGATGTTCAAACCAAAATCAACCTTCAATTATCGGAGGTCTTGGTGGGCCGGGGAAGGGCCTTCACCTTCAAGTCTGCGTATGTGTTTTAGACGTAATCGAGGCAGTGAATCAAGTGTCGGGCTGCCTTCACACCCCCAACTGGAGAAACAATTATCCCCATATTTATTTGTCTATGCACAACTGGCTTCCGAGCTATCCAAGCGATAAGCTCGGCAAATATGAATAGGAAATTGTTTACAGCAAATATATTATTATGTGAGCTCTCCCGGCGCCTCCTCCTGGCCACAGTATGTATCTGTGTTATTGTTTCCGAGTTTGCATTGGCTTGTTAATGAGTTTATTGTTGGGTGCCCAGTTTCCACCCACAACCACAATTACGGTGCTCAAATATTCCGCTCGTGTCACCTGCGGGAATGCCAAATGTCATCGTCACTCCAATTTTTATTTTATTAAACAATTTATTTACCACCGATGGCTAAGGTTTTTTCCCCACTTCTATAATCGGATTATTGTCAGCTGATTTCTGTGACTTTGTGTCTTGATTTCCACGATTTCCTATCTCTAAACCCTGAGAGCCATTAATGTGTCAGATCATTTGGAATCGGTAAGGCTGATAAGCTCATTCAGATTTGTAATTGGAGTCGTCGAAAGTTCAGAAAAAGTGTGATTGCTTTTATCAAGATTAGTGACGTGTGGAATCTGGTATTATGTTCTTCGAGTTTATGGTTTGTTTTGGGGAATTAAGTGGGTTAAGGTCCTAAAGCATGATTTTTTGGAACAATCTATGATGTCTTTTATAAAATATTACCTTTATAAATTATAAATTTTATTGAACATACTTTTAGGCATTTTTGAAACAGGATTCCAAACAATCTAAAAACAATTATCATTATTATTCTATACAAGATCTTATTGTGTCCCAAATTATTTCCAGACAAGCCCCCACATTTCTACCAAACAACCCATAAATATTTGTTCTGCAATTATTTACGAGCTTCTTCTGTGTAATATCGGGTTGGACAAATATTGGCATTCAATGGAATTGTAAGAGCCATAAATTTTCACCCGAATCGGAGTTCGCATGGATTTAATTAACTGGATTTTTTTTCTGGGATCGCTATTGGCCCAAGGTTGCCAAATCTTTCTAATGATATTCCGCGGGCATTTCACCGCTCATTTGCATGCCACGTGCCGGGGCGCCGATGTCGGCAGTCTGTCATTTTTCATATATATTACACAATTATGGGTCCGATGTCGGGACCAGATAAGGAGCTTGAGCTCGATCACACTGATTCAGCCACTTGGCCGCTCATCCGATCGACCTGAACGGCGCAGGACGGATGCACTTGCTCACGAGTGGGGCTTCAAAAATCGGCCTGATGGGGCCTGGGTTATTTTGGGGTACTTTTGTTTAAAAATAAACTGAAGGCGTCGTAACGGTCGATCGATTTGCGTCACGCAACGGTAAAGCCAAGTGTGACTGAAACTGTATCTTGGAAATATAAACATCCCGCGGAACATCTCAGTGACCGACTGACGTGGCCCTGAAAGAACCCGGGGCGGGGAGTTTATTTTTGGCCACCACCGATGTAAACCGAAATTTGTTTGGCGATAAGCCGATCTGATCCGATTATTGTTTCCAGGCAGGGGGCCCCCTGGGGGCTTTGTCTTGTCTTGCATTTATTATCATCTGGCGCTGATTTATGTGTAGACGTAGCTATATTTTATTTTTTTGCAAAAAACTAGAGCGAGGCTAATCTTCTGCTGCAATTGACGCAAATTGATTTTGCACTCGAAATCGAACGTTCTGCCTTGGCTTCGATTCATGTTTATTCCCACTTTGGTGAGGTGTTCCAAAAAAAAAAAGCAACACTCATCTACTTTATAAAGTATACATTAATATAAGGAAAGAACGTGTCGTGTTCTACGATTCAGAAAACGTGATCGCCTCAAAGACATAACAATAATCCCCCCTAGAGGTCAGTGGGTTTGGTGTGTTCTGTGAAGCCAATGAGCCAGATGATCACATCTAATTAACAACCAGCCCATCCACAAGCCATGTGCTAACCAGAAATTAATACTTTGTATAAATACAAATAAATAATTTTGTGTATGTATTTAGATGTTTGTATAAAACTCGCTCAATTATCAAAAGGATGACATAATGCGATCGAAAAGAAAGCCTTGTTGTTCTCCGGCAAGATATTCAAGCGTTTAATTGCAAGTTTGAAATTCCTTCCATTACGATCTCACGATCGAGTGTCCAAGACAGAAGGCAGCCGTTGTTTTCCATTCCATTTCGAAATTCGAATCAATCAAATTGTTTACACGCCCATAAATAAAGCGATTCTTTTGTTTGCTTGCTCAGATTCTAATTTTATTTTGCCAGCAATTGTTTCTCCTTAAATTCAGGCATTTTATTTTGGGATTGACCTCAGATTATAATTATCGGAGGACTATAATGGAAAGCATAGCTTTCACAGCTCTCTTATCAGTCGCTCGCGCCATTCACATGCCACTGGGACACTATTTTTAATCCACAGAATGCGAAAAATCATTCACAAACCAAATGACACTCGGCAGAAATTAGCAGGTTGATAGCCTCTGTGGGGGGAAGTGCAAAATTGTATTCAAAACAAACTTAATGGCCAGAGGAAATGGGAGCACTTGGCGGCGTCTTGGGGTTGTTGCCATGTCAGGACACTTGAGGCAATAGGTCTTTATTCTTGCCTCAGCCTCTGCGATTCTGTATATGCGAGTTCAGGTTCCTTATCATCTCCATGACGTTTGTAGGGTCAGACCATACTCGAAATCATCGGACAATGATTCAGTAGGAATTTTGAGGAAAGTTTCCAAACATTCATTCACTTAATGCCATTTTCTATCAACAATAATGTTCCATTTTATTATGATTTGGTGTTTTTTTTATAAATTGGAAATTCATCAAATAATAATTGCAGTTCAGAGCTCAGGTTCGTACTTTCCCAGCCTTGGACAGTGGAATTCTGTGGACATTGTGCCATTGGGAGAAACCACAATATAACACATTTAGATACGAAAGGGCCTGGGGCTACAGCTGGTTAAACTCCATGTTTAACTTGCGGCTTACATACTGCTGGTTCTTTTTATATTTTAAGTAAAGTCAAATATGGGTTTCGAAACACAGAACCACAAAGGCGGTCACCAGAAGCCTACGAACATGTTGTGCAAGTTGGATATCCCAGGATAAAAATAGAATCGACTTTATGGCAAACCTAGTATCTTGATCTACAATTTCTCGGGCTGAGCAAGTTAATTGTTTGAGCGGCGAGTTCATACATAGTTCTCTCTATCTGAATTCAAATGAATGTTTGCTTTTGTGTGTTTGTGAAGATCAGTGACTGGCAGTGGAAGCACTCCCACATAGAGTCGGCGGCTCACATGGAGAACATGTTAATGAGGAACGCTTTTTTTTTTATTTATTATTATTTTTTTTGGCGCTTCGCTTTGGATTGGCTTTTTGTGTTGACTGAGCTTAATACTGTGACGTCAGGAAAGTCATTGAGTTATAGTTTAATAACCAACGTCTGGTCGAGCGGGTATGGTCTGGTCTGGGTCTGGGGGGCGAAACTATAGCAAACATTCTGCGGAGTCTGATTGAAAATCAAACAACTGATCGAGGAAGAGAATCCATCGGAACGTCACTGAGCCGAAGCTACATGAGCATAATATTAAGTTACAATTATGACGAGCGATTTCGATTCTGAGTCCGAATCCGAATCCGAATTCGAATCCGATTCTGAGCCGTTCAGTCAGCTACGATAAAGTCGCGAGATTAAAAAAGTCAAGTGACAACCAAGTGCGTCAATCGACGTGCAAAAAAAAGTAAAATAAAATATAAAAAAAAAAAATAAAAGCGAAACAACAGAGTGTCGGAGTACAAAAGTCCGTTGGATGGAACTGGCTGCATCGTTGGCTTCGGATGGCTTTTGTCTTTCTTTAATTCTTGGTTGGGTTCTCTTGGGACCTGGGACCTCTTTGTCTGTCTGCCCCGTTGCCACTGAGGCGTAAAGATGGCCCAAGCCCAAGCCCATGCCAGCTGCCCATCCTGCCTCTCTGACAGATCATCATCATCAAATCCCCGATCGTGACAAAGAAATTTCACGCAAACATTGCGTTTGACGTCAAGCCTACGAAGATGATCACCGCCCAGCGGAGCCTGCGGAGTCGGGAATCGGGGCTGGGCATTTCTGCGGTAAAGTTGGGGGACGTCTGATTATTCACTCAAGTGGGAAGTGCCATTTGAATCGCGATTCGCGTTGCGAGGAGTCGATAATTTTCCTTAATTGAAGTGCTGCCCCAGCAATGTAATGCAGGCCAGGAACGGACTTTTATTTATAAAAAAAGGGGGTACAGCTCATCTTTTTTTTGCTTATGGAAACACTTTTTCTTTTTTAATTACACCAACAAACGTATATCACAGTCTTAACAATATATCTACAAAGATATTACTTTCTAGGGCTTAATTGCTTTTTAGAACTTTCATAACAGAAAGTCTGTCGAAAGGGTGTTTAAAAAAGATAACGTATATCTAAGAGATAGATATTTCATTATAAGTTATGTAAAGAAATGGTTGCATTATTTTAGAGTTTTAACTTAATTTATTTGCCCTAATTTGACCATCCCCAAAGCTTGATTCTAGTTATGAAAACTCCCTAAGTTGCCAATATACTACGCCCCTGATTTGTATTGATATTTTTTGTACTTATTTTCATTATGTGAACGAATGTCTGGTTGTGCGACTTACTTTTAATTACTCCTGTTGCACCAGAATAGTAGTTATCGTTCGGATTGATGGCTTGCCGGAAAATGGGAAGTGGCTCGTGTCTTGGTCACGTGCTCTGGCCG